TCATTCCTTCACATATTCCTTCACTTTTTTTCATTTCCTTCACATATTCCTTCACTATTTTATCATTCTTCACATATTCCTTCACTTTTTTTCATCATTTCTTCACATATTCCTTCACTATTTTCATCATTCCTTCACATATTCCTTCACTTTTTTCATCATTTCTTCACATATTCCTTCACTATTTTCATCATTCCTTCACATATTCCTTCATTTTTTTCATCATTTCTTCACATATTCCTTCACTATTTTCATCATTCCTTCACATATTCCTTCACTTTTTTCATCATTTCTTCACATATTCCTTCACTATTTTCATCATCCTCACATATTCCTTCACTATTTTCATCATTCCTTCACATATTCCTTCACTATTTTCATCATTCCTTCACATATTCCTTCACTTTTTTTCATCATTTCTTCACATATTCCTTCACTATTTTCATCATTCCTTCACATATTCCTTCACTTTTTTTCATCATTTCTTCACATATTCCTTCACTTTTTTTCATCATTTCTTCACATATTCCTTCACTTTTTTTCATCATTTCTTCACATATTCCTTCACATATTCCTTCACTTATTCCTTCACATATTCCTTCACTTTTTTCATCATTTCTTCACATATTCCTTCACTTTTTTTCATCATTTCTTCACATATTCCTTCACTTTTTTTCATCATTCTTCACATATTCCTTCACTTTCTTTCATCATTTCTTCACATATTCCTTCACTATTTTCATCATTTCTTCACATATTCCTTCACTTTTTTTCATCATTCCTTCACATATTCCTTCACTATTTTCATCATTCCTTCACATATTCCTTCACTATTTTCATCATTTCTTCACATATTCCTTCACTTTTTTTCATCATTTCTTCTTCACATATTCCTTCACTTTTTTCATCATTTCCTTCACATATTCCTTCACTATTTTCATCATTTCTTCACATATTCCTTCACTTTTTTTCATCATTTCTTCACATATTCCTTCACTATTTTCATCATTCCTTCACATATTCCTTCACTATTTTCATCATTTCTTCACATATTCCTTCACTTTTTTTCATCATTCCTTCACATATTCCTTCACATTCCTTCACTATTTTCATCATTTCTTCACATATTCCTTCCACTATTTTTCATCATTTCTTCACATATTCCTTCACTATTTTCATCTTTCATCATTTCTTCACATATTCCTTCACTTTTTTTCATCATTCTTCACATATTCCTTCACTTTTTTTCATCATTTCTTCACATATTCCTTCACTATTTTCATCATTTCTTCACATATTCCTTCACTATTTTCATCATTCCTTCACATATTCCTTCACTTTTTTTCATCATTTCTTCACATATTCCTTCACTTTTTTTCATCATTCCTTCACATATTCCTTCACTTTTTTCATCATTTCTTCACATATTCCTTCACTATTTTCATCATTCCTTCACATATTCCTTCACTATTTTCATCATTTCTTCACATATTCCTTCACTATTTTCATCATTCCTTCACTATTTTCATCATTTCTTCACATATTCCTTCACTATTTTCATCATTCCTTCACATATTCCTTCACTATTTTCATCATTTCTTCACATATTCCTTCACTATTTTCATCATTCCTTCACATATTCCTTCACTATTTTCATCATTTCTTCACATATTCCTTCACTTTTTTTCATCATTTCTTCACATATTCCTTCACTATTTTCATTTTCATCATTCCTTCACTTTTCATCATTCCTTCACATATTCTTTTTTTCATCATTTCTTCACATATTCCTTCACTTTTTTTCATCATTTCTTCACATATTCCTTCACTATTTTCATCATTTCTTCACATATTCCTTCACTTTTTTTCATCATTTCTTCACATATTCCTTCACTATTTTCATCATTTCTTCACATATTCCTTCACTTTTTTTCATCATTCCTTCACATATTCCTTCACTTTTTTTCATCATTCCTTCACATATTCCTTCACTTTTTTTCATCATTTCTTCACATATTCCTTCACTATTTTCATCATTCCTTCACATATTCCTTCACTATTTTCATCATTCACATATTCCTTCACTATTTTCATCATTCCTTCACTATTTTCATCATTTCTTCACATATTCCTTCACTATTTTCATCATTCCTTCACATATTCCTTCACTTTTTTTCATCATTTCTTCACATATTCCTTCACTATTTTCATCATTCCTTCACATATTCCTTCACTTTTTTTCATCATTTCTTCATTCCTTCACTATTTTCATCATTTCTTCACATATTCCTTCACTTTTTTCATCATTTCTTCACATATTCCTTCACTATTTTCATCATTTCCTTCACATATTCCTTCACTTTTTTTCATCATTTCTTCACATATTCCTTCACTATTTTCATCATTCCTTCACATATTCCTTCACTTTTTTTCATCATTTCTTCACATATTCCTTCACTTTTTTCATCATTTCTTCACATATTCCTTCACTTTTTTTCATCATTTCTTCACATATTCCTTCACTATTTTCATCATTTCTTCACATATTCCTTCACTTTTTTTCATCATTTCCTTCACATATTCCTTCACTTTTTTTCATCATTTCTTCACATATTCCTTCACTTTTTTTCATCATTCCTTCACATATTCCTTCACTTTTTTTCATCATTTCTTCACATATTCCTTCACTTTTTTTCATCATTTCTTCACATATTCCTTCACTTTTTTTCATCATTCCTTCACATATTCCTTCACTTTTTTTCATCATTTCTTCACATATTCCTTCACTTTTTTTCATCATTTCTTCACATATTCCTTCACTATTTTCATCATTTCTTCACATATTCCTTCACTATTTTCATCATTCCTTCACATATTCCTTCACTTTTTTTCATCATTTCTTCACATATTCCTTCACTATTTTCATCATTTCTTCACATATTCCTTCACTATTTTCATCATTTCTTCACATATTCCTTCACTTTTTTTCATCATTTCTTCACATATTCCTTCACTTTTTTTCATCATTTCTTCACATATTCCTTCACTATTTTCATCATTCCTTCACATATTCCTTCACTTTTTTTCTCATCATTTCTTCACATATTCCTTCACTTTTTTCATCATTTCTTCACATATTCCTTCACTATTTTCATCATTTCTTCACATATTCCTTCACTATTTTTCATCATTCCTTCACATATTCCTTCACTATTTTCATCATTTCCTTCACATATTCCTTCACTTTTTTTCATCATTTCTTCACATATTCCTTCACTTTTTTCATCATTTCTTCACATATTCCTTCACTATTTTCATCATTTCTTCACATATTCCTTCACTATTTTCATCATTTCTTCACATATTCCTTCACTATTTTCATCATTTCTTCACATATTCCTTCACTATTTTCATCATTTCTTCACATATTCCTTCACTATTTTTCATCATTCCTTCACATATTCCTTCACTATTTTCATCATTTCTTCACATATTCCTTCACTTTTTTTCATCATTTCTTCACATATTCCTTCACTATTTTCATCATTTCTTCACATATTCCTTCACTATTTTCATCATTCCTTCACATATTCCTTCACTATTTTCATCATTTCTTCACATATTCCTTCACTATTTTCATCATTTCTTCACATATTCCTTCACTATTTTCATCATTTCCTTCACATATTCCTTCACTATTTTCATCATTTCTTCACATATTCCTTCACTATTTTTCATCATTCCTTCACATATTCCTTCACTATTTTCATCATTTCTTCACATATTCCTTCACTATTTTCATCATTTCTTCACATATTCCTTCACTATTTTCATCATTTCTTCACATATTCCTTCACTATTTTCATCATTTCTTCATTTTTCATCATTCCTTCACTATTTTCATCATTTCTTCACATATTCCTTCACTATTTTCATCATTCCTTCACATATTCCTTCACTATTTTCATCATTTCTTCACATATTCCTTCACTTTTTTTCATCATTTCTTCACATATTCCTTCACTATTTTCATCATTTCTTCACATATTCCTTCACTTTTTTTCATCATTTCTTCACATATTCCTTCACTATTTTCATCATTCCTTCACATATTCCTTCACTTTTTTTCATCATTTCTTCACATATTCCTTCACTATTTTCATCATTCCTTCACATATTCCTTCACTATTTTCATCATTTCTTCACATATTCCTTCACTATTTTCATCATTCCTTCACATATTCCTTCACTATTTTCATCATTCCTTCACTATTTTCATCATTTCTTCACATATTCCTTCACTATTTTCATCAATACCATTTCATTTTACTCGTCATTTCCTGTCATTCATTTCTTTTTTACTCGGTCCGACAAAATTTTTCATCTTTAAAAAAGTGAAGGAATATATGAAGAAATGATGAAATTTTTGAAAAGCATTTAAATGCTTTTCTCAGTTTGTAAAATTTTGTTTCATCTGCAAAATTAATGTGTAAAAAATCTGAGTATAAATTGAATGAACAAATGCTTCTGTCAGCTGTTATTGTCACTTCATTGACAGAAAACTTGAAATATTTTCATTTATTAAATCGAATCAAATTTAATCAAATCAATAGCTCTCTTTGCTAATTCACCCTAAATTCATAATTAATTTAAAAAATAATAGTGTTTTTTTTTTTTTTTGTCATTCTTTTTAAATATAAGTTTTTTTGTTGTTTTATAATATTATTTGAAAAAAAATTTTAACGAATAAATTGATGATATGGCAGATTATACTTTAATTACTAAATTTCATTGCAAATATTAGGAATTATTCGGCTGCTCAAGAAAATAAAAAATAAAAGAATCCTATACAAGAGAAGCTAAAAGGTAAGTTTACTGATATTATAAAGTGATTAACAATAAATGTCATTCATTTCAGAATAATGGTTGATGATAAGAAATTATTTGTAAACAAACAAAACTCTTAGCTCTAATTTTGATGAAAATTTAAATTTATAAACATGCTATTGTTGTTATTAATATATTTGACATCTGTTATGTCATCACCACCTGAACTAAGACTACGAAATGATTTAATGCATGATTATAATCCACTGGAACGACCGGTTGAAAGAAGTGAGGATCCGGTTGTTGTGACACTTGGTGTTGTTTTTCAGCAAATTATTGATTTGGTATAATTTCAATTTTTTAATTTTAATTTCATTTTAAACTTAATTATTATCAAACATTTCACATACATACATTATTTATTTTTGATCTTTTCCATTCAATTAATAACTTGTATTATTTCAATAAAAGAATAAGAATGAAATAATTTTAGTAAATTTTAGAATTTATCAAAAATATTTGTTTGAAATTTATAGAATGAACGACAAGAGAAATTAGAGGTAAATGCATGGTTAAAATATAATTGGATAGATATGAAATTACGTTGGGATCCATTAGAATATGAAAATGTAACCGATTTAAGACATCCGGCTGGTACCATCTGGCAACCTGATATTTTACTCTATAACAGGTAAATTATCCTATTGTACTAATTACTCTGTAATTTTTATTTATTAAATGTAAATTTTTTATTTGAAGTGAACTTTGTTTTACTTGTAACTTTTACAATTAAACCTTATTGAAATTGGTTTTTTTTTTTTTTTTTATGATAGTTTTTTGAATACAATTTTTCAATGTAATACTCTTAAATTTTGTATTCAAAAAAAAATTTTTTATTTCAATTTTTTCAATTTTTTTTCAATTTCTATTTGTTGATTTCAATAATATTTGAAATGTTTTAGTGTTGATTCAGCTTTTGATAGTACATTTAAAGTGAATGCAATTAGTAGTAACGATGGTTCAATAACATGGATACCACCTGGAATTTTTAAAATTTCATGCAAAATTGATATTTATTGGTTTCCATTCGATGAACAAATTTGCTTTTTAAAGGTTTTTATTTAAATTATTATTTAATTACTTTTAATTCACTAATTAGGCGAGGATTTTTTCTTTTCATTCATTACTTGATATCAAAGGTTTTTTTATATTCTTCAATTAAAATACTTACTTATTTACTTCATACTCATTTACTTATTATAATTAATTAGTTAACATTGAATTATTCCTTCTATTTCAATTATTAATTTGAGATATGTCAATCGAAGCATACATTTTCTTTTTGTAAAAATTAATTTAAAATTGAAATTTAAAAAACAAGAAATTATTTGTCTATAGTTTGGTTCCTGGTCATTTAGTGGTCGTGAAATTGATCTTCAACCGGGTGATTTTGATATGTCCGATTTTATTGAAAACGGAGAATGGATTATTATCAGTTAGTATTAGTATTGATTTTTCCTTTCTTAAACTTTTATACTAAGAATTGTTAATTTGAATTAACAATTTATCCGAAATAAAATTGCAACCGGAATTCAGCAATATTTATAACAAAAAAAAAGATACAAACATGAATTATTTATTTTCATCATCAAAATGATTTCAATTTTTAGAAACTTGGGAACAAAGAAATGAAAAATTTTATGAATGTTGTCCGGAACCATATCCGGATGTACGTTTTTTCATTCATCTTAAGAGAAGAACACTGTATGTTTAAATAATCCTTTTTTTATATTATTAAATTCAAAAAGAAAAAAAAATGAAATTTTTTTTTACATTATTAAATTCATTTTTACTACTTTTTTTAAAATAAATTACGTAATTATCATTCGATTTTTCCTATTATTTCATTTCTTTTTTCTATTAAAAATCAATTAATAATGCTTTTCTTTAACACTTTTTTCTATTTATTTCAATTAAAAAATTTCATTTTGAATTTGCAAATTATTCAATAGCTAACTAAATTAACAGAAATACTGTAGAATTTTTTATTTTATTTTTAATACTTTTAATTATCTTATTAGTTTATGTTGTAAGAAGTTTATTTAATTTTACTGTTTAACAAACAAGTTCTATTAAGAAATTGATATATTAAATTTAAGTAACTTTTTTTTTATGTTTACAAATATTATTTAACAATATCTTCGTTCTGTCATCGATATAATTTTGTTCAATATTTTATTTGTAATTAATTTTTGATTGTTATGCATTTAAATAAATTTAATTTAATTTTGATAACCGACAGTTTATACGAATAAATTCTATTAAGAAATTGATATTAAATTTAAATATCATTTTTTTTATGTTTGAAAATATTTTTTAACAATATTCTCGTTCTATCATCGCTATAATTTTGTTCAATATTTTATTTCTAATTAATTTTCAGTTACTATGCATTCAATTTAATAATGCCATGTATGATGACACTAATATTAATTGTCCTTGGTTTTACACTCAGTCCTGATACCTGTGAAAAAGTTGGCTTACAAATTTCGGTATCACTTGCCATTTGCATATTTCTAACATTGATGAATGAAATGACACCACTTACCTCTGAAGCAGTACCATTACTAGGTTAATATTTATTAAATATAATTTTTTATTTAAATTTAATTTTTGTTTTTATCCTTTCTTTTTTCTTTCCTTTTTCCTTTTTCATCACTTTTTGATCAAAATTAATTAATTAATTAGTTACTAAAAAGGTAGTAATGATCAATAAATATGTAGACATATATAATTTAGAAGAAATAAATAATTAAAATTAAATTTTTAAATTAATTATGGTAGAAGGTTTATTTATATTAGTGCAAAGAACGGAAAAAAATGAGAAAAAATATGACAAAAATTATTTCAATTATATGTTTCTTTTTTTCCTTAGGAATATTTTTTCTAAGTTGTATGGTTATATCGGTAGCAGCTACATCTTTTACCGTTTATGTGCAAGCTGTTCATTTCCGGAATCCGGATACACAAATGAGAATGAATTTTTGGGTACTAATTTAATATATTTAAATTTTCAAAATTTTTCATTCTATAAATTGTTATACTATCAAATTAATTTAAATTAAATGCTATAATTTTAATGTAAAATCTTATTTAAATTTAAAATTTAATAATTTTACATTTTTTCTTTTTTTAATAACAAAAAGATGCGATATATATTATTGGAATGGGCACCGTTTATTTTACGTATCAAACAACCAAAACGTGAAAATACGTTGGAAACAATTAAACAAGGCTGGAAAAATCGAAAGAATAGAAATGATGATGATCGAACTGCCTTTACTTATGTTTGTTTGTTTGTTTATTTTTTTTAAAAAAAAAAAAAAAAAACTTTTAAATATTTTTATAAATAATCATTGAAAAGCATAACATAGTAATTATTTAACTATAGATTCAGTAATTAATTATTTTTAATCTTTTAGTATTATATTTTTTCTGAATTTTTTTTTTTAACATATATTAAAAAATTTAAATTTTGTAGGAAATTTTTCGTTATTAAATAATTTGTGTTATTTTTTAAATTCATATGAAAAAAAAAATTTTTTTTAAAATAATATTTGTAATAATAATATTTATTGAATTTTTTGCATTGTTTTGTTTTGAATTTTTGTTTTTGCTTTAATTTCGTTTATATTTTAAAATTAATCATAAAATATTGCATTTTCAGAATGATGGACATATGTTAGTAATTGAAAAAATTGGTGATGTATTGCGAGAAAATTTCCAAAGTTTAATTTTTCAATTGAAAGTAACTCAATATGAAAAACATGATCAAAATTTATTACAACGCTTAAAAATACTTGATCGTATTTATAAACATGTTAAGGTTTGCATAAATTTTTTTTTTTCCCCAAACCTCTCTCTCTTCCTCTTTCTCTCTCTCCCTCCTTTTTTTTTTAATATATTTGAAATTATTTTATATTTTTTCTCTAATAACTAAAATTACTTAATTAAATTCATTAAACTATTTCAGTGATTAAAATTAATTTTTTTTTCTTTTATATACTTTATACATTAATTCATTGTTTTATTTCTTCCATTAAATAAAAATAAAACAAAATTTTATTTTAAAATAAAATTAATTTATTCCTATTAATTTATGTTAAAAATAAATTAATTTAAAGATATTCATGAGAAAATAGATGACAATTCTTCAATGATTAAAATTACTTTTCTTTTCTTTTATCCTTTTTTGCGCCACTTCATTGTTTTATTTTTATATTAAATAAACAAAAAAAAAAATTAAACAAATTTTTAAGAAAATTAATTTATTATCAAAATTAGATAAATTTAAGGATATTCGTGAGAAAACAGATGATATGATCGAAGAGAAACGAATTGCCAATGAATGGCGATTTGCAGCAATTGTCGTCGATCGAATTGGTTTAATTTTATTTACAATTGTAATTGCTATCACTTCGTTAACGATTGCTATTCGAGCACCTTATCTTGTCGCTTAATTGCTAATCTAATTTATCATTTATCACTTATATATGCTTTCTTTCCTTCTTTTTTTTATATCATTGCAATGCTAACAAAATTATTTGTAATTTTATTGTCGTAGTTAATTTAATAATAATTAATTAGAATATTGTATTTGCGAGATGTAAAAATAATTAATTTGATCTTGCAAAACAAAAAAAAAAATTATCAATGATCGTACAATTTATTTATTATTGATAAGTTATTGATAATAATTGTATTGTTGTTATTATTATCATATCACAAAGAAAAAACGGGTATAAACTAGAAATTACATTGATAACAAACAATGATAAGTAATGAATTCAGTCACAAGAGTTCAAAAAAGAGCAAAAAAGTTTGTAAGAAATATTGCCATCAAAGGTGGCGCAATTGTCAGCGCATTTAGTCATCACACTGTTATAATTTTACCTGAATCATTGATATTTTTCTGTTTTCTCACATTTATGATAATTTTGTGATCATTTTTGTTTTGATGAAATCTCAAAAATTAAAGGTATCTGTACTTGTTTATAAAATTTACCCTTCTGGGTATTATAGCGAATATCGGGTAGGAAAATAGGAAACCAATTCTGTACTATATTTTTTCTTAACAAAATAATTGTATAATTGTATCAAATTTATTGTTTAATTATATTTACTTTCTATTTCTATCAGTTAATAAGTTAATAAATTGGTTAATTGCAATTAATTAATTAATTAATTGCAGTTCGTATTTATATTATGAATATCTATGGATACAATCACTTTTTCAAATTTTTTTTACCATTTTTCGTTTTTTATAATTTGAAAAAATTATAAATTAAATATATTTGAAAAAAATTATAAATCAATTATGAATTTTATGAAATATTAGCTAAAAATTTTGCATTCATTTAAATTTTTACTTAATTTTTGCTCGATTATTATAAATTGCTTTAAAAGAATTTTGTAAAATTTTGCATCAAATGTAGAATAAATATTAATTGTCACAAATTTTTTTTTTCTTCACTATTTTTGGTTAGAAGAAATGAAATTATATTATCATTGATAAAATTTGAGTTAAATTGCAAATTTAAATCATAGAAATGAAATTTACTAAATAAACATTTCATTTCATTAAACAAACGAAATGCAAATTAATTGTTCAAATTTGAAAACGAATTTTAGAACAAATATTTCATTAATATTATATTTCAATACAAAAATTTAACTATAAAATATGATTACTAGAAGTTAGGAGAAAAAAAAGTTTAATGATTTATTATCTATTAATTATAATTTAGATTTAATTACTTGGATTTAACTTGGAATTAATTTTAAATTAAAAATTTATTCAAATGTAAAAAGTTAAAGTTTCGTTGACAAAAAGATCTATACCTGAATATAATCAATAAAATTTGAAAGAATTATTTAATTCAATTAAAAAAAAAATTATTTACACCAAAATAGGTGTAAATAAATTCTATTCAATCAATCAATAAATTCAATTTTTATTTTGTTTTTTAATTTGTTACTAACTTATATGATTGCATTAATCATATTTGATAGTAACTTTATTCAATGTTTGGATAAAATAAAACTTTAAAAAAAAATATCGCTGAGCTAAAAAGTTACCAAAAAAAAGAGAGAAGAAAGTCAACAATTTGTTGATCAGCTATTGAAATATTAATTATTTATTGCATTTAGTGGAATAATTTTTGAAAAAGATTGCACGTGTGATACGTGTAATACGTATGATACGTGGTCGTATACTGTAAATAATTTAATAGCTGTTTACTTAATGTTTGATAGCTATTGAATAATAATAATATGACATTTGCTGTATGAATCAATGTGACAAAGAATTTAACAAAGAATTTTTATACTAAGAAATTAAATATTAAAAATTTTTATAGTAAGAAAAAAAAAAAACTTTTTCAATATTTGATTGCATAAGATGGAAATTTTTTAAAAAAAAAGTATATATTCTGTTAGTATTAAAATGTCACCAAATGTCACAAAAATAATTTGAGCACATTCTTTTGAACATAAAATTTTTGACAAAGTAAAATGATTAATCATTCAAAAAAAAAAAAAATTTTCTGTTCCTCAATTCATTATTTGTTAGTGATATGATTAGAATGATATGATTAGAAATTAAATTTGAAATTAAAAAATTAAAATTAAAGAAATTAAAATTATGACTACAAGTGTTGCAAATTAATTATTTATTTTATGATGATGTGCTACTTGTTGAATGTTATTAAAATAATAAAAATAATTAAATCTAAATAATTAATCATATTTGGGTTTAATAAATTAAAAAGAATAAATTGAAGCAATTTTTTATTGCAAATAATAAATAAATTGTGTTACATACAAAAATTTTTTATGCTAAATTGAAATAGAATTATTGAATTTAAATTATTTAAATGAAAAATTTGAATAAAATATGCACATAGCATTAAAATTAAAATTAACATAAAATAATCGCTAATAATGTAAAACATAAGAATAATAGTAAAAAATACTAAAAATATCCAAGAAATACTATCAAATGTTTGTAAAGTTTTTTTTTCTTTTAAAAAAAAATAATAATAATTAATATTAATAATATTTAATTTATCAGTGAAAAAAAAAGACTAAATCTTTCTTAATTTTTTTCTTAAATTCATTTAATTTAGCTAAAATTTCCAGAAATTACCTTGTTTTCCTTTTTTTTTTCTCTCAAATTTTCCACATTAAAATTAATTTTGAAATTAATTTATTTAGAAAATATTTAAATTATGTTCTACATCAACTATAATTCAAATAATTAGTACGTTGTATTTATTTTCGTTTTCTCTGTATTTCACAAATTAATTAGATTTACTTTATTACAAATTAATGTTATATTCTATTTGTTGATAATTTTAATTAAATTTAATTTTTTTTTTTTTTTTTAGATAAATTTAACGTTTTAATGAAAAAAGAAAAAACATTTAGTAAAATTATTCATCAATTTATCTTTAGGTTATGTTTTATTTTTAGAATTATAATGTTTAATTATTATATTTTTTCTTTTTTTTTTTCCAGTATTTATTAATTTCTAAAAATTTAAAAAGAAGAATTAATTAAATTTTATGCATAATTAACACAAATAATGCATTTTTTATATTATTAATTTATTTAATACTGATATAATAAAAGAGAAAATAAAGCGCTCATTTTTGTTACCAAATATGGTACCGTTGTTGTCAATGAATTATTGTGGTAGAAATCGGAAGTACTTTGAGTGATGATTATCGCTGTTGGTACTAAAATGATATTAAAAAGACTAAATTAGAAAAAAAGAAAATGGAAATGGAAATGATAAGAATTTATTTTAATGTATATATATTATTTGTTTGATGAAAGTAAACATTAAAATTACTGTAAAATTTACTTTCTTTTTTATTTCAAATTAGCAGCTAATAAGTCTAATATTATTTTTGTTATTTTCAATTAAAATTTAACAAAAGAATTCATAGAGAATTACAATTATTGTTTACAAAAATTGTTGAAAAATGTAGAAAACTTCTAAAATAGCAATGAAAATTGATTAGAAATGAAAACCAAATGCTTTCTTAATTTAAAGTGAAAAAAAAAAGTTCTTTTTTAATTTTGAAAAAAAAAAAACTCAAAAATTAAGCAAAGTTATTACCTTCTGTTGTTATCTCATTGGTGGTTGGAATTTTTTCAGTTGTTGGTGACACAGTCGTTTCCTTTGTTGCTGGCAATTCCTCTGTTTCCTCTGTTACCGTAGGTATTGTTATTTGGTATGTTGGTGACATTATTGTTTCGTCTGTTATTGGTGACACTATTGTTACCTCTGTTACTGGTGACATCGTTGTTTCTTGTGACACTGAAGCCATCGTCGTTTGGTATTTTGGTGACACTGTTGTTTCGTCTGTTAATGATATTACTGTTGCTTCCTGTGACACTGAAGGCATCATTGTTTGGTATGTTGGTGACAGCGTTGTTTCGTCTGTTCTTGGTGACACAGTCGTTTCCTCTATTCCCTGTGTTACCGGAGATATCGTCGTTTGGTATGTTGGTGACACGGTTGTTTCCTCTGTTACTGGAGATACCGTTGTTTCTTGTGCTACCAGAAGTATCATAGCTTGGTATTTTGGTGACAGCGTTGTTTCCTCTGTTATTGATGACACTGTCGTTTCCTCCATTCCCTGTGTTACCGGAGGTATCACTGTTTGATACGTTGCAGACACCGTTGTTTCGTCTGCTGTTGGTGACACTAATGTTACCTCTATTACTGGCGATACCGTTATTCCATGTGATATCGGAAACACCGTTGTTTCGTCTGTTTCTTCTGTTACTGGTGTCACTGTTGTTTCCTCTGTTCCCTGTGTTACCGAAGGTACCGTTGTTTGGTATGTTGGTGACATCGTTGTTTCATCTATTTCTGAAGACACTGTTAATAGTCGCACCGTTTCTTCTATTAATGGTGACACAGTCATTATTCCCTCTGGCATTGTCGTCAAAAATTTTTTTATTTTGTTTTCTTCAAATAATTTAAGAATTATACTGTAATAAAATGGTTTACAATTAAAATTTCTATTAATTAATGTGACATATTCACTTGTCATTCATTTAATTAACTATTATTGCTGTCTTTCCTTCAATTGTATCAAAAGATTTTTTACATCGAATAGATTAATTAATTTTAAATAATTAAATTAAATTTTAAAAAAAAAGGCGTCATTTTTAACCATTTTTTATTGCTGTTTTGCCGTGTCGATTAGCACGTATCACGGCACGTTGATTGCTATTCATTGTTATTTCATTGTTACGTATGGCAATGCTATTAACAAATATAAAAACTGAAATAACAATATAAGCGTAAGAAATACGTCAATAATTGCGTGTATATTTATTTTAACTTTTATTTTCACATTATTGCTATTGGAATAATTTTAAATTTAATCAATTAATAAAAGTAAAAAGCTTGAAAATACTTAAAATAATTAATATACTTAACTTTTCCTGTCTATTAGTTTAGCTTTAACAATAATGGTTAATAAATCTATTTGATCTAATTTATTTATTAAAAAAAAAAAAAATAAAAATAAAAATAAAAAACATCAAATAGCAATTAATTTGAGAAATTAAAATGAATACCTGCAAGCAATATGATATGACGAAGATACGATGACATTTTGAAAAGACTAAATTGATAACCACAGAGATGATCTGATTATGAAGCAATGATATCAGTTTTTCTTTCACATTTGAAAATAGTGATTAGAAGAAGAATGATAAGAAGGAGGTGCTTAACTTTCTATTTCATCGTCTTTTACTTCCAAAAAATTTTAAATTCTAAGCTTTTACTGATAAGACAAAAAAAAAAAAAAAAAAATCAAAGAGTCAACAAAGAGTGTTGCATCCAGAATTTAGCAAACTTTTTGAATGGTTTAAATTGTGATAGCAATTTAATATCTTTCGCTTTTTTCTTTTTTTTTTTTTTTCATTTGTCATTTTGAACAGTGATAAGCTGTGATTAAATAAAAAAAAATGCTTTCCTATGCATTAATTTTGCTTTGTCAAAAAATAAAAACCATTGATAACAAAAAGAAAAAAAAGAGTTGTAAAAATGTTTGCTATAATTTAAATCAAAATTGTTTGTTTTTATTTTTTGTAAAATATTTTCTTATCACAAAAAAAATGGGAAAAAGAATTCCCAAAATAATTACTATATTGTTGAACATTCTTGATAATTTTTTGACAAAATATTATCTTTTCCGCATATTTTATTCCTTATTTGATGTTTTATCTTTTATTTGTTTATTTTTAGTTTTATAATTTAAATATAAAAATTAACCCTAAAATTATGGAATATTTACTATTCAGCTGTGACCTTTTTTTTTTTTTTTTTTGTTGTTGTGACATAATGGGACATTGAAATTTTCCGCACAAATTTATGAGTACTTTATAAAAATTTCAGTATTTAATAATTTATTGCTAAATGCTTTGAGATTTTAGCATAAGAAATGATAATATCCAATTTATTTAATTAAAGTAATTTTTATTACTTTAAAGAAAACTTAGACTTCTTTCTTTCATGTAGAAGTCAAAATTCTTTATTAGACAAATTTTTCGATGAATTAATTTTAGCCTAAATTTGACAAATTTCACTGTAAGCATTTGAAAAAGAGGAAAATATTTTTTATTTCATGAACGATTATTACTGATTTACCCTTCTGACTGATAAAAGTTACTGTAATTTCTGGTAATTTCAGGTCATAGATGCATTCGAGAGCAAAGCTTTTAACAGTTTATAAGGATAATTCCTTAATACAATCATTAAACTGTGCTAAAAAAATAAATAAATAAACTGTTTTTTGAACCAATGAAAGATTTGCTTATCAAGTTAAGTTGAATAAATTGCAAAACGGAAAGTTGAAACTATAAATGTTAGGAAAATCTTATCATTATCAATTATCTTTTCTATTTATCAATGTAATTAACATTTAATGAGATAAATAATTGATGAAAAAGCGAAACTTATTTTGGCAATAATAAAATATTGTTGAATTATAATTCTGCTAATTTTGAGTGAGTATAAATTTGTGTAAAAATTATTTGAAAAGTTAGTTTGAGATTCATGAAGTGATAGTCGGAATAAACTTTTTAAAAGTTGAAAGTACGAAGCAATGAATGATGGAAATTCTCGGGATTTTATCAGCAGACAATATCATATGAAATTCTCGGGATTTTATCAGCAGACAATATCATATGAAATTCTCGGGATTTTATCAGCAGACAATATCATATGAAATTCTCGGGATTTTATCAGCAGACAATATCATATGAAATTCTCGGGATTTTATCAGCAGACAATATCATATGAAATTCTCGGGATTTTATCAGCAGACAATATCATACAAATTATGGGTTTGAAAACAAAAAAAATAAAATAAAATAATCAAACATTTAAAATCCAAGCTTTTTTCAGCTTAAAATCTTATCACTAAAATGATAACATAATCCGATCAACTATTTTCAACCTTATTAACAGCGAAATAATATTAAGAACGGATTATTGCATACGAATATTATCAATGATCTATTGCATCTCACATCTGAAAATCAATTGATATTTCATTTGTAAAATTACACAATCTCTAAATTTATAAATTCTAAAAATTGAACGACAAAATAAATGTGTCTCAGTCTTTGGACATCAAAAAGCAAAAGAAAAAAAAATTTTTTTTGATCTTTCAAAATCAAATTGTCACCATCATTGGAAATCAAAAAAAGATTGTTGTCAAAAAAGCGCAGAAATATAAAGCAAAAAATATTTCTATCAAATTTAATTCGAATAAATGTGAAAAAATAAATGTTAGCTATAGCTTAATCTTATAAATTTAGCTTAATTACATGTAGCACTGATAATTTCAGAGCATATATAAATGAAACAATTTCAAATTTTCGTTATCATTTAAAATTTTAAAGTTTAATTTATTTATGACAGGTAAGACAATAACAGGTAAACTTTCTAGTGAAAGAGAAAAAATGTGATAATAACAAAAACAATTAATTTTATAAGTATCGAAAAAAGAAATCTATCTATGCGTTATTTTTTGAATTCTAAAAAAAAAAGAAAATTATTTGAAGCATTTTTAAAATGCTTGAATGAAAGTTATTTATTACATATAATATAGTTTAACTTAAATTTTTAATTTAAAAGTTGTGAAAAAAGTCAGTAAAGAATCAGCCAAACTTGAACTATAAGCTTAAGCTCAAACCTAAACCTAAACTTGTAAGCATTTTTATGAAGCTAAAAAAAATATTGCTTGCAAGATTTAAGATAATATTTGATGGATAATATTTGTTGCAAAAGTTTTAATTGATTAGATGAAATCAATAAATTATCATTTTTTCACTTGAATTGTATGTTATTGAATTGTCATTTTATCATTCGAATTGTATTATCATTTTATCATCATTTTATCATTTGAATTGTGTGTATTTTTATAACAACTTGAGATTTTAACTTAAAAATTTTAATTTGAAGACAACTTGAAAAATCAATTTGAAATTTTCTTTTTTCATATCATTTAGAATTTGTTTCGATGATTTAGTTAAGACTTTCTTTTATAATATTCGTTTCTTATTTTTTTGTGGCAAAATTTAGAAATTACGGAGATAAACAATAATGAATATTAAAACATTTGAAAGTTAATCACCAAAATATGTAAAGTAATTATCTGTAATTCATTTTCTTTAAGTAAGTTTTTTTTTTTTCCTTAAAAAAAAGTAAATAACAGTTATGATTCATTGTGGTTGTGTAGCATTTCACAAGTGATAAAATGATAACTTATTGATTTCATCTAATCAATTTGAACTTTTGTAACAAATTTGATAATTTAATAATTACTTGCAAAGCATTTCCATTTTATTTCATTTCTAAATTAAAAATGAAACATTTTTGCATAATTTATTTAAAATTTCAGAAACAACAGCTGTCAGCAAATGTGATAATTTAATAATTACTTGCAAAATTCTATTTTCTTTTTTTTTTTTTTTTTTTTTGTTTAATTACAAAACATTTACAAAATACAAAAAAGGATTCAAATTTTACGAATTATATTGTGCAACAATGAAAAGTTAGTTTAAAATGAATTTTATTCATATGCTTAAATTATTAGCATATCGAAAATTTATAATTTTAATGAAATATGACCAAGAAAATTGACATTTGAAAAGATAAAAAATAAATCATATACCTGAATATTGTTTATTACCTGGACAATATTATTGATTACCTAAACATTAAGCAATAAATAGTTTATAGCTTATCTTAAATATTTTCTTTTCATTTTCATCCTAACTTCCACGCGTAAATAAGTAAAAATATTTTTAAGAAAACCTAAAATCTTTAAAAGTTTCCCTTTTCTATATTCATTTTTTTTCATGGATAATTTACAAAAATTTCTTAAATGAATCAAATTTAGTTCTATTATATCTTGCGAAAAAATTTTTTTACTTAAACACAAAATTTGTCGTTTAAATGAATGAATACTTTGACAAAAAAAATTTGCACAGCATATTTAAGCTTAACTTACAAATATTGCATTTATTTATAATACTTTATTATTAGAAGGAAAACAATTCTATGCATATTAAATTTAAATCAAGAAATTAGTAAAAAACAATTGTGTCATAATTATACTATAAATTATTAAAAAAAAAAATAACAAATAACAAATAACAATTGAACGAATAAAGATAAAGCATTTAAAAGTTCAATTTTTAAATAAAATTGCTAATTGGTTAACGATAGCTTAATTATGGCGCAAAAAGCGTCAAATAGTTACGCACCATTTGTCACTTTGTCAACCAATGTCCAAACCATATATGATCTTCCTCCATTTGTTCTAGAATTGTCATTATTGATTTAGCATTAAAAGAAATGATCAATAATTTGTTGCAATTTTATTGTGGATACAATGTTATGCTTTACCTTAATTTCTTTAATTAATTAAAAACTTTTCCTTAATTTAATAATTAACTTCTTTAATTAATTAAAAGACAAAAAATAAACCAAAAAAAAACTAATAAAGTCAAGAATGTAATAAAATATTCATTTCTTTACTAATACTTTCAAATTGTTTATTCATTTCTTTACTAATACTTTCAATTGTTTATTCATTTCTTTACTAATACTTTCAAATTGTTTATTGATGTATTCTAGAAATATTACTACTATTACTACTTTTTAAAATTTTTGCAAATTATTGAATTATTAAAACAATAGCAATTGTTATTTGCTCAGTATCTACTGAATTCGGTATTGTCATTCTCTAATCATACATTGATATTTCATGACACATTTCACATGCATTCTATATTTCAGGGTTTAAATTTTTTTTTATTTAAAATTTTAATTTAAAATTTCTAAACTAACATGAACTCTGATGATGATGCTTCTTGTATGCTAGCAATTCACTTCTTCCAACAAAGAATTTACCACAGCTCCCACATCGATGATAAGGTTGATGCCTTTGTTTATGACTACGAAATGATGAGTCACAATTGAATGTTCGTCCACAACCAGGCATTTTGCATTTATGAATGAATGATTCATCGTGTGTCTTCGTATGTTTTGCATATTCATCGTAATTTTTTATGATCATTGTACATCCGGGATAACAACATTCATAGATTTGTTCGTCTTAAAAAAGGAGAAATTTTTTTGGTTTACATTAATTGATTAGTTAATTAGACCGATTATCATTTAATTAACCAATTAAATCGATTATATATAATCTAATTAACTAATTAATTAACGGATTATAACATTCATAACTTCGTTTATCTTAAAAAAGAAAAACTCTTATGATTTATATTAATTGATATCTAATCAGTTAATTAAATCGATAACAACATTCGTACATTTGTTTGTCTTAAAAAAAAAAAAAGAAAAGAAAAGAAAAAAAACTTTTCTGATTTACATGAATTAATATTTGATTAGTTAATCAGCTCGATTATAATTTAATTAACTAATTAAATCGATCATAACATTCATAACTTTGTTTGTCTTAACCGCTATGATTCATATTAATTGATATCTAATTAATTAATTAAAAGTATGATAACATTCATACCTTCGTTTATCTTAAAAAAGAAAAGCTTTTGTGATTTACATTAATTGATATTTGATTAATTAATTAAACCAGTCAATGTGAAGTTACAAGAATATCAATGTCACAAAATAATATTATTACATTTTAAATAAGCTATCATTTGCATATATTTGAAACAAAAGAAAAAGAAAACTAAGTGTAATTGCAAATCTTTAGTTCTTCATTGTTTCTATTAATTAAGTAATAGTAACAAAAAAAAATTTTTTTAAATTTGATACAAAAAAAAGATAAATAAATTATTAGAGCATTAGTAGTTTAACTATGTGCTAATTACTTAATTGTTTATTAAATATACAAAGTAAACTGAGAAAAATGTGGCAAAATTAATAAAATTTTTATTGCTGCATTAATATGTTTAAAATTTCGTTAAATTTGTAAAAATTAACATTGTTCTGTATTTTTGCAATGAATTCTATGTCTTTGGAAAATATCACATTGTGATTTTAAATTCACTGTTAAATTTATTTTAATATAATAATTTCTGTAATATAATAATTTCCGATTAAATGTTTGTTCGCAATTGGGTACTTTGCATTTATAAATAAACTGTTCATTATGTCTTTTAAATATATAAAAAATAAAAAAGTTATGTTTTAAAAAATTGTTGTAGCCTGTTCTGGTATTGTTATGTTAGATCCAAAATACGAATATTTATAAATTTTTTCATTTGAAAAATTTCTGCTATGAAATTTGTTCTTTTTTTGCATTTTTTTTTTCAATTATTTATTTAAATAATTTGATATTTAACTAAATAATTTAGGAAATTATAATAAAAAATAAATATGAGTGACAAAAAAATAATTTTGTCATATGAAATTTCAATTTAACTTAAATTACAAGAAAAGTATATTTCAATTGTTTAAAATAAAAAAATCTTACCTTTAGTGGTGTCACTGACGGAAGAATCTTGAACGAATGCTTTATCATCATCTGATTTCAATTCCTTATCAGTACCTTCAGAGGTATCCATGCTAACTGGGAAATATTCTTGGGCGGTAATGTCATCTATGGGAAGAAGAAGTGGTGGATGATGAATTGTGGTTGCATTTTGTTGTAAACTAAGAGTGTCATTGTATGTGATAAGGTCACCGGTGTCGAGATTAAGCAGAACAAAAGTTTCAATTTGAGCTGAAGCAATGGAAAGTAGAAGACTGAACCAAATGACGAACATAGTGTGAAACATGAAATTTTGTGAAGTGACAGAATTACTCAAATGGATGCTTTTTATTTCAGATTAGTTTGAATTAAATGGTCAAAGATTTAAATAGTTTTTAATCTTTTATTTTTTTTAATCTTTATTGTTTTTTTTTTTTCTTTTCATGCATTCCGCTTTTCCAACTGACAATTTTCGAATTTCCAAATGATGTATAACAATAACGTAAAAGTAACTTTGAAATTCCATCATTTAAGTAATACCTATAGAATTTGACTGATATTATAGCACTTCAAATTTGTTAATTAATTATTTGCTAATTAAGAATATGCTCATTTTTAAGCATTTAATTTGTGTATTTAATAAAGTTGCATGTATAAATGTAAAGATATTAATCATTGAATTGATTAAACTTTATTAGATTGAAATATAACTTGAAATACTTCAATTTTGCTAATTTCTACCAATTAATTGATCTCTGATTTTTTGTTAATTAATTATTGCTTTCTGACATAGATTTATAGTTAGCTATTCTTGTTTGCTATTGTAAAAGAGAATAACAATGTAAGCCGAAATGTTTGAATTTAAATTTTCAAAAGTTAGAATAACACAAAGGATGTATGAAGGATTTGCATAATTGCAAATAATTTTCAATGTTTGATTTTCAATTTTAGTGATGTTATTAATTGACAATTGCAAATTTATTGCTTGAAATTTATTTTTATCATATATTAATTAAAGTCATACGTTATGCATTAATATTAAAAACATGGAGTACTGACTTCCACTTATTGTAACATTTATTTTCAAGAATAAATTATTAGTAAATTTGACAAAAAAAAAAAAAACTGACAATTCTGTGAGACATCTATCTGTTTTTTTGTCGAAAACAACCAAGATAATATATTAAGTAAATATTATTAATATAAGAAGAACGAGGATTATTACAATTCTAATAAATAAATAAATGACAATTACAACATTAATAAATTCATACAATAATTTGTTTACTTTCCTTTCCTAATTTTCGTTTATCAATATCTTCTTTATTTGATAAACCTTTTTTTCTTCCATGTTTTTAGTAATATATTTGTCAAATATTATTTTTTTTTTTTTTTCTTTTTTAGTAATTTTATTTGATAATTCTTTTTTCTTTTAGTAATATATTAAGTGAGAAAAAATTTTTATTCAAATATTTCGCAATTATCAATGTTACTGGATTCATATTAAATGAAGATTTGATGATTTGTCACAATCAAATCAACAATGAGTTTGAATGAAATAATTCAAAGCATTTCACCAGTTAAATAAATACATCTCTAAAATGCATACTTCTGAATTAAAAAATTGTGAGCCAAATATTTTGAAATATTTCGAATATTTGAGATATAATTGAATTTCAGACTAAAAAAAATTCGTATATTTTTTTACTGAATTTATGAAATTCCATTACTGCTGTCACTTAACTGCAGAAAAAAAAAAATCGATTGATGTGAACCAGCACATTACACGCATGTTGCATATTTTTTTATCTGTGAAAAAATGAATGATATATGAACAGAGAAATTTTTATTTTCTTTTGTTTTCATGTTTAAATCTTCAGAATTGTAGTCTGGCAGTAAACTTTTAATTTAACAGTTCGAAAGTGTACCGAACTTAAAATATTCATCCCTTCTTAACGTACGTACGCGATATAAATTAAATGGTATAAACATCTGCGTCGAAGAAATCTAAAATGATAAAGTAAATCAATCTGATATATGCAGTTACGTACGCTTCTCGTAGAATTAAACTGCCGAATCACTTTGTGATAGTTTAAAGGGTACGTTTGTGTTAGTTTACAGAAGATTATATATGGAAGGTAGAGTATTACGATATGAACTGTGTTTAATAATACGGTGAGTTCTCACGTTTGAAATATGCGTAAAGATTAATCGTACGTTACAATGATGGCGAGATTTCTCATTCCTCAATAAAAATAGTGAAACCAAAGAAGATCGTGCAACATTTCATACAACATATCTCTTACTAGTATTTTCAACTCCCATATAGTAATTTAGAGTTCCACGATATAAAAATCTGTGACACGCGTGAATTCACCTTTTCTACGTTTACTTACCTTTCCTACGTTTACTTACCCGACACGAAACCTACACGTACCGTAACTCAAATTAAAGAAACGCTCTAACGTGAACCAAGTTTTGACACATGTCGAGTTGTAACTCTGACTGTCTCGCAATGACAATTTCTGTCTCTATTATTTCCAAGAGAGCTTTGGTATTTATGTATTTATTGTGAAGGACTGTTCGTGAAGAGCGATTACAAAGTATCAGGAAAATCTTGACAAGCAAATTAAATCCGGTCAAATTACGAATACAGTATACGGAGCCATTTGTCATGTGAGCACTCTGGTTTAGATAATAATTTTTACCGTTATGAGATTCGTTTTAGTGGAAGTAAAAATTTCAGGTTATTTCTGTTAATTTGTTAGCATTTCCTCATTGATTGTATTTTTTTCATCTGTAACTGATTTCAATCAGTTGTTATCAGACGAATTTAGTGTAAAATTGAATAGTTAGAATGATAGAAATTTGTTATTGGCTAACATTTTACTGGAAGGCATTCACCTCTTTGTACTGCAAATTAATTAATTAAATTTGACAATCACTGTTTTTCTCTACTAATGTTGTTCTTTCTAATTTCATAATTTTCTGTCGCATCTGTTTCGTTATTCGTTGCCCACTGTAAATATTTTGTATATATTTTTTTTTTAATTTCTTATTATTATTAATCTTCCTGGATGTATCAGTTCTCTTTAAATATTTCTGACATTTTTTTTCTTTACATTCATTGTATTCAAGTACCATTCATGTAGCACTAATCAGTTCTGTTTCAAATTTCAGAAGTGATATTTGTTATCAAGTTAAATTTTACATGTTTAGTAAGTTCTATATGAATTTTAAAAATGGTACTTAGTGGAATCCTACTTAATATTGAGTAGAAATAAGAATAGTAAAAGTAATTATCAGGAATCAGAATTGAATGGTAGTGAAGTTTTACTTGAAGAATTCATTTAACGATAAATTGTTGAAATTTAATAAATTTTACTTGAAGTAATTCATTTAACGATAAATTGTCGAAATTTAATAGATTAGGCAGAGATAATTGTAATGTAGTGAGGCGTTTGTTGCTAAATTCGTATATGTTGAATAGATTAATATTCTACTAAAATTTGATATTTAATCGGTATTTCTTAATATTCCAGGAATTTTAATGAAAATTAAACAACGAAAAGAATTAATTAGAATTGATATAAAAAGTGCTTCCAATGTCTATTACCCAAAAAGCATATGATAGCTATGAAGATGAGGACTATCGACGTAACGCTGAATATCCGCGACAATGTGATTTATGCACTCGAGATGTAAAGAAACTTTCTAATCGTTTCGAATTTGCTCAACATTTGCGTGCTGTACATTGTACCAAGGAAGGTGGATCTTTTATTTGTCGGTAAGGATTTTCGTTTTTATTTTTCCGGAAATCAAGATTTAAATGACTTCTTATATTTGGTTTTTCAGTTATATGCATTTTGAATGTTTGTTTATATCAGACACAACAATAGATATCGAAATTAAAGTTGTCAAATCATTCCATCTATGCATTCATTTGCTTAAGTTTAACCGAACTAATCGATATTCATTCGATGTGTCTTTATTTTAACATAATAATTGAATCATGAATTAATTGATATGCTTTCAGTTATGGGCCAAATGGAGTTTGTCAAACATTACCCTTGGAAGGTGTTTCTGATCGTGATTATGAAGCTCATATCCGGAAATGTCATGCTAGTTTTGGTAAGTTATTTTATCGTTCTTGCTTGGGAATCAGTTCTTCTTTTATTAACTTAAGATTTTAACACTAGTTACATCGTTTATTACTTATTAAAGAAGTGATACACTTAAAGTCGTTTGTATAATTTGCATTGTTTAAAATTGTGTAGTATGATATGCTCTAGGTAATTATATATTCTTTTCCCTGTAACTTAATTAAAGGTTGATCTCATTGGGAGTGCAAATTAATATATTAATTGCTGTTTTTCACTTATTTTTAATTTTAGTCTTTGATAAGCAATCAACCGTGGATAAAGCGGAAGGGAAAAAAATGCGCTCTTCCTCGAATCCGGTCTTCACCATTCAAAGGTATGATATAATCATGTAAAAAGATTTTAAAGAAATCCAAAGGACAGTTGTGAAAAAAAGGGATGTTTTTACTTTATGATTGATAATTAACACGGATATTATAAAGCATATACAGTGTTTTTCATTGAGAATAGTAAATGACTAAAAAACTGGTAAACAAATATGAAAATCTACTAAATGAAAGGTTAGACAGGGGGAAAACAATATTATTCAGAACCAAATTTGTCTTCATCTTTTTCTTATGTTCTGGACAAGATTTGCTGAAAAATGAGTATTACCAAAATTTCCAAGCCAATCTAAATACTTGTTGTGTGAAAGTAACATTAATTATTAACGGGCAAGATATATTCGATGAAGTTTGGATTTATTCGTGACTGCGTTTATGGTTCTATTAAAACAGATGGGCTAAACTGTGATTAGTTAAAATCAATATGGGATTAATAACTTGACGATATGTGCAGTAATTTTTTTTTTTTTTTGAAGTATATAAAGTATATATAAGGCCAACTTTTTTCAGTCTATCATTTTAAACAAAGTTCTGGCTTTTTTTTGAAATAAAATTGCTTAAATGAATTAAAAATAAAGGTTAGAAATAAGTTGCAGCTAAATAAGCAGATAGTAATTCTTCGGCTGAGTGAGTTGGATGATTGCTTCAATTCCAGTTTTTCAGTCGTGAACGTTTCTTTTTGATTGTTGTAGTTAGAAAAGTGTATAGATAAGTGCCACCCTAAATGAGATGAATAAAATTTCAAATTTTTGGATGAAATTTAATATTTAATAAATATTCTGCACATATACCTGTATTAGACTAAGAATTGAAAGTCCAAGCCATGCTCCCATGGATCCACCAAGTGCTGCTATGAATGTTGGCATTGACCATACCCAGTATTGACTCAAAGTGAGATATTCAAATGAACCCCAGTTTAAATTAATTGTCGTGAAGTCTAAAAGAAAGTTGTAATAGTGAAAAGTTTGAAAATAAGTCATCATAGTTAAATTAAAAAAAATTTTTGTATTTATTTGTTTTTTTTTTTCTTTACTAGATGAACAAAATTTGTTTTAATTTTTACTCAAAATCAATCATTTTTGTTTGTTTTTTATTTATTTTTACAACAGTTTTACTAAGTAAAAACTTACCACGATGAAACATTTTACCATGCTGTACGTGACTTACTTCATAGGTAATTTGATCACAAGAGCGATAACACTTTCGGGTGCATTGCTGATCCGAATATGTAATATTCTTAACACTAAATTGAAATTATTAAATTCTTCTGCATTTGTAATACTTTTTTGTTTTTGCTTTTTTTCTGTTTTGTTTTGTTTTTTGTTGTCTTTTAAAAAAGTTTTTTTTTTTTTTCTCTGAGTCCTTTTTGTTGCCCTTTTTTTATTTTTTGTTTTTCTGCTTCTGCTTTTTTTTTTCTTTTGTTTATTTTTTATTATTTGTTACTAAAATTTCCAAAAAAAATATTAAAGTACAACGAGAAAAGACTGAACTAATTATTTGTTTAAAGTTTGATTGGATTTTTTATTTAGAAATTGACATCAAAAAATGGATTTGCAATTAATACAAAAAAAAAAAAACATTCATGACTTTAAAATAAGATTATTATAAGTAAGATTATGAAAGAGAGATTTAGGATTTTAAAACAACCATGAATTATAGAATGGTGATATTATCAAGTGCATTAAATTTTTTTTTTTTAAAGTACGCTCAAAATATTGACATTAATTCGTAAGAATATATTTTTAAGAATCCCTACTCGATTTCGCATTTTTCATAATTACAGATTGGAAATTTGTTGTATTCATTCTCATTTCTTGTAAGATAACTTAAAGTTGCTGGTGTGCATTTGCATATATCCTGAAAAATATAGGTTATATTTTGTCGATATAAATTCTTGTCGAAATATTTGTTGAGAACTAATTGTTGTTTGTTAGCTAAAATCAAGTTTGAACTATATGAAGTTATGAACTTAAAATTGCCAACAAAACTTTACATTTTTAGTTAGAAAAATTTAGAAAAAAATAAAAAGACATTACTTTTACTATCTTACTAATGTTCCAAGAATTATAATTTTATTGTCACCCTGATCATTTCCATGCGACATCTTGATCGACAATCAAATTCACTTTCTTCATTTTCTTTAACATTACGACATGCTGTACCATTCTCATCATTTTCAAGCATTACATATCTTGCTCGTACGTCAACTGTCACTTCATGTCGAATACCAAGACATAACTTAAAATTAGTTCCATCTTCAAATTTGGTCAATTCAATAAAATCATTCATAAACCAAAAAATATATATATATATATATATATATATATATATATATATATAATTAGTAAATTTAGTAGGTAAATAAAAACTAAATAAATAAATCGTAAAGTAAGCTTTTTAATCTATAAAAAATTTAATATATACATCATCATTAAATCCATCTCGTGCACGACCTTGACCTTCCATAAAACGTGAAAGTGAACTAGGTCGTCCATGAAAATCAACAGACATACAAGCAATATTAAAGTTTTCCAAGTTATCAGTATTGTGTGATAATAGCATTGTAAAGAAATTTCCCTGCGAATAGGTAAATTAAATGACGATATTTTGATTTGAATCTTTTTTTTTTTTTGTCTAAAATTTGTTTTGAAATTTGAATGTTAAAATTATGTACAATTATGTAGAAGAATCATAAATTTTTTTACATTATATCTGATTATTTTCATACTTAATGTTTACATTACTCTATTATTATCACTAGAGATAATTATTATTCTTAACACTGCGATCTATCACAAACACAACTATTATTGTAATATTTCATGTCACAAATTTTATTCCACTTTAATTTTATTATTTATTATTATTATTATGTTAGATTTTACTAACAAATGTTACAATTAGAAATGTTAAAATTTCTAATTTAGAATAAATAATGTTCAATTTCATCTACTCAATGTATTTTTATTATCATTATTTGCACTATGTTTGTATTTTAGTTTAAGAAGATGATAAAAGAGAAATCAAACTTAAAACCTGATCTTTTATTTCGAAATAATTATCTCTATCAAACCATGGTTGAAAGCAGAATTGCATTGTTGAAATCCATGAAGTTCGAAATTTGGTCTTAATTTTAAGACTTTCATTAAATGTTGTTCGTTGAAATCGTCGTAGTGAATATTTTATAGTTTCCGAACCAATTTTTTGTGTTAATTCTTCGAATGTCACACCACGTTGCTTAATTTCATTTAACCATGTCTACAATTTGTCTATAATTACTCTGTATAAATTCTTAATCAACGATAAATTATCTTAAATTTAAGTTAAAACTTTAGTTAATTTTTTATTTATTTCGTTCCGAAATTTGGTTTTAATTTTTAGGACTTTCATTAAATATCATTCATTGAAATCACCATAGTGTCTACTTGATTTCTTTTTTTTTCAAGCTGAAATCTTGACTTAAATTTATGACTACGTTTCTTTTTTTTTTAAAAAAAAAAAGAAAAAAACTTCAGTAAGAATGATTTTTTGATGCATTTCTAAATATCCATTTTCCTCGTTTCTAAATATCTATTTCATCTTTCTAAAATATTAATTTACATTGTTAATTTTAGTTTTGAAAATTATTTACTGCATCAAATCAGTTATACTTACCTTTAATTCTACAGTAATTTAAAATGGTTAAATCAGGAAATAACAAATGAAAATTTCTTTTTTTTTTTTAATTAACCTTAATCATCGTTCGTTTAGCTTGAAGTTTTGGATGAGTGCTAAAGAAATTAATAGATCGAGCAGATCCTTGCGCTGTTGTCTCTCGTTCCATACTATTCAGTGTTGCAATTACTTCATATGCTTCAAGAACTAACCGATAATCCCAGGCTTCTTCGAGAAATTTTTCTCGAGAATTTAATTTTTCGAGTTCTGTCTGAATAGCGAAATGAAATTAATGAAGGATCTTTGTACTCATTGATCACTTAATCAAATGCAGTTTATTTGAATGATAATTATTTTTTGTAGCTGAAAACATTGTCAGCGAAAAAGTGAAAAGTTAGTTTAACTATTAGCTTTTAATTTTTTTTTATAATATGTGTTGAAATCTTGAAAGTAAAACATTATTTTTTTTTTTCAAAAAAAAACAAAAAATATTTTCAATAAATTAATTTGAGGTAAAATGGAACTTTTTTTTTCAGAAAACTGTTTATTGATTTCTTATTTAATTCTTCTTTAAAACCTTATTAAATTACCTGTATTCTTCTATCCCATTCATCAGCCAATTCTGAATTATTAAGAGGAAGATGACTCCAAGCTTGTTGTTTTGCCATACAAAATGTGATATTAGGCATATTCATTGATTCATTAAACATTATATTCATATTTGATTGTTTCGGATATTCCATATATTCTATCACCTTAGATTTTAAATTTTATATAATATAAATTTTCTTCTCTTATTTTATCTAATCGATTATTTAAATTTTTCTGTTTCTTATACACCCCATAAATCTTCATAGGTAAGCTGTTAGATAAATTATGAGAAAATCTTTCATAATTTCTGAATATAATAAGTCTTTTATAATTTTTTATGATCCTTCAAAATTTAAATATAATAAGGTGGTTTATTTAAATTAATGGAGTAGGTCTAGATAAGAAGGATACAATTTTCTCACAATTGATGTCCATGATGTTTGATTTACAAAATTTTGTATAAGTATTAGAATACTGTGTAATTATATTGATATTTTTTAAAATATAATTAAAATGAAAGAGAACCAGCAGAGTAATATCTCGAATAGTCATCACAGCCAGAAAGGTGACAATAAACCAAAGACCCCATCGTCTCATTCGTTCACCCAGAAAGCATTCTTTCCAGCTGATTCCTTCATTTATTGTCATTTTTGCTATCTTTTGATCCTGTGAACTAACAACGAAATTTCTAATTACAATAATAATTTATCAAAAATTTTAATAGTTACATCAGAAAAAAAAAAATGAATAGTTATTAAAATTTCATAAATACATAATAATATTTAAAGAAATTTAAATCTTCTAAAAGTTCTATTTATCCTATAGGATAACATTTGGAATTTCTAGGAAAAATTTTTTTTAGGAAAAACATCTATATCAATAAATTTAATTTTGATGATATATATTCTATTAAAAATTTGTATATGACTGAATTTATTATTATTATTATTGTTAATGCTAATATTATTATTATCATTAGTTATTATTATAGGAATAGGATTAAGTTAAATTTTTTGTAGCTTAAATTTTTGCTAGAATTAAACTTACGTTTGGCTTATTTTATATCGTAATTCATCGTATACTTGTCGAAGAAGTTCAATATCACTTAAATGTCGATTTTCTTCTTCGTCATGTTCCTCCTCACTTTCATTATTTAAAAGACGACTTCGAATAGAAATTGTTGGATTCTTTAGATGCAGTGAGTTAAAATCAAAATTAATTTGTTTTCGTATATTTTCTGATTGCATTTGTGAATTCATCTGTGCAGGCATTATTATTTGAGATGTTAGTGATGTTTGAGTTTGTGCAGTTTTTGATTCCTTCAATGCTGACTGATAATAATGATAAGAGCAGTTAAGTTGTGAATTATTCATTTTATTCATATTCTCATCTGAATTTTGACTATCTAATAATGGACAAGCAATAGTAGGTGGTGTATCTGTTATTATTGTAGTTGAAGTAGAATATTCATCGTTTATCAGTGGTGATAGTTTGTAGTTTGAATTTTGTAAATTTTGTGGGTAATGATGTATGCCTGAAGATTTGAAATTCATCATTATTTTATTCTCTGAGTTAATAGTAGTATCATAGGCATACTGATTACTATTTATTTCCATTTTGATGCAATTCTTGTTGATATCATCCTGAAATGAATTTAAAAAATTTGAATCAAAGAGAGGAGAAATAGTATATTTAGAGTTCGAAGATTTCTTTCATTTCTATCGTCTTATTTAATAATAATTGTTCAAGAATTTCATAATTTATAATTATTCTTGAATTTTCTTTTCTACAATTTTATTAATTGTTAATGGCACACATTTCATATAAATATATGTATGTTACTTCTTAAAAAGTAAACAATTATTGCGGAATAGGACTTAAGTAAGTCTAAATAACACTTATTTTTCCTAATTCAACAGATATTTTTTATCGAAAGTTTTCACTTTAAATTTCGAAAATAGATGAAATACTACTTAATAGAATGTAAAAATGGCAAAGAAGAAAGAGAAATGAAAAAAAAAAAAAATGGAAAAAATAAAAGTGATTTTATATTACTATTAATAGCCTATATTATAAAGGTCAGTTAGTTAGGTTAAATGATAGTTTCGAATTTTTGACCTTAAAAATGAAATAAGTTTTAAGAGTTGATAAATAATTTTCTCAATATACCTTTTTTATAGGAGTAGTCAGTTTACTTATTATCAACTTCTTTTTTTTTTTTTTTTGAATAACAAATCTGCTAAGAATTATGGTGCTGATAACCGGGAAAATATGGCAAGATGCATTTGTATAACAAAATTAAATTTCAGTTTACTTATAGAGATTATTTTCAACACAAAAAATGACAGTGATTTTTTTGGGAAAACTTTTAAATGTAAGCATGTATACAATGGGAAGAAGTGTAAATGAAATGAAATTTATAAATTTTTTCCAAATGCTTTGATTAGATATGATAACGAAAATGATAGTGACAGTGATAATAAGAAAAAACAATTTGATTAAATAATTTTCATTTTTTAATTCTAGATAGAGTGATATAAATGGTTCAGTATATTATTGGGTCATACAGATATCTAAAAAAAATAAAGAATTGGTCAAAATTTTGATTTTTTTTTTTTTTTGAAGGGGGACAAATGTTCTTAAGTAATTGATTAAGTCAATAAGTAAATGATTAATTCTATAAATAACTAAAGTAATTGATTAATTAATTCAGTAATAGATATTATCTGAGGGTTTTGTTAAGAATATTAGTAAGACACTGAAAATTGAAGAAGCAAATATCTCTTTTTCATCTTTGCTAGCAAAATGGCAATGATAGAGTTATGATGTATGACATTTACTATTGTAACTTATGGAATATGAAATATTTTTGAAAAAAAAATTTTTCTTGAAAATGTATTTTGAAATAAAATTCCAAAAGAATTAGAAATAGTTTTTTCGTCGTTTTGTTGGTGAGTAATTTTTTTTTTTTTTTTTTTGTAAATAAACATTGAAAAGATTGTTTATATATGTAGAAGGAAATGATACTAAAAAAGAAACATATTTGCACTTTTTGATTTTCTTCTATGTGCAGTTTCTTTTTCTTTTTTTTTGTTTTATTTTTTAAAAAAACAAAATTAATGTTTTACTTTTTAAAAAAAATTTAATAATTGTGCTATAATAAAACTAAACAGAATTATAATGAAAGAAAAATCAAAAGAAGGGAAATTACTCTTTATTATGAATATTCTAAAGGTATTACTTTCATAACTGTGATTACTGCTATTTCTCAAATTTTTTGCTAATAATTTACTAATGATCTAATGCTATTAAAAACAAAAAATGAAAGGAAAGGAGCAATTTACTATAAGTTATAATTTACTGAAATCTTCTAGTCTTCTTTTTTTTTTCCTGTTAGCCTATATCATTCCAAAGTTTCCTTTTTTTTTTCTTTCTTTTTTGAATTTTTTAAGAATCGACAAACAAAATTTAAATGGCATAATAGGAAGACGAAGACAGAGTGGCAAAGAAGAGGAGAGAGTGATTTTTGTATATAATTTAATAGTCAAAACATCTGTTTAAAATTATTCTTTTCACATAGGTCACCATTTTCATTCTGTTTTCCGGAACAAGAAGTTATTTTTGCATATTTTAACTAATGATTGAACTTATGCTAATCTTATGCCGGAAGTATTCAGTTTGAGAAATTACTTTTCTGTCTATTTATTATCTTTTTTTGTTCACTGTCGAAAATTTTTATAATTGAATGTCGAGAATGTAATTTATTATAGAGAATAAAACCACATGTAAATTTAACATTTCGTATTGTAAAGGTTAGAAAGAAATATTTTGTTGCGAATGTAAGATTTGTTTTTTCAGGTAATTTTAAATTTAAAAAAAAAAAGTGTAATTACAAAATAGGCTGAAAAATGTAATTTATTATCGGGAATAAATCACATGGAAATTTAATATTTTTAATTTTAAATGTTAGGAAGAAATATTTTCTTCCGAGTGGAAGATTTGTTTTTTTCAGGCAATTTTAAATTTAAAAGAAGTAATTACAAAATAGGTTTGTATGAAATATTTTTGGAAAGATGGTCAATTATAAGTCTTTATTTAAAATCTTTTGAATATATTGAAAATAATTCTTAATGCAAGAAATATTCATATTTTTTATTTTTAAATTAATAAATAAAAATGCAATAGTTTTAGATGAAGAAAAATCATGAATAATAGATGGTTGCGTTGCAAGCTGATCTTTCAAACTATTAGTAATCACATTTATATTAGTATTATTGATAACATTATTAATATTAATATTTTAACCAACAGAAAAATTACTCTCAACTAAATATATTTTATATTCTACTCATCTAGGATTAATTCATTCTAAAAAAATTTGAAATTTGTGTGAATTTGAAAGAGAATTAAGAGATGAAATGATAATGTTTTATCTTTTATGTTTCAGTTTCACTCAGAATTTATCATCAGTATTGTTAGATCCAAAATGTTCACGAACGGAAATACAAAATTTTTTCACCAGACACTGGGGTGATTCATTTGTGCCCAAAAATCAAATATCACCTGCATTGTCATTACCGTCTATATCATTAGATCATTTCAAGAAATATCTTAAAACTATTGCTAAGGTTTGTTATGATATTTGATTTAGTTAACATTTACTATTGTTACACAAGTGCTTTTCTTTCATTTCTATGTTTTAATCTAATTTCACTTTTTTTTTTATTTTTTAATTTTCTAATTTTTTAGAAACATCATCAGTGTTTAAGAGCTAAATATGCAGGACGACATGATGAGGATACACGTGTTGATGTCGATGATGTGCCATTGGTTTGTGATGTTTAATTTTTAATATTTTTAGTATTTTCATATTTATATTTTACAAAATTTTATAATTGAAATGTTTTTTTTTTTTTTTAGATGAATTTTATTATTTATTAACTAGTAAATGATACTAAATGATCATGCTAGCATTAATAAAGTTGAACATTAATATTAGCACTCTATTTATAGCTTTATTATCTTTCATCTATCTGATACCATTTTGAAAATGTAATATATCAAGTTGAAGAATTATGTTTTCTTATAAGTTAAATAATTATTAACATAATTACATACTTTATTATTAGTTATTAATTTTGAAGATTCTATTGGATCCGCATTTTTCTCTGGCTGATTTATCTACCTTTGAAGCAATTTTCTTGGAGCCTATTCCTGGTGAAGTTGACCGTTTGCAAATGACTGATAAGGCATATACAACATTTCTGGAACGACAACCTTGCGGTAGTGGTATATCATCATCATCATCTATGTCAAATATTTCCGGTGATTTGAAGTCATCATCGTTACAGGTTCATTAGATTTGCTTTTTAATTAATATTTGAAAAAAAAAAAAAAAGAAATTTCACTCAGCTCCAATTTTCTAGCAAAATATAATTTCAATTTTCGCTTATTTAAGTTCAATTTTTCATTACTGTGATAAAATAAATAAACTTTGCATAGCAAACAATTCTTAATTTTTTCTCTCTGTCTTTCTATTTTTTGGTTATCATTCATTTATAACTAATTTTTCAGATGCATGACTCATACAAGGCAGCAAATGGTCGTTATTTTAGGCCATATGATAAGCTACAAAAATGTCTTGAATTTTATCACGATTTAGTTGATGTAAGATTAAACAATCAATTAGCGCTGAAATCTAATGCATTTTGGAAAGCAGTTATATCATGTGGAAGTTTAAGTGGTGAATTGACAGATGCTATGAAGAAAGTTGCAGTAGTAAGGTTATCTATTTAGTTATGAATAAAATAATCTCCAAAAAAAAGTTTTTTTTTCCTTTAGATCAATTAGTATTAATCTATCTTTGCTCTCAAGAAATTTTCATTTTCTTTAATGATATAATAATACTTTTTTTTTTTTCATGATGTATCTTATCATTGTAAACATTTCTTTTAATCTTGCAATATTGTATTGTTTAGTTGTAAATAAAATAATGAAGATTGCAAATGTAAAGAGAAATGTAACCTTTCTTATGCATTTATTGTCATAGATAACAATAACAATTCATAATTATTATTTACAATAATATGTTAGTGCTTGCTTTTTTTTTTAGGCAAAATTTGAAGAAAGTGGATGAAAAGTTGTATCATCGGATGACAAAAATTGTAACCATATATAAAATACGACAACAACAGGAGAAAGTGCTGCAAAAATTGCGAGTTAGTTTGTTTTTTTTTTTTTTGTTTATTTCTTTCTCAAAATGGATGAGAATTTACAAAATCATAATTGATTGTGATAACACCCTTACTTCACTATCACCACAAAGTATTATTTTTCTCTGTGAAATTTTGAAAGTAGAAAAAAACTCACATTACTTTATGTTGGAAATATCTTTATTTTTCTTATCAATTCAGTTGAAAAAATTGTTCAAAAGCTTCTTGATTGCATCGTATACCTCTTTCGAATGGCTTTAATTTCTTTCAGTTTCTCAAAAACATAAAATTTCACCTGATTTTACTAATCTTGATGAATAATATTTTGACATTATGTAATTTCAGTATTTCATATTACTATTCAGATAGACTATTATTAGGAAACAGTTTGTGAATTTTTTTAAATATTTTAAAACCTTTAGCAACCACCTTAATTTTTGATTTTTTACAGGATATGGCTTGCCTTCGAGATGCTCAGCTAACCGTTCAAATGTTATTAAATCAAAATGACTATCCGAAAGCTTTAGAATGTATCGAAACAGCGCAAGATGTTTTAAACAACGAATTACGAGGTGTTATATGTTTCAGGTTAACATTTCGAGAGTTATAATTTATTTAAATATTCATTTTAAATTTCCATTTATTTTTTTCGACTTTCATTTTATGACTGACTCGCTTTTTGATGATGATGATGATAGTATTACTTATGAGATGTATGGAATGATTACAGCAGCTTTTAAGTTAGATTATTTAATCTTGTTTATTGGTTTGCCAGTATTAGAATTTGTTAAAATTTTAGCTTATTGTTGTTACAGGCATCTTGGTTCACAATTACAAGAGCTAAATAAGGTAATTGCAAAAATGCTTTATGAAGAATTTGTAACTTTGATACAAAAAGAAATGGGACGACCATGTGAAACCGAGAATGATGCTGCTTATCAAGGGGTTTGTTTTGTTTGTGATATTGAATTAGATATTTTATGGTAGATCGGAGCAGATACGAAATTGGATGGAAGTATAGCAAGATGGAAATCATGGATTAATAATTTTTCAATTTCTTTAAAAATTTTTGTATGCAAGTTGAAATAATAAAATTTTAATCTGCATCTAAATGGCATTAACTTAAACGAAAATCCCAAACTTCAACCATATAAACTTCTCATGTTATTGTTAATTTGTTATTGATTTTTTTTTTTTCATTAAGGGACATATAAATCCGATTGTAATTGGATTATTGGAAGTGAAGGAATATCGTTTTATACATATATTGCAGCAAGAAATAGTTGTAGCATTAAAAAATTCACTAAGACAAGTTTGTTAATTTAAATAATTAAATATTTGTCGTATTCTTAGCGATTTCAATTAATAAGATTTTGTTCATCCATTTATAAAAATCATTATTTTTATAGATAATAAAAACACATGTGGTGCAAAATATGGATGATCATGAGTTAACGGAATTTGACCCATCACTTGGTAATTTGAGCACTCAAATGCGAAGATTGAATTTTGATCAGTGGTTCGAGACATTGCAACATGTCTTACGTGTCCTTTATCTGATGTGTCGTAGGGTACAGAATATTCAGGAAGTTATTCTGGATAACATTAATCAATTTTCGGAAATACTTGCTAGCAGACCTGTCCGAAATCAGGAAATTACCGATGAGTCAGTTTGTTAAATATATGAAAAGCAAAAATTTTGAAAAAATTTTAAATGCTTTATATACGTAAACTTATGTTCCATTAGAATGAAATTTCATATAAGTATGTCATAACTAACATTTTTCTGTATAACTGTTCCGGTTACCAAAAATTCATAGTATTCAAAACAATTTTAGCACCTTGAGAAATTGAAAAATTTTTTGAAGAGAGTGATTTCTGTTTACTGAATATTCAGTTTTTCTTATCTGGCAAAAATAGTGCTCTCGAAGAAATACTTTGATTGAATCATAATAACCAGTTGTAATCTCATTGTATAATTAATGCTATTCAGGATTAACTCTGTCCAGGAACTTACGGATCCGAATAAGTTCACATGTTCGACTAATGATACATCATTTCCGGTACAATTAATAGATACTGATGATGATGGTGATGATGAGATTACAAAACCGGAAACAGATGATGAATTGGAAGTGAACATCAATCGTACATTAAGGAATAGTTCACTGGAAGCACAAAATATTGCAATACCATCATCATCAAGTAATGGAAAAACTATGGAAAATGTTGAAAATTCGCAAAATAAAATAGCAAATGGACAGAGAAGTATTTCTCAGGTGTCAATGACTGCAACACCATCTTCTTTTCTGTCAATACCATGTAGGACGATCAGTCAGGTAAGTGTCATTTGAGATAATATGTAACCTAGCAAGGAGGTTAGTAACATCAGTGATTTCAAATTGATTACGTTGATGTGCAAATTCTTACTTGCGATTACCATTTTGTTGTTGGATTTTCAAATCAAAATTTTCTTCATTCTATGAAATTTTCAAAAAGTTTAATTTTCGAATTAAGAATTTTAGAATTATATTCTAATTCCAAAAAAAAAAAAAAAAAAAAAAGGTTTTATAACTGCTTCAAGATATTTTAATTTCAAAAATATGAAAAGTTTTTCTTTGAAGGTAAAACTATCAATAGCTTTTCTCACTGAACATACAACATATATGGCTCAGGAACGCAGTTGTCGTCTAATAGCTGCTAGATCAAAAGTATGTAATAAATTTTTAAATTGTTTTCATCATAAGAGTAAAAATTAGTTGTTGAATTTTCAAAATTTTGTTAAAAAAATAAGTTGTTCGGAGAAAATATCTGAAAATCTGAAAAAAAAACTGGATACTATTTTCAGGATGGCTTCCTTGAACGGTTGTCGTTGTCCGAGTTTGATAGTGTAATGCGTGCTATCGAAGAATTTGTTTGTAATTGTCAAATGTTAATTGGAAATGAAAAGAAATTCTCGTCGCCTTTGCGTTTATGTGTTCTTCAACAAGGCAGTAGTTTCATTAGGAAATTTCATGAAGATAGAAAAACTAAATTGAGGTATTTTTTTTTTTAGTTTAGGTAAATAATCGCCGATAAATGAATTATGAATAGGGAAAATAATGGATTCAAAGGAATTTATATCTGTCATGTTGAAATGTTTTCAATCTTTTGGTAGTGAACCGGAAAATTCTTTAGAAGATAAAACTTAAGCAATTTATTTTATTTTAATTTATTACTTTTTTTTGTTTATTGCAGTAATATTTTGGATACAGAAACTTGGCGCTCCGGTGATGTACCGGAACACTTTCAGCGAATTGCTGATTTGTGCTTGCGAACAAATCGTTTATCTGATGTTGGATCAGTAGAAATTGGAAATTCTGCTTCGTTTAAACCTAATTTATTGGTCGATGGAGAACCATATGTTGTTGCAGGGTGCATTTTTTTTTTCTTGTTGTTGTTGCTTCTAGTTTTCCAGTTCATTTTGAATCAAAAAATTCTTTTTTTTCTCTCTCAGCATCCTAATTTATAAAATTTGAATTTTTCAATTTTCTTTTAGACATCCATATTTTCTAAAAATACAAGGAAAAATTTAAGGTTTAAAAAATTTTTTTAGATTTATTGAAACATCGTCCAAACATCTGATAAAACATTTTCATTTCCAGAACGGCTTTTATTCTGCTGCAAATGATGGCTCAGTATTGTGATGCTTTAGCTGTACTTCCGGAATATGCTTCTGAACTTCTGATGTGTCTGGTGGAATTGTTGAAAAATTATAACAGTCGTAGTTGCCAGTTGATTCTTGGAGCAGGTGCTTTACAGTTGATTGGCCTCAAATCGATAAGTGTTCGACATTTAGGTATTATTTTGATTTTGATTAGTCCGGTAAATATGAGCAGTACAAATCTTAAACAAACCCACAGTATAAGTTATTTTTACTTACTCAGTTTGTTTATAAAACATAAATTATTGTTTGCCATTTGCGCCAACAGTTTTTATCATTTGTGAACTTGAAAGTAGTATAATAGATTAATCTTTCGTTTTACTGAATTTTTTTATTTTCATGTAGATCTTGTTTAATAAACTTTTTTTACATAGTATATTCATGTAAATTTTGTTTTCAGTTCTACCTAATTTTTTCTATTCCTCATTACTGAAATTTTGAAAAATTAGTCCTAAAAAATCTTTGAATTAGGTTTTATTTAATTTTCATATTATTAATTTTATTTTCACACATTTCTTGCACATCTGTCTATTTTGCTTATATAATAGTCAAATTTATGCATGTTATTTTGATATTTTGCGGAAACATTTTTCAGAATATTTGTTTTCCTCTATTCTGTTGTCATTTTTCAAAAATTATTCGTAAAAAACCTTTGAATTATTAATTTTCTGGAGTGAAATTTTTGGTGACAATGTAATTTACGCATTGTGTAAATAAGAAATTAATAATTTTCGAGGGTTTTATATTACTTCATCTTTGTGTTTTCTGAACGGTGAAGGTTAATATGGTAGAAAAGAATTAGAAGCTTTTTTCATCTGTTTTAAAGATTCATTTTCACATAAATAATAATAAAAGAAAGTGGAAAAGAAATGCAGAACGAAAATTAATAAATGAGCTAAATATTAAGTAGATAAGTTTTAACTTGATTAAAGCTAATTGATATTGCTAGTATTATTAATTCGAATGAAAATGAAATATTATCACAAAGAATGAAATACTGCAAGTATTGTTGTTTAAATTGATTTCTTGATGATATTAAATTCGTTTGTCTTTTCTTCATCTGTTAGTCTTTACTTAATTTTCGTAGTTCTTTGTAGAAATAATTTTCTTCTTTTTGCTCTATTGAAATTGTGAAGTAGATATGATAGCGCAAATTTATCGACTAAGTTTCAGAAAAACTCAAGATTTCAAAATTTTCAATTTATAGTGTAAAGCTTTTATTTGTGTTTATGGTTTGCAAGTGGGATTTTTTATTTTTTTCTCCTTAAAATTTTAATTTTCCGATTTACGAATTATGAGCACGAAAATTTTGTTTTGTTGATAATACGAAATGACTAGTAGTATATCATCCATCTTTAACAAGTAAATTTGATTAAATTGAATTGGAAAATGTCTGTGTATAATTTCAAAAATGTTTGTGTATAATATAGCATTCATATAATGCAATATATATTTTATTCATTTTTTCTATTGAAAAATTTGATGAATTTTTGTGTATTTTTGACATTTTTTTTTTTAAGTTAACATAATAGCTAATATGTCTGATTGCTTTTATCAAAATTTAGAATTTGATTGGTATTATTGTCAGAATAAAATTTTACTTCTAACAAATATATGGTAATACTATAATTGCAGTGAAAAAAAAAATGGAAGGATTTGTAGTTTTTGGAATTTTATACTCTTTTTTTTTCATTTGGAAAAAATTATTGCTTCATATGATTTATTTGATTTTTTTAGCCCTTTCCTCGAGATGTCTACAACTGATAATTCGATTTGTGCCATTTATTCGAGCAGCATTTCAAGAAAAGCTTTCTGCTGACAAACAACCTTTGCTACGACATGTCGATCAGTTAGTTAGAGTAAGTCTATTTCGTTCTAAATTTATGTTTAGCTTTTTGACATATCTTTTGTTTATTTACCGTTATCTATAATATATTAACATCCAGATTCCAATTACCAGGAGATATATTAACATCTAGGTCTCAATTTCCGGAAAATATGTTAACATCCAGATTCTAATTTCTGATAGAGAATCATGAAATGGTGCTGTTTACTCAATTATTGAATTGCAACAATTTTGATGTTTCATAACGCACATTCATATATTTGTGTTTTTTTCTGATCATTTTACATATGAAATAATATTGATTTGCCAAAGTTCTAAAATGAATGATTTTTCAGGATTACAATGATCATTCACAAGAGATTGTGAACAAACTGATTACTGTCATCGATCATCATCTTCTTATGCAGCTTCAAGTGGTAACTTGAAGATAACTTCATCTTCTTTATCTGACGGAGCAGTCAAATTTATTCTGTTTAAAAAGAAAAAAATTCTGGTTTAGTTCCGTCTAAAATGTGTTCTGCCGGTTCTTATTATCTTTGTTCCGTTCTGTACTTATTTTGGAAAACTTATATGTTTTTTTTTTTTTTTTTTTTAATTCTGTATTTTTGTTGCAGTGGGATATAAAAGGCTCTGTACCATCGCCAACATTCCAGCAGATGTGTCGACAGCTTGTAAAATTCTATAATGGTCTTACCGGAATTATGCCAGAAAGCATGATTAAAGTAATTTTTATGTGACTGATTGATATTATTTCTATTTTGATAGCATTATATGACAAAAGAAAGAAGGCATTGCTTTTGCCTAACTATTATTACTTTAAAGGATGAATTTTGTCTCATTTGTAATATGAATCTGACTTCATATAGATTTATTTATTTCTTGCTTTTCAGGATTTATTTCTTCGAGTTCATAAGAATTTTAAGGATAATCTGAAAGCTCAGTTAAATGAAATGAATATTACTCCACATGATTCACTAACATATGGGTAAGATATTTTGCTATTTTATAATCGAAAATGAAACATTAGAGAAAGGACAAAAAAGAAGGTAGTAAAAAATGTTGGAAGAAAAATAGAGCGGATGTAAAAATGAATGTGAAAGGCCAATGAAAAGTCAAAAAGAAAAAGGAAATAAAAAAAAAAACTCGAATTATTTCTCAAATTTTTATTTGCATATTTGGTGATATGCAAATTTGTGCACAATATAGCTAACTCTAGGTTTATTAAGCTTAACTTTTGTTGAAGAATGAAAAAAAGAAAAAAAAAACACTGATTAGGGAATCTGTTGAAATATAAAATTTTCACTGATTTATGATTTAACAAAAGGATTTCATGAAGAAATTTCAGATTGGTAAGCCAGGAATATACGTTTTTTATCAAAAACTTGCAAGCTATACCATGTTGCAGTGATTTAAAGAATGAGTCAATTAATGAAGCTCTTTTCGCTAAGAATTAGTGTTCTGATATTTTGTGATTATTTTCTGTGCAGTTTGTTTCAGATGAGGGTAATTTAAATTTCACTGACATAATTTTTATAAAAGTATCTGCTTATTAAATTTCATGACAGAGTTTTCATGTAAAAGTTTTGTTTCATACATTTGCTCAGATGATATCTTAGAAGTCACGGAAGCATCCTTCTTTTTTTTTTTTGCTTTTGTTTTTAAAATTTGGGTGAATTATTTTCACTTCTTCGTTTGCTTATTTAAAAGTATACTGATTGAAATTTTTTTTTTTTTTTTTGTTAGAATTATCAAAAATTTTACATTGTCTAAGAATTATCAAAAAAAAAAAAATTTTTTTACAGCATGATGAAATTTGTTGATTTATATATTCCAATTGTTAGGATAGATTTTTACTGATGAATTATTTGAATGTAATATAAAATAATAACATTGAAGAAGAACTAATGTACATTGTAATTCTTAGCATTCTCAATTGCCATATATAATTAGTAGAAAATGTTTTCTTTTTTTTTTTGTTTTGTTTTGCAATGGATTTTCGTAGATATTAAATGCCATATTTTAATATTCTGCCATATTTTTTTTTAAGTTAAGATCTGATGAAGATGATATTTGTTTGTGATAAATGTCAATATTTCCAATACATTCTTCAATTTCATTCACTTTATTCCGTTCAAAAATTAACTGATTCTGTGGTATGTTTCTTTCTTTCATTTTCATTTAGTCGTTTACTTTTTTCTTTTTTTTTGTGTGTGTGTGTGCAATCAGTTTTGGACGGGAACGATTCACTTTTATTATTATTCATTGATTCCATTATGTGTATTTGCATATTATAATAAATAATTAGTTTTGATGTTGTTATTATGTTATCACTTATTCAAGAATAAGTTTAGATGAAAATGAGAGAAAGAGAAAGATGAACAAATAAAGGAAGGAAATCTAAAATGAAATTAAAAATGAAAACATCACCTTTCGCATTCCGTTAAAGTGTTTTTCTTTCAGTTGGATATTGCTAACAAAAAAATTCAAAAGGTTGGATGATTCAGTCATATTCTTCTAACTGTTCACTGAAATTAAATGATCAATTATCAATGATCAACTAATCATGTTTAACAGATGATTATTCGTGATTTTAAATTTCTTCAATAATGTTTCAAAAATTTCCATCAATCTTTATAATAGATGATTCAATGAAATGCTAAGTTCAAATCTGCGATAGTTAATCGGTTAAGCTAATTAACCAGCTCATTTGTCGTTACTAATTAAGTGCTTAAATTAGTATGTATATTAGTAATGCAATACAGATGTAATAATTACATAACAAAGTGTGGATAATCAAAAAAAAAAAGGAAACATTGGGCAAAAAAAAAGGGAACGTTGGGCAATTCCTATGATCCAGTTATCTGATCTTTAAATATGCCAATCGATCAATCAATTAATCAATAATCAATATCAATGAGTAGTCAAACGATGATGATCCGTCAAATATTTATTACCGGAATTTGTCTTACCTGAACAAATAATTAATTCTTTTTTATCCTTCAATTGAAAAAATAAGAGAAGGTTGAATGTGATCCCATGTGGTCTAGTGGCTAGGATTCGTGGCTTTCACCCACGCGGCCCGGGTTCGATTCCCGGCATGGGAATTTCTCATATTGTTTAATATGGGAAAATGACAGTTTTGTGATTTAGCGCGTCTTTTTATTGCTGATAATTTCTCATTCCATTGAATGGAAATCCTTGATGGTATGGTATACATCTCGTCTTATACTCATTTACTAGTTAAATATACATGCACAAGTAAATAAATAATTAAATGCTCCACTTAGTATCATTCGGAGATTTCTCGTCTTTCAAATATTTACGTATCTCTTCTCTTCACAAAGAAATAGCTAAAATTTTTTCGAATTTCAACACAAATGAATCAAAGAAAAAGGTTAAGAATATTAGTATTATCAGTATTATGAAGAGGTAGCTGGGTACTGTATGTTCGCTACCGTATCGCTATTAATACTATGGAGAGCTGGATGGATACTGTATGTTTGCTACAGTATCACCCACCTATCAGTATTGTAAAAGGAGTTAAGAAAGTAATGTAAGTTTAGAAACGAATAGAAATAGTTTATTAGTAAAAAAAAAAGCGCTTCATTTCATTTTTACATTCCGCATGCGTTTTCTGCTCTTTCTGTTTTACAGTATGCATCCTTGCAGTTAATGCTTCACAGTAAGTAGCGAAAAAATGAAACAGCGAAAAAATAAATTTCTCTGGCATTATTATCATTATTGTTTATTGTTTGTTGTTTATTGCTATTGTTTGTTATTTGTTGCTTGTTATCTGCTGTTTGTTTGTGGTATACGTGTTTTCTATGCTTTTGCTAGTTAAATATTACAGGGAATGATCAGTAGTTTATGCTTTCTTTGGGGGGTGCATAAATTATCAAAAAATATTTGGAACTGCTCTTTTTTTTTTTTTTTTTTTGAAGAATAACAATTAAACTAGTGATGTTTGTCGATTTATTGCGCTTAAGTCGAAAGTTAAGTTCATTTAGTCAATCAAATTACTCGCAATTAATTCATTCATCATTAAGTCATGACTTATGATTACTAGTATTTTTGTAATTATATTTATTCCATTTTTATTTTCCCTTAATTGATTTAGATTTTGAACTCAGTTAGCAGATCGGAGTAATTAAATAAGCAGCATTTGACATTTCACACAACTCTTCTTATTCATCAAGATTTCACTCTACTATCACTTTTATACTTTAATGACAATACAAGTAATTAATGTTAACATTTTTAGTCTTCAAATACAGGAGAAAAAAAAAATTAGAAAAGAAATAATTAGTTACAAATTAGTAAAAAAAAAAAGACACAAAAAACAATGGCATAAATGGAAAGACGAAAGTTATTTCTTTTAATGAATACTTTAAAATGATTCATATGAAATTAAACAAAACTATTAAAATTGATCTTTTCTTCTTTTTGTCCTTTTTTTCTTTGGATCGAAATGTTAAGAATATTCAAGTGGAATTATCATATTTGATAATTTTAAAATCTATCTTCTGTATTTACCACTTTTAAACCTAATTGATATGACGCAGAAATGTCGATGAAGTGAAATTAAATGTTCCTAAAATAAAGCCAAGCATTGTTAGCTTTCATTTAGCTTAGTTCGTTTCTCTGTTAAATCAAGCGCTTCCAATTCATCATTCTCATTCATCCATCTTTCATCATAAATTCTCTTTGAAATATTCATCGAGTCACATTTCACTCTTCTAATCTCTTCTTTGCTATGCGAATATATCACACTTTTTACTGCTCTGTAATTTCACTTAAACATTTCACTCACTTAATTCAATAATTATTTAAATCATTTTGTTGCTTCAATTTGGATATTACGGATAACAAACATTTCAATCTAAAATAGAGCTAAATGATTTTTGAAAAATAATTATTAATACAATTTAACTTTCATTGAGTACAACAATTTACTTACCCATCAGTAGTGATATTTCGGGTAACATTATTGATATTGTTATTTTCCAATCTTCTCTGTTCTAATTTCACATTTCCATCGCTTTCCTTATCGCTAGTTGAATCACCGCTAATTGAATCACTGGTTGAAGTACCATTAAATACGGTATAAAACGATGAAGCATGTAACAAAAGTTCAACGTATGCTATAATGTATGCAAATTTAAATTTACATTTCATCTCATTTAAAAATTGAACTGCAAAATAGCGCCTTATCTCATTTAGTAATTAAACTGTAAAATTCCATTTTATTTTTTCTAGAAGTTATACTGATTCTATCCGTTGACAGATTATTAAATTTATTGAAGAAATAAGCAGAAGAAAATGAAAAATTCAATAAAATCATATAAAATATTCGATTTATTGCAAGCAAGAAATCATTGTTTCAAATATTATTATCATTATTACTATTATTACTTACATTGCACAAGGCTTGAAAGTTCCGTGGTATGGCTGCTATTACTGGTGACAACGTTGTTGACGTTGTTTTGAGTGTGAGTCAATTTTTCACCAGTAAGTGGATTGACACGGATCGTTTCATTGTCACGTGTTTCCACGCAATTATTTTGCAGTCGCATTGTATTATAATCGTGGAAAATTGTTGTTTTGCTAAAAAATGAAAAAAAGAGAAAGTTCAAAATTTATTAATTGAAAAATTCTTTTAATAAACTTTTTTTAATAAGGAAAAAGTGAAATAATTAATTATTTGCAATTTTAGAAAAATCAATAAAATTTTGTAAAAGATACTTACAGTGGAGTAGCAATAGCTAAATTGCTCTCATCACGATTTTTACCATCAAAAGTTTGAAGTTGAACGATACGATCATAGCTTTTTAGGAATGATTCATCCATTAATATTTCAGCAATTCCCTGTTTGAAATCTTTGATCTGTTCCGAGGACAGTGATCCCATCAATGGTTTACCATTATTATCTCTGTTTATCAAAATATTTTTTTTTTCTTTCCACATACTTTCTTATCATTAAACAAATAAAATTTCAGAAATTTTTGACTAATAATTCAATGTGATCACTTAAAAGAAATTTAAATTATTTCAAAATTCGTTCCATAAATTTTATTTTTCGAAAATTTAATATTAAATTATAATTGTTATAATTGTTAATTGCTAAATTATATTTGTTATAATATTAAATTATTTTTAGGTTAATTCATTAAAGTTTTCTTATTAGTCCAAAAAATTGCTTTTTAAAGTTATAAAATTAATCATTTAAATACATACTTGTGCATATGAATAAATTGATTAGCACAATTAGCACACACACACACACACACACACACACACACACACACGAAAAAATGATTATAGCATACGGTAGGTATATATACGGTAGGAAAGGATTAGCTTAGCTTACTTGCTGAAATTTGTGAATGCAAATGAAATATAGCCAGCATTTTCATCGCAAAATCTTAAATAAATAGCTTTTGTCAAAGTGCCACATTTCCTGTCATTTTCTTCCATTGCTTTGAAAACTTTTGCAATACTTTGTATGCTTGTTAAGGTTAAAATTCTGCAAATTAATCATCAAAAAATGTAAAAATTACAAAACTATGAAAAATAATTTGTTCAAAAAAAAAAAAATAATAATCAACTTAACACAATTGAAAAAATTCTCAGTTAAAAATAAGTTAGATTAATTACCTATTATTAAACAAGCTTAATATTGATTGATATTCATTCATTGGAATTGTTGGTTTCTTTGTTTTAGCAGCTATAAAATCACTAAATGACAAAAATCTTTTAAATTAATTTTCCAATCAATTAATCGTTTAAATCAATTAAGATAGAAAAAAGTTTAGTAACATTTTAATCTATGATCATCTCCAGGAATAATTTTCTATGAATCTCGAGAATATTTCTAAGAATGACAATATGTTAATATATGATCATTTCCGTGATCATTTCTAAGAATGATATTCTAAGAATTTCTAAAATTTTCTAGAAATTGAAAGCTTAATAAGGCAAAATCATTTCAATTTTAATATTAACTAAGATTAAAAGACTAAATGGTTGAAGTAAGAAATTATCTAATGAATTTAGTACAAATTTTTATAATTTTTAAATAGCTAGCGTATATATATAAATAGCTAGCACAAATTTTTTATAAATTTTCGTTCAAAAAAAAAATTATATAGCACAAAAAAAGGTTGCAACGTACTAACTTTTTAAATTACAATTAATCAAAATGTTATAAAAATGTTTCATTTGTAATTTTTCATCCAATAAAAGTATATGAGACAAAACAATAAATTAATTCATTCAATATATATTATCAACTTCTCAATTATTAGATATACTTAAATTAAAATTTAAATTTGAATTTATTACATTTTTTATCAACATTAGATAATGCTGGACAAAATTTATGGCCAACATCGATAATTATTTCCGTTGCACGATACAACCATTGCCAGAGATTATGTGGTAATTCGGTAATATTATCAGCAAGACTAATACATTTATTCTGGAAATTATTTATCCTATTATTCAACAATAATTATTTGTTTATTTCATATTTAAAATATTATCAAATTTGAATTATTATTTACTTCAATACAGATATACTACATAAAAATTTCAATTGAAAAATTTTATTTAATACATCATTTTCTAATTATTATTATTGTCAAACGAATTTAAAAAAAAAAAAAAAAAAAAAAAACTTACCACCATAAGTTCATTTTTACTAACTAATACACTATCAACTACCATTTCTGTTAATAATCTGTGTTTTAGTTTAATTACACCATTTCCTTCATTGATATTTTTAATATTACCAAATAAATGCTTCTCCAATTGTTCACATTCCTCTTCATTAGCTTTTCGAATTCTAAAAATATCAGATAACAATTTTATCATATATACTCTTTTCATCTAAGCTTTCTTCAAAATATTCCATTCTTCTAAAAATTTAAAAAATTCTAAAATGATTCAGCAATTCACTTCTACCTTGGATAAAATAACATGCATTGAACATGCAGTAATTCATCAGTATCTAGCGCACGTGCTGAATTCAATTGCGCTTTTACGAAATATTTCAATGCTTTTTTCAAAATACCCCATGGCACTTTTTGCTTATTACTATTTGATGTGACATCTTCTTGATCACTTGGTTGATTATGCTAAAAAAAAATGAAAATATTAATAAAATTCAAAAGAAAAGTTTAAAAAATTTTTACATTTTTAAACAAATCTATCCTAAAAATTAGTACAAAAATATTACAATATCATACATTTCTTTTTCTAAACTGAAGAAATAATATATTCCATCGTTTTTTACATTTCAATAATTTTTTATCAATTGAATTTCAAAATTTGAGAATTGCTGGTATAGATGCTTTTTGAATAGAAATAAAAATTCGAATATTGCTTAACGAATTGCTCTCGATCGAGTAATCGTGGCCAATAGATGAAATTTAACAATGATTCGGTCTGATCATTGGTAATTGCAATTAAGAATTCATGAGATAGGACAACCTGTAATACATTGGTCATAAATTATCAGTTATCTTAGCTATAGAAAAAGACCATTAAAGTATAACTTACGTGTTTTACGATTAATTTATTTTCAATATTTAATGCAACATCAATTTGAATTGCATAACGCGTCGATAACTGACGTCGATCAATCATTGAATTTAACGTTACACCCTATAAAACAAAAACATTTTTATTTATCACATCTAAATTATAATAATTAGAAATTCTCTAAGTTAGAAAAAATAAGAGAGAAGACGAAGAAAATATAAACTCTAGAAATATATTTTTATTATTTTCGTTTTTTTTCTTTTTTTTTTTTTTGCAACATTTATTCAAACTGATCGATAGCACAAAAATCGCCAATTCAGTGGCGCAAAATGACCATTTTCACAAACCAATTCCGGAAATATTGCGCATAGCGTTCCGTGTTCATATTTCAAATTAGTCCTTTTTACATTTTCACCATACTGCTCCGATAAAATATTGGTGCTACATTCAGGTGATACTTGACTTATCAACAATCTTCCATTCATATTCACCACAACACCATGTTGATCGTGATATTTCGTAGCTGACGTACCTTCACGTTGAGTTAAAATTAGTCGACCAGCTGTTTGTCTACAATCTTTTTTTTCTTTATTTTGCTAAATTATTCAAATGATTTTTCTCTTGCATATGTTATTATACAAATATAATATTTTATGCTTACTTGTTGAAAAGCAAAAAAGAAAGAAAAAGATATTCCAAAATAAATACCTATCACCTGGATCACCAGATAATTTCACCAATGTTGCACGAAAAAATGCTTCTACTACACGTGGATATATCATATCAGAATTTGGTTCAGCTATTGCACAAACTCTAAAATATTTTTCAATTCAAAATGAATTTAACATTGTCACATCAGACGATTAATAGATTGAAATCATACAAAATTTGCAATTACAAATGATAGGAATGTAATTTTGAGTAATTTTATTGGTGTTATTACGATAATTTGATAAGGAATAATAGCGTATAAATCTTACAGTATGAAAAATTGTAAATCTTACAGTACGAAAAAATGTAAATCCTACAGTGCGTGCAAATCATACAGTACGAAAAAAGCATACCGTACTCTCATTGTTGGATGTGACGTACGACATTTGACAACATTTCGAGCACGATGTATCAAAGGAGCAAAATCCAATTCCATGCCAACTAGGCTATTATCATCATCGGGACATTTTTCATAATGCATCTTTGGCCATTCAATTATAATAGATCTGAAATAGGTATGCAATACTTATAAAAGAAAAATATTAATTAAATTACCTTAATTTCAAATTGATAAGTAATTAATCGGCTAATTCAATTCCTTATCGTATATTATGAGCATTACAAGATTGTAATCATTAGAATGAGAAATTATGCCATAAAACTAAAAACATCCGCTAATTTTGCACAATATAGAAGATAACCACAAATCAGTAAAAAATAAATTTCATACTTTTTCAATTTCATTTATCGATTAGATTAAGGTAATAATAATTTTGAAAAATGAATTTTGACTAACTAAGGAAACTTTCTAGGGAATTTAATGCACTTGAATGTTGTTCTATCAAATTTCCTACAAGAAATTCCATACACTGATCAATGATTATTTTCTTTTTGAAATTAGATAATAGTCGTAAATTTTTCAAAAGGATTTACTCTTGAATGATCTGTTCGATAAGTGCTAACTGCGCCTGATGTTGCTCATTAGGTAACTGCGCTGTTGATACATCACTTAGTAATGGTGCAAATCTGAAATGTCAATTTAACTATTGTAACAGCAATTACATTAACATCTGTAAATTGAAAATTAATTTTATTGGAACTTTTTGTTAAAATTCTATCCGCAAGAATATCTTGAAAAAAATTGGGAGAATTATTTATTAAATTATTAGATATATCTCGAGAACCACGTGCTATATTTTGTTTTGCAGAAAAGAATTTTCTTTAATCACTCTTCTACTAATCATTCTTAACATATCTAATCTAAAAATAGAAATGCTAATAATTTTTTAAATCAACTAGAAGTTTGATAATAAATTTTTAACAAATTAAAATATGCAGAAACCTTGACATCACTTCTAACTCATCTATTTTGTACGGTTGAACCAGCAAACTTGCCTTTCTTTGACAATTTAGCCACTGAAAATTTAATTGAGCAAATGTGAAATTATCGAGTTGCATATGAAATTTCTATTTTTTTGCAACATTTTTGATTCATTTCGAAATTCGAATTATTTTCATATATTTCTAATTCCAATAAAATATTTTAAACTTAAATAAGCCAGTAATTATTCAAATGAATTAATTGAATTATGAATGAAATTAATACATTAGTAATTAAATATTAATACATTAAATAAATTTGCAGCAATTAATTTATGACTCATTTTTTTTTATTTTTTTGTTTTTGGAAATCAAATATTTTAAAAAATTTTTATAGAACCTTTCGTTTTTCACCCATTAACGTTGCAAGCTTTCTTCGGCTATGATATAAATTTGCGATATTTTTTTGAAATGCGCTGCTATCACCTGAAGCATCATTTTTTGATTTGGAACTATTGCTGAATACTGGTGAAATCATAACACCTGGAAATAATTTCTTATATGATATTTCATTGATAAATTTTTTAAGTGAACAAATTTTTCAAATTGTATTTGAAATTAAAAAAACAAATATTAGAAGGAATAATTTAACATTTAACTTAATTCAACTTTATGATTTTGTCTTTTCTCTCCTTATTGTCGCATATTAGTGTTAGAATTTTGATTAAATTATTGGATAAAAAAGAGATTTTTTTTTCTACTTGGTACTGAAGAATACAATATGCTAATATTTATTATAACAATATCGATCAATTTGTATTCCTGTTTTTTAATTATCCCAGAATGAAAAGTTAATAAACAAATAAATGATAATGAAGAGGAGAGCACCATTTATTCAGAATTAATTTATACTTGTTATATTATATCATTTATTCTATTTTATTGCTTCAGAAAATATATAATAGTTTTTTTTTTTTTATTTGCACTATTAAATTTTCTAAAAGATAATTAGATATAACACATGAAAATATCAAATAACACAACACATTGTGTCAGATGTCGTTAACCAATTATAAAAATTTTTAAAAGATCTGAAAAACTTTACAGTACTCTTTTTAAATTTTCATATTATATTTGACTTATTATATTTGTAATTTAAAATTAAAACATTTATTTCGCATCAAATTAAAACAAATTTTTTAATAGATTTTTTGCGCATATTTTAATGCTTTATAATCAAAAAAATAAATAAGAAACGAAAAAAGAGAAAATGACTACTAATGATAATAATTTGAAGTTGACAAAAAAAAAAAAAAGAAAAATGAAAAGAACCAGGAAGAAGAGAAAGAAGAAGAAGAAGCAAGCACTAAGCTATTCTGATAACGTCTTAACACTGAACACATTTATACAATCTATCCTTATGTTTATATGCCACGCTCAATTTCATGAAAGCAATGATATGATAAGAGATGTTCCATTTATCATTCATCATACCATATCAGACCAATTTTTAAGCAAATACCATACGAAATGAAGAAAAGAAAAAACCCTTTTATTTACTTTATACTTTTAGTATAAATGATAAAAAACGATCAATTTTTAGTATGATAAATTTCAAAACCAAAATTTTTCTGTTATTCCCGCATTAATCACAACTGAAATCACTGATATTTTAAATTAAAAAAAAAAAAAAAGAAGCTCAGATGTTATAATTTTTATTTCCAAAACTTTTGAAATTTTTTGGAATAATTTTATATTCCGTGATTAAATACAATTTGAAATAATCATACCGTATAAATGCATACAGCATGGAATAATCATACTGTAGAGATACAGTATGAAATGATCATAATGTATGAATATGTAAGAAAAAACGAACAAATATTATTTATAATATTAAATCATTTTAGCAATATTATTGTTTTTCTCTTTTTTTCTTATCTTTTTTTGTTTCTTCATTTATCTTTCTCTCCTTTTTGATTTTTTTTTTCTTTTTTAAATTTAATCCACCTAAAATTAGTTGACAAAATTAATTGATCTAAATTAAATATATAACTGACACAAAAAATATTGGTAGGAATTAGTTGCAGAAAAAGAACTGATCACATGCTTCATCTTATCAGAATTATGCTTAGAATGAACTAATGCATTGATAAAGAAAAAGAAATCATATCATTATTTCTTCTTGTACTTCATTTCTATCATTCCAATTTTTTTTTTTTTTTTGTTTACATAAAAAAATCATTTTCTTTCTCATCAACAACCTTATCATTTAGGCAATATATAATTTAGCTAACATTCTTTGCTAATTTTCATTAAAATTAGAAATTATTCTTGCAAATTAAAATTTATCAAAATATCAATATGCTTGATATTATAATCTTATAACATCTTATTATTCTTATTATTACAATATCAAAAACAAAAATGATTAATAGAGTTGCTAAATAAGTCATAATAATATTATTCATGTTACGTATAATTAGTGTAATTATACATTAAATTTGTTGTTTTATTACTAATTATTACATTTTGCACAACTAATTAATTATCATCATAAAATATACTTTTTATAATAATAAACACAAAAAAAAAGTAATACAATAGTTGTTGATGCTATAATTTAATTACACCTACACATATGACTTTTCCTTTAACAGTTTAAATTGAACGCTAAACTTTAAAATAAGCTATTATGCAAGAATAGTGATAAAATAATGTAAGGAATATTTTTTTTTTTTTTTTTTTAAATAGCAAATTTTGAAAATTATCTTTACTTCCTGTAATATTATTAGTTAACAAATATTTATTTCATCATTTAATACTATTTGCTAAAAATGCTAGCATTTTTAGCATAAAAATTTTTTATTACTTCATTTTTCAATCGGATGACTAACTATTTGACAAATATTTTAATTATCTGATAGTGTGTAAAATTATTCATCAAATAAAGTCATAATTTTAGTTATTTTATAACAATCTTTGTGTAATTTAAATTTACAAATGTAAATTATTCATTTGTTCAATTCAAACTTTTATAATATTTTGTTTGATATTTTGAATTGTATTACTGATAATATTTGCAATAATTACCATTTTATTGGTGCATTTAAAAATTTTTTCATCTTTACATACTTTAAAAATAGAACAAAAACCATATCCATCCATTATTCCACTTACTTTGCATTTATAATTTAAATATTAGGGCAAATTTGAATAACAAAAATATGTGAACTGACAATGTATTTCCTAATTATCGGATCAAGTCCATCCCTGAATGAATGAATGAATGAATTCATCGTTTTGAGCGCATTCATCCATCATCCATACAATTTATTACAATTTTTCGATCCCTCATTAAATATTCCAACTACTATCGTTTCTTCTGGAATGAAATATTCATTCATTTATAGAAGCTTGACAGTTCCATTAATATTTTCCGGTTTCCTTTCAACTAATATCACTTTCGGTAATTTATCTCATTTTTAACATTTCAGCATCTCTGTTGAATTTACTATTTTTCATCATTTGTGTATAACAATTTAAGAAAATGAATTGTTTTTTGCTTTTTTTTTTTAATTTTTTTAGTAATTTCTTCAATTCATATATTATTGTAAGTACTAAGTAAATCTTTTAGAGTTTATTAAAATTAACATAATTTTATTTAATTCAATCAATCAAAAGTATAAAAACATTTCATATGAATATGGTTGATTGTTTTTTTTTTCTATCTTTTTTTTTTTATTTTTTTAATTTAACTTTTAAAATTAGACAGTATTGAATATTTCATTTCATTTTTGCAAATATATTTTTTTTTTTTTTTTTTAACTTTCTTAAAATAATTTTTTGTGCAGTTGAATAAATATTTTTAGATTTGGCTAATTTAGAAATATAAATAAAATAACTTTACTAATAATATTTAGTTCAGTAACTTCTTTTTTTCTTTTTTCGAAAGGATTAGACAAAATTACATGTGTATAACAAAATTTAAAAAAAAAAATTAATTTAATCGATTAACTAAATAGCTGATTAATTCAACCATTCAAAAGTACGAAAAACATTTCATATGAACGTGGTCGATCTTTTTTTGTGGAAAGGAAAAGAATTTCCATTCTTCACAAAAGTAAATGTTTAATTCACTATATCAATTTATCTTTTATTGTCATTAAGGTAAGTTAATGATAAGCAGTTATCACCATATCATCATTTAATTTTGTTTTTTATTAGTAATAATTTGCGAATTTTGTAAAGAAAAAAGCAAGAAAGAAAAATAATAGTATGAATTTTGGTAAATTGGATCATACTATTGATAAAAGAGAAATGAATGGAAGAGAAAATTTAAAAATGAACAATGATTTCTAATCATTCATTCATTTTTGCTGGTAAAATTATTAGATGACATTTTTTATCCATTTTAATGACAAATAGTGGATGTTATTAAGAGATAATTTAAATGAAAATGGTACTTGGAAAATTTTTTAACCTAATTATTTCTTTCAAATTATCTCTAATTTAGGAATCATTAATGTTATCATTTCTAAATCTCTCTTCTTTTATCATTTCATTAAGTTTATCCAAAAAAAAAAAAAAAAAAGAAAAATACTATACTTTAGAAAATTTGAAAATGTAAGATTATATGTTAAGCTTATTTTATATTTAATATAATTAAATTATTAAAGTTATTTGATATATTATTTAGTATTACTGTTGTTGTTCAGATAGTAACTAATATTTTTGAAATTGAATTTTTTTTTTCTTGCAGAATTGAACTGTTAGTATTAGAGATTAACGGAAGTATTAAAATAAAATTTAATTTTATTCGATACGAATTTTATTCGATATGTTATGGAATATTCGAAGTGGCATTTTAATCATTGCATCAATTCTACAGCTATTTTTCTATTTAACTCCATGTTTATGTCTTAAATCGATACCATTATGGAATTGTATTCCAATTTGTTTCCAAGGTTTGATATATTTATGAATTATTGTCAAATAAAATTGAAATATTTTAAAAGTAGCTTAAAATTTAAGACAAAATATGATGAAGCAGAAGCAAGTAACAAAAAAAAAAGTGAAGTAGAAATGAAGAATAAATCAAATTGAGTAAATCAAATAAGCAATGTTAATTAAACACTAACATTAAAAGCATTTGTCAAATTTTCCACTGTTTTTTCTTTTGAGAAAAAAAGTAAATAAATTTTATAAAATTTAAGTTTCAATCGTAAAACAACGTGAAATTTAAACATTAACATTACAAAATATTTATCAAATTTTCTCTTGCCCTAATAAAATTTTATATATATATATATATATAATAAATTTTATGAAATTTCAGTTCCAATCGTAAAACAACATGAAGTATCGCCATCACTACCATTTCCGCTTATACCAATATCAAGTGGTGAAGACCATGCAAGACAACAAATTCAAGTGCAGCAGCAAAAGCAATACATTTCTGGTGAAAGTTATCCAAAGCATTTCAGTTCATCAGGTAATTTTCATCAACTCAATGATGTAAACATACCGGAACAACAACAACAACAACAACAACAACAACAGTATGAGGAAGATGAGTCATGGCAATCCGATGAACAGAACGGTGAACCAATCATATATATTGCTGAAAGTTAGATTTTAGAAAATTTCAACCAACTAAAAATATGATTTAAATAATTTTTAAAAGTAATGAATCATTAGTGCAATTAATAAAAGATTCACTTTATTGAACAGTAATGATGATAAGAAAGGTAATAAACAAAAAAATAATAATATTTGGAAGTGATTAATGATAGCAAACAATCTGTGCAATTGATAAATTATAATCAAAATTTTGATATGGTATTTTTAATTCCAAAAATTTATCAGATATAACTGGAATTAAAAAAAAAACGAAAGAAAAAGAATTGCGTACTAAATTGGATAATAATTATGAATAGATATAATTAATTGTTAAAAATAGTAAAGAAGGATTGAATTTAATTTAAAATGAATAATTGAAAATAATTAAAGCAACACCACATCCATATGATGAGATAATCGATGAAAAAAAATTAATATCAGAACAATCACAACCAGTATCAATGTCTAATCAATATGATATGGATTATTTATTGGAAGCATTAAATGATCTAACGACGATCAGTGCAACTTCCATGTATCCGTTAACGACCACAGATATCGAAGATACATTAGAAGGTAAATCAATTTGAATACAACATTTTAGCTATTCAATCTTTTTTCTTTAAATTTTACAAATTATTTGATTAAAAACAATTTCAGATTCAAAAAATAATTTACAACGAACATCATTTAATGTGTTAAAAAGACAAAAAAAAACAAAAGATGCAGTAAGTTGTAAATATATATTTCCATAATTTTATTATCTTTTTTTTAAAAAAAAAAAATTTGAATTTGAACTTAAAATCTACTTAAAACTTAAAATTAACTTATATTTTGAATTTCAAAAAAAAAAAAAAAAAAAGAAAAGAATTAAAATTGCACAAAGTTTTAGTTCAAACGAAATTATCCTGCAAAACGAGCTATATTTCCATCTGCTGTATGCAATAGTAGAAGACTTAAGAAGGTTATATTACAGGTAAATGCTATATTATACAGGTAAAAGTAAATAGCTATTCTTCAACATTTCAAATTAATCAATCAATTATTTTTTTGAAGTATAACGATGTATCATTTTATCACGGTTTACGTGTAATAGTAATAGCTGAATAGCGTAAACGTAAATGAGAATATTCCGAGAATTAATCGTAAACCAATCAATAAAGATTGATAATGCATGCTATAATTAAAAGACCTACGTTTTAAACAAGAAATCACGTAGCGTATAAGTTAAAGTGTTGCTTACGTTTTGAACAAGAAAGCACGTACGTCAACGCATAAGTTAAAGTGTTGCTTACGTTTTGAACAAGAAAGCACGTACGTCAACGCATAAGTTAAAGTGTTGCTTACATTTTAAACAAGAAATTACGCATGGTAGCGTATAAGTTAAAGTGTTGCTTACATTTTAAACAAGAAATTACGCATGGTAGCGTATAAGTTAAAGTGTTGCTTACATTTTAAACAAGAAATCACGCATGGTAGCGTATAAGTTAACGTATTGCTATGTTTATTATTTCTTTAACATTAATATAATATATCAATCAGATAACAGATAAGAACAACTCTAGTGATAATATTATAGAATGGCATATTTAATTTACAGGCAATAACAGATGACGTATCGGAATCGAAACGTAGAGTGACGGAAGCAGCTGAATATGCCTATCAGGGAATCAAATTTGACGTAATTTGTGCGGAAGGTGATTTTAGCTATACCATCCATGCAAAGAAATATTGTGAAGTCACGAAAAAGGATATAACTTGTTTTGCATTTCGATAAAAATATTTGAATTATAACTACGTCTCTGTGTACATCGGACGTAAAATTACAATTGCTTTCTCATATAAACGTAGAATGTTAATTTTTAATTACCTAATTGCAAGTTCTTTTTCACGTACGCATAAGAAACTGATCGTTTAACACGTCACAATCACAATGATTACGTTTTATGGAGTCTAAAATGCAAATTACAAAATTTTAATGATAATTGCAATGATTATTGGTATAATTGGATCATCTTTAAAAAAAAGGATGAAACGCATAAAATTCAAATAATCAGAAAGTTGGCGCAAATGTCCAAACTTGACAAAACCACTCTTTGCATTTCATCAGTTCAATTTACAACTCATTTCTGTACTATTGACCAGATTTAAAAATGAGTTAGAGATTGAAAATGAGGAAATATCACGAGAATCTGGAGAGGAACAGAATCAAATCTTCTCAGTGAGACATTTTAGCAAATGAAGATGTTACAGTTAAGAGTAAAAAAGGAGATATTGAATGTGTTAGGGAGAGAATAGGATTGATGAGTGATAGTGAGAGATAGCAGTAGGATAGATTGAGAGAGTAATATAAAGAATGACGACATATGATTGAGAAATGTTAGAGAGTGAGGGGAGATTATTTTTGTTTGACTTATTTGGTGTGAAATTCGAGAAGAAAAGTTAACTTTTCTCATTTCAATTCCTATTCAGGTATGTTTGATTATTGATTATTTTATTAGGAAAACCGGATCATTTCATTTCCGGTTACGGTTAGCATTAATAACACTCTTCTTTTCCGTTTCCCAAACAAAAATTTGATTTTTTCTTTTTCTCACCGTAACCATTTTGCTATAGACAACAGTGCTTCTTCTATTTTCTTTCTTTTTTTTTCCCTTTGTTTAAGAATATGTTTCACAGATTGGTGCTAAAATTTTAATAATGAAATTGTTTTTTTTTTTTTTTTTCTTTTTTCAGGAATATATTTTTGATTACAATGAATTTTATCCTTATTTTTTATCCTGAAATGAAAAATTTTATCCTGAAATGGCTCTTTTGAAAGCATTTCAAAAACAATCGGAAAAGAAGCCATGTCCTATATGTGGTTATCTGGTTACACGAGGATTGTATCGATCACATTTAAATCATTGCAAATTGCAACCTGATGATGATGATTGCACAGTATGTTATCAATATTTTTCATAAAACTTTATTATTTTTTAAATGCTATCCAAGTTTTATTGTTTTATTTATTTTTATAGTAATGAGACAGAACGATTGACAGATAAGAAAGAATGAATTAGAAATTTGGAATATGAATATTTTATATTTTTATCTCTTAACAAACGGTGATGTGATTAACATATTTTTCATATAAAAATTAAATTTTAGATCATCGCTGAAGTGTGTGCTAAGGATAGGAAACGAGAAGCTGTTGAGAGTTTAATTAGTTCAGAGAGCAGTAATGATTTGTTCGATAATTTGGATAATGAAGAGATATCAGAAGAATCAGTTGATAATAGGAATGATTCGAATATTGTCAACAATAAAGAAATTTCAACTGATACAAACGAACACAATCAAATGGCTGAAATTGTTATGAAAGAAGATATGCCATGCAGAACATTTAACAGTTTTGCTAGAAAACGCACGAAAAAAATTAAGGTATTATCAATGATCAAAAGAGAAGAATTAGATATTTGGCATAGAAGTTTTTTCAAAAAAAAATTATATGCAAGCATATATAATTTCACAGCTAAGCAAAGCAATGATTTTAGCAGCAGTGCAAATTTTTTTTAATATGAAATGACTGTTTGTTGATAATTTAGCTTTTCCCTTCTAAAACGACAAAAATGGTGGAATTTATCCAGAAAATTGATTTGTAGCTTGAAAATAAAAGTGAAATGGCACAGCCAAGCAAGACGATGGCTTCAGCAGCATTGAACGAGTATTCTGAATATGAAAAAGTAGAAAACAACCAGAATAAAACAAAGTATTTGAATAATAAATTGAGCTTTGTTTAATCTTTTCCTATATCACAGGAATATATTTTAGAATAATATCAAACATCATTTCATTTTTTCTATCTTCAACTTTAAAGAAGACAAAAATTTCTCTCTCCATTGTGTAACAATGATTAAAATTGAGAGTTCGAATAGTAAATCTATATAAAATTAATAAGTTTTATCATTTAGGGAGTTTTTTCACTGTAAAGCGACAACCAGCAATGAAATCAAATTGGAAATTCAAATGGAAACAGGACAAAATTTGCTTGATACTCTAGAAAATATTAAATCTTACCTTAATGTTTGTAATTGCGATCTTGTGAAGAATACTCAGATCCTAACATATGACAAAGATGCTACGATTGAAGGTGCACAAGTTGCTTCACCATATTATCTTACTTTATTCTACAAAATATTGAAACGGGTTCGTTTTTTTTTTTCTAAATTTTTGAAGTTTTTCTTTTTCTTAAATATATTTATGGGGATTTCTGAAAATAGTATTTGATAGTTTGTTTTATCAGTGGTAATAATCTCTTAATGTCATTGAATTTAATAAATATTTAAGAGTTGTTTTTAATTCTAAAGAAAATAAGTGTTTCAAACTGAGTTTTATAAAAAAATTGCTCTGCAGGTTTTGTGTAGTGGAAGACAATATGGTGAAGCACAGTTTTGGGGTGAACGTTTGCATTTGCTAGAGAAATTTATCGCACTATCAGGTATTTTTTTTTATCAGTTGCGGTATTTATGAATTTTTGTCCGTGTTCCTTTTTCCATCATCATTTACCCAAATTATCAAAAAAAAAAAATTCGAAGTACTTTTATTTTTTAGATGAAAGTAAGCAGTTGTTAATTCGATTGTTTCTTCGCAAAAGAAAATGGTTAATATCAGATAAACTTTCGTGAGTTATTTTGCTGTTTCATATTTTTCTTCTATTTGCCTCACATTTTTCATTATAAGAAAGCAATATAAAAGTTGTTCATCTTAAGATACGCCAATATCTCTTCATCTTTGAATCCATTATTCAATGAATTATTGCAAGCTGAACTTGTTGATTCAAGTTAGTAAATTTTACTGTTTGGAAAATAGCTCGACCAATTTCTTTTTTCTTTTTTTTTACCAAGAAATTTTAATTTTTTCATATTATCCACTTTTACCCACTTTTGATCCGTATTGTAATTTTTGTAGAAAAAATATTGGGATTTATTACCTAGTGTTTATTATTTAGTATATATTTATTATCTAGTATGTTTCTCTCAATTGTTAGTAAATCACAAAGATATTATCTACTGGAAAGTTTGTTTCAGGTCACTCATCACTACTTGAAATTGAAGAAGCCGTACATCTCTTACATGCTTCATCGTTAAAATCTGTTGCGAAGCACTTCAAATTAGATTTCAACAAAGGCAAAATTGAAATTTGTCGTTCACTTTTAAAATTTGCTACGCAAAAAAATGTTTTCGGAATTACTATGGAGAAACGAGTGCTGAATAAGTAAATGATTTTGATTTTAGTATCGAATCTTAATTCGATTTGTAAATCTTTTAATGAAAATAATCGGATATGAAAATGTAAATTAGTGTGAGACTAACAAGTGCTAAGATTTTTTTTACTGCTCGCAATTTGCGATATTGCTATTTTTTTGATCGGTTTTTATGAATTTAAAATTTTTCGATTTTCATTAGTTCTTGATTTATTTAACGAAAAATAAAAATTGTAGAGTGAAAGAGGAACTTGGCCCATGTTTTCGCATACGCTATGAAATTGTGGATATTTTTTCTGCGATTTTTACAATTTATTCACCAATGGATATGAATTCCGCGTTACTTTTCGATCAGCCTTCTATTAATTTACCCTCGCAATTATTGTAATTTCTCTTTCTCAATCATTTAAAGTATTAAAAAATGTTTTGCCGATATGCATTAGTGTAAGATTAGGCTTTATAATTACCATTTGCTATTTTAATTTTCAGATTCGTTTTGCTGCAACTTGGTACGGATAAAATTCGTTTTCCTGCTCCTTATAATTCTTGTTTGATAAATATTTATACGGACGCTGAGAAACTTTTCAGGTATTATAAAATATTCATTTTTCTAATTTTGTTTATTAAATAATTCTGCAATATGTAATTTGAAATTTGAAGCAACATTTTGTCTTTTAGGTATATTAAAGCAAAAGAATTGGAAGCTGAAATAGCTGATCTGATGCAGCGTGGAAAGTGGACTGAAATTATTGATTGCGCTAAGAAAGCTCGCATCAAATTTCAGGATGCCTATACTGTACAACAGTAAGCAATATTTTCAAATAATTTGTCCTTTTCATTTATTGCAACAATAAAATTATTAGAACTTTTCATTATTCCGTTGATTTAAATTCATTAATTTAGTAATAGTTTTAAAAGTTACAACTAAGCATATCTTTTAAAAACGATTCATATTTGGCATATACGAATTAGTCAATTTCATTTTCGATTAATTTATTAATTTTTCATATTCTGTGAAATTTGCAAAAAATGCATGTGTTCTGTTGATGTGGTAATTAATGATAGGTTTGGTTAAGCCAAGTAATTAAGTCCAATTTGAGTCAAATAATTAAAATTTTTCCCCTTCATGTTGCAGGCAATTCTATGAATCTTTAATTGATAGTCTTCGGAGATTCACCGATCTTCATGTATATGCAAGGTTTATCTTTCATTCTTTATAGTACGATTTTTAGACATTTACTTTTTTGAGTTTGAAATAATTCAGATATCTTCCTATTAAAAAAAATATAAAAAAATATCTTTCTATTTATCTTCCTATTAAAAAAATATGTAATCTCTTGTTTCGTTAAAATTTCTTGCTTTTATCAGGTATAGTTGAATCATTTTATATCCTTTATTTTCTTCCATCCAGGTGTATATCACATGGTGTTGATGCACTAGAAAAGGTCAGAGATTATGCTGAAGCTGTTGTATGGTTGGAATATATGTTGAATGCTATAGGTATAGTAATATTAACTATTTTATTTTATTTAAGTATTATTGAATTAAGTTTGTTCTTGATTTGTTGCTTTTTTTTTTGCATCTGTATTTTTTCAGTGATTGACTTCTTACGTGTTGTCATCTCACGTGTATTGTAGATTGAAGAAAAAGAAGTGTTTATTACTGTCTTAACGTTATCGCATATTTTCTTCCAATTTACTATTGTTCAGGAAACACTTAGATTATAAATAAATTTAGTCTTACAGTAGTTAAGAATAAAAGTTTCAATAAATGTAACTGTTCTATTTTTCAAGTCCAAATTTAACTAATGTCCGAAATGTTTGTAACCTTTTTTCTTTTTGCATGAGTTTTATGAAGTTATCTAAGTTTGTTAATATCCTATTGAAATTATATCTATTGTAATTTTTTCTTTTTTCAGAATTTAAACTTATTCTTGCTAATGCTCGAGGTGGATGGTGGGATCGATTAGCACTAAATTTAGATGCACATCTGAAAGATAAGGATGGTGCAATGAAAGCTGTTATTGCTGCTCTGAAAGATCCTGTTTTAGGTGACAAAGATCGTTTGTCTCTCCAAGTTTGTTCATTTTTCTGATGTTCATATTTTGATTTATTACTCATATGAATATGAATGTTTTGTAGTTTTATCTCTCGAATCTCCCATCTCTTTTACTTGTTAAATTCTTTTCAATTCTTTTTTTTTTTGATTTTTTATTGGTTTTAGGAATTTTTTGAAGGACTAAATTAGTTCATGTTGCAGGACAGAGGTCGTAAACTTTGTTCAGGATGGAAAGGACCTTTGGAAGAGGAAGATCTTGAAAGAATTAATATAAAAGGCTCTGTAGTGGGTAAAAATCTTGGCGAATCACGAATTAACAGATTTCTTATTAATAAGTGTGTTTTTTGTTTCAATAAAAAATTTCATGTTTCATTAATTCTTCAAGCTTATATTTTGCATATATCTGAATTTTATTTCAGAAATGGAGTATCTTATGAATGCAGCGTTGAAGAGGTGGCACTGGATCATTATTTAAGAAAAAAAGGTTTCAAAGAAGGTTTGTAGTTATCGTTTTTGATAATTTATCTATTTATAAATCAGTGCAGTGCAGTGTTTGTGCACTAAAAATTAAGTAATGGTCTAAACTTAGTCACAGTTAGAAGATATACTTCAAATTAACTAATCAATTTCAGTTTTATCAAGGAATAAATTGAAAATGAGCTTAAGTATGGGACATATTGATTAGGTTTGTAAGCTTGTAGACACGTAATTGAATAACTTTCTGTTTTGTTCGCCATTTTTTAAAGTTTTTATGAATTATTGTCAATGTTATGTTGTGTTTTATATACAGGAGTACATGCAGAAGGTGCAGTTTGGCATACCATATTTGGACTTTTATTTTACGACGTTATTTTTGATTCAGCTGTTGAAAATGTATGGTTTAGCGGAACACAGGTATGTGAGATTATTTTTAATGAATTTCTAGATTTTAAATTATTTTCATCTATAAGAAAGCATTTTTCCTTGATCAGGAATTAGTTGAATTGTTTGAAACAGTGAAGATAGTGAAGAATTAATTTATGAAATTTCACCATTATATGATTTATTCCTAGATGAATCCGGCGGACTTGAATAGCCGAACTTTCTACGTCAATCGACAAGATCTTTTCGAATTACGCTTTAAAGAGATTGAAGAAGGAGATTTTGATGATTTATTACTGGAAATGGAGAGAACATACAATAATAATTATGGAATAACCAATTCAGAGATCACATGGAATTGTTTTACTGATTTTGAACAAATTAAAGTTAGTAAATTTTTGTTTGTCAATTAATTGTTCCACTATTATTATGTATTTTCATTGTATTAAAAAGTTTTGATATATATTTTAAACATTCAAAAAAATTTTCTCGCGCTAATGATATTTCAATTGTACGGTTATTCCTATAAATTTTATCTAGTATTCTTAAAGTTTAGAGGATAGAAATAACCTATGCAATGCACCAAATCATGCTAAAATAAAATTAAATCAGTATGTTAAGCTTTATATTTTTTTTTATCTAGCAGCAGTTACCATCTTGGCATCTTTAAAAAGAAAATAATGACGCGGATTTTTTAAGCGTTTTATGATCTGTTGTCCAATAGCTGTCCTTTGCGCAATTATTCGTCGTCTCATTACCGATTATCGAAATTGTCGAAGTGGATTTCCCGATTTAACTATTTGGAATGATGAAAAGAAACTTCTAGCTGTATGTTCATTGTTAATTTTGACAGTTTTATCATAAATGCATTCTTTTTAATGAATGAATTTCATTCTCATATATCTTACGTTCATATTTTCGAACTAAACTCGTTTCTTTTATTGTAATATATTAAATATAATACTAGAAAGGAAGTATTATAAATTTTGTTTTTTAATTTTAAATCTTATTGCAGGTTGTAGAAGTTAAAGGTCCTGGTGATAAATTATCGACCAAACAGCGTTTATGGTTGAGTTTTTTTAAAAATCAAAATATAATAGCTCATGTTTGCCACGTTTCTGGTAAGCATTATTGTTGTTTTTTACTTTAAATTTGTGGGAATTTATTGTTATCAGTTGAGAAAATTATACTATTGGTGTTAGCAATGGCTACTTCATTTTGCATACACATATTTATTCTTATGTTTTTGTCATATTTAGCTTTTAAATTTATTTGTTATACCGACTTTATCATTCTAATTTATTCTATAGCATTGTTTTTTTGCAGCTCGGAATCCAAGAAAGCTTGACTGATAGCATTGTGCTTTGATTATCAGTTATCTTATCAAATGAGGGTGCATATGAAATAGTTTGTTATAGGATTTATATTCGCTTTCTTCAATTTTTATAGATTTATTTGCTCATCATTTTACAAACTTCAGCGCATAACTGTTTCTATAGTAATATTATAGTTTTATATGACAAGTAAATAAAAAGCCTTGAAGACAAAATTTTATATTTATTTTTGATCAAAATATTTCTTAACTCGAAAAATGAGCAAAATAATTTGCGAATGTATTGGTAATTGAAAATAGCTGAATTAAAACTGAAAAACTAATATTTCTCATCAAACACTGATTTATTACATTCAATAGAACAAATTCAAGTTTCATTTGCAATGCTTTTTAGTGATAACTGAAACTAATGTCTGTCACCAAAACCTTTTCCTACTTTTTCTCAATAAGACCTCAAAATTTTTTCTTACTCAAAGATTTTTTTTTTTTAAGATGCATTTTAATTCCAAAAAACTTGATTAAATTAAAAATAGAACATAAAAGATTTCTTAAATCATGAAAGGAAATATCAGTGATTAGCTTGTTTTTTTTTTTTTAATTTGGTCTTTCTGATTTTCTGACTATTCCTGTTGTTATTTCTGTATTGTTAATTTACAGTAAAAAAAAAAACGAAGTTACTTTTATTCAAATTGGCGACTTCTAATTTTTCTTAATTTGTTATATAGGATAAATGAAAAATCAGTTCCAAGCAAATTGTATTACTTTCTATGATTTCTTATGCAAATAATGTTTTGTGCATTCATTACTTTGTGATAAATGCTAAAAATTTTCTTCATACAATAAACGGAAAAAAAAAAAGTAAAATGCTAACAACGAATCGATAATAGTTTGTTTATACATTCTTTAGAGATAAATAAATCAAACCTTTTGTAAACTTGTGACAATCATATTTTTTTTTTTTAAAAAAAAATTCATACATAGTTTGTTTACACATGAAAAATAATTATGAGTTATCAGTCTTCTAATTCTTATCTGTCGAGAAATACAACCTTGTTTGTTTCTCTCTCGAGAAATGAGTGGAATGCTTTTAGCTAACATAAAATTTTGAATGACTAATAAATGTTGGTTTCATGTGAAATATTATACATTTTAATCAAAGTAAATGATCTATTTTTTTAGGATAGCAAAGATAGTTACTTATAAGTATGTAAATTGAGTTAAATTACAATGAAATAATCCTGTTAGAATTGTTGTAATGCACTCAAATACAAAATTATAATTTTTGAAGTTAAAGTTTTATTTATTCAAGATGTATTCACTAGGAATGGTTGTGATATTTTTATTGATTATACTATGGAATGTATCAATTATCATTAATTATATCCAAATTGATGATGATGATGATAATAATAATATAAAAATGATTGATGAACAATTTTTTGGTGATAATAGTATCACAAAACATTACAACAGTGAATATATCAGTAATGATTACAAAGATACTGGACCAAGAGGATTTATCATTAAAGAATTTAAGAATAAATCATTAAAATTTACGATAAATGAATCAAATCGTTTTAAAATTTCCTATCCACCAGCTGAATATCGTTTCTTCAGATCAATGATTAATCATAATCTCTGTTATCAGTATACTTTAGAATGCATTTATGTGAGTTTTCTTCTTTTTTGTTTTCTTTCCAATTATTAGGATTTTTTCGAAATTTTAATTTTTATTTCTTTCTAAATGTAAAATGCAATATTTGAAATAATAATATGTATTAAATAAAGCTTAATTCTTAATTCATATAAAAAAGATAGATTGCTAATATTATGAATAATATAATTTACAACTAATTAATATCCGAAATAATCACCACTGTTATATAATAAATCTAATTTTAAATAATTAAATCTAATTTTTGTAGTATCGATCGGAATATTCACGTAGCAAATTATCAATTGATGAGAAAACTGGTGAAGAATACAATCCGTGTCAACGATTTGTTGAACCATGTTTTGGGATTTCTGAATACGAATATAAAGCTATAAAGAAATTTAAAAGTTTAAAAGATTATTAAATTGTTATTATGTTGATTTCAGTTTTGTTTTGTTTGTTAAAAAATGTTTGACAATAATTAACGAAACATTCACTTCACGGTTTCCACTCGAAATGTGTCCATTTCGGCTTATTCCGTGCATCTCTGAGCCAAACTCCTCTAGCGTAAGATCACGTACGTCCGTGTAACTAACTGGCAATAATTGACGAAACATTCACTTCACGGTTTCCACTCGAAATGTGTCCATTTCGGCTTATTCCGTGCATCTCTGAGCCAAACTCCTCTAGCGTAAGATCACGTACGTCCGTGTAACTAACTGGCAATAATTGACGAAACATTCACTTCACGGTTTCCACTCGAAATGTGTCCATTTCGGCTTATTCCGTGCATCTCTGAGCCAAACTCCTCTAGCGTAAGATCACGTACGTCCGTGTAACTAACTGGCAATAATTGACGAAACATTCACTTCACGGTTTCCACTCGAAATGTGTCCATTTCGGCTTATTCCGTGCATCTCTGAGCCAAACTCCTCTAGCGTAAGATCACGTACGTCCGTGTAACTAACTGGCAATAATTGACGAAACATTCACTTCACGGATTCCACTCGAAATGTGTCCATTTCGGCTTATTCCGTGCATCTCTGAGCCAAACTCCTCTAGTGTAAGATCACGTTACGTCCGTGTAACTAACTGGCAATAATTGACGAAACATTCACTTCAAGGCTTCCACTCGAGATGCGTCCATTACTGAAACAATCATTGATCAATATCGATTGATCGATCATTACAAATTTCTAATTCATTTATTATATCTAAGCATATCTCTCTAATAGAACACTTAGCTATACTATGGTATGATACTATTAAAAATTAATTACTTATAAAATATGGGAATATGTGACGGAATGTAAGAATAATGGTTTTCTTATTTTTTTTCAAAATTATTTGGATAAAAAAAAAAAAAAAAAAAAAGGACGCACGTTCACGTTATTCACGTTACTTGAACATAAAAATCTTTCATGTGACAGTATATATTTTTGTTGTAGAAAATGCTAACTTTGGTTTAAAAAGAATTCCTTCATTCCCTTCTAATGAAATAATAAGTTTAAAAAGAATTCCTTCATTCCCTTCTAATGAAATAATAAGTTTAAAAAGAATTCCTTCATTCCCTTCTAATGAAATAATAACACAAATTTCAGGTAAATTAAACATTTTAAATATTTAAATGATTTAAATTAATAAAAAGGATCAGAATTGCTATCTTTGCTTCATTTTGGACACTTTTCTTTTTAAATAAATTAATTATAAAATTTCTTACGCTGTATATTGTGGAATATAACTTATACTATTACTTTTACTGTTAAAGAGTTCACCAACTTCAGAAATTTCTTAATTAAAGTTAAAAATTTTCAATCCTTCAATTTGTATTAATGCAAAATTGATTCAAAACTTTATACCTTCCAATATCGAAATTCATCATTTGAATATTTTATTAATGAAATATAAAAAAAGAGTGTGGAATGGCTTTTGTTTTTACCTGATTAATAATATTAAGTTTTTGTTCACAATAAACTAATACAACAATTACTTTACTGAAATTTTTATAAAAAAATAACACTGTTAAAGTATATTGAACTATCGGTCAATTGTTCTAATTTTATAAAGAATTCTTAATAAAAATGTAAATGAAACATAAAGCATTGAAAGATTCATTCAATAATCATTCCAACTTATCAAACATTCCCGAAAATTTCATAGGATCAAATGCAAATGTAAAAAAGTTGAAAATTTCTAACTCAACATTTCAAAACAAGTATTGGACAGTAACTTATGATATTGTTACTACTCATAATAAATGTCTTGCAAGAGAAAATTGGGTAAAAAAAAATGAAAGTAAAAGGAGAATAAAAGCGGGAATAACGAGCAAATAAATTGATAGACATTTTATAATACGATTATAAATGTTAGCGATCAAATAAAAAAAAGAAAGTAACTTCTCGCTTGCATCTTACGCCAAATTTTTAAGCAGTAGTTTAAAACCAAAAATTAATATTAGTAGAAATCAATGCGTAAATGTAGTTTTTTAGGTAGTTTGTAGTTTGATTAGATTTTGAATCATTAAAAATCGAGTTGATTTATTCTTTCCCTAAAGTTAATTATTTTATCATCAGTGCATAATATTTGTTCTTATCACACGAATATTAAAACTAAATTGAATTACATCGAATAATTAAGATCAGTTTCTTGCATAGTTAACAATTATGATTTCAATATAGAATAGATATAAACCATTTGAATAAAAATAATGAAAATTATTAACTTAACAGCATGGTAATTATTCTCCTATGTTTGCATATAAAAATTTTTTGAAACTCTTTTCAGATAATAGTTCCACTCTAGACTTTCAGTATCAAACAACTGATAAAATTTGAAAATATATCTGCTTATTGTCAAATTAATGTATACTTCAAAGATTAAATTGCTTCAATTTCAGTTTTTAGTAAACGATTCGGTTGGATACTTTTGATTCAAATATTTAATCAGGTAATCATCCTGAATGTTCAACTGATGACATCCCTCTACCACTTTTCTTTCAATTGCAAATAAATGTTCATCATTAATATGCGGTGCCATTCGATGTACACATTCTGCTAATCGTAAGACATATTCAATGTTTGTTCCACTGATTCCACGAGCTCTAAGTATCTTAAAAATGTATCTAAGTTGCAAAAAAAAAAAACGAAAACAAAACAAAACGCTAAAGTTAAAGTTAATTATTGATTAATCACTAATAAAATTTTTTAAGCGAATCTGAACTACTGAAGCAAAAAAAAAAAATGAGAAACATAAGGTTCATGTTATCACAAATAAAATTTCAAAAAAAAAAATGGAATGCAATTCTGTTTGCATATTTCGGATTTTTTATTGCAATATCTAAGCTTCAGGCAATAATAATAGTAAAATTTTAGCACTTGCAAAATTCATATAAGAGAAATTCTAAGAAGAAAATGAGATAATTTACGCTATGCACAATATTTTTCTCATCAGTAGGACCCGTGAAATAAGGATTCTCCACTTCAGCAGCTAAATAAACATTGATTGGAAAAAATGGATCACCATTATCTGGATAAAACATCACTTCTTTCCTCTGAAAATCAAAGAATTACATTTAATAAAATATAGAAAAGCATGATTTCTTTTAAATTACGGACAATTCTTTAAATTAATAAAGCTAACATATGAAGTTTTCCAATCAATGAAAAACGAAAACGAAATTGTTTAATTTTTTGCGAAAATTTAATTCAATTAAGTGATAAACAGACAAAATAGCCAGCTTTTTCTCGTATATCCAAATATCTAATTGTATCCGATACTTGTTCCTCAGCAATTTCATAAGCTAAACCCCAGCAAGAACCATTTTTATCTGCTACCAAGGTGACTGTACGACCGGGCTACAAAATGTTTCATTTTAACTTGTGCAAAATTCGCAAAAAAAAAAAAGGTTACAGGAAAAAATACATTTAATAATTGCACTACCTTACCTATTTTAAAACAATATCAACTTTGAAGAAGAAATAAATGAATGAAACATTTTAACTCAGTGAAATCAAATATAATATCAAAACAATTAAGCATCATAAGGGACATTAACGCATATCTTTAATGTCATAAAGATATGACGTGATATCATCTCTCTTACTTACAGGTCGTGGAAAAAGAACCAACACTGCTTGCTGTGCCTCTATGATCAGGACTAAGCTGCCAAAATCGACGTGAATAACCACGTACAACACCGGGAATGACGTTTCGATATGGGAAATCTGTATACCACAATAGTGAACCGTAACCAAATATCCACATCTTCCTGGAAAAAAAAAAATACAAAAACTTTGCTCGGAAATGATTAATAGGTCAATTTTTATTTCTACAATAATTGCCTTATCAGATATTTTCCAGAAAAATCATTCCTGTTGGAACTTTCGAAAATCATTTACTTAAACAGTAAATGATGTAAACAGAATAACCTCAAACACAATTGACTTTAGGTAAGCATAGGCTCAAAATAAATTATTTAACTTCGAGGTTATTACAGCTTGTTCACTGCTTACGTTTTTTCTGCTTTTTTATTAATCGACTGTTGTTCATAAAGTTTCAAATATTTATATGTAAATTAAAAATGATATATGCAAAACAATGATGCAATATTGTAAAATTTACAATGTTTATTTTAACAAAAAAATAAAAAAGTAAAAATCCAAACATCTATCTCGATTCTGAGATGAAGAGATAATAAAAAAATAATCAAGATGTACAATGCTGTCAGGAAGATATCCCAAACATCTTCGGAGAATGCAAAAAGTAAAATGAAAAAAGATCCTCAAATACTCTAAAGCAAACAATCTAAAATCAATCTAAAAGCAATAAAAGCAAAAGCAAACAATCAATCTAAAAAATAAAGATAGCAATTTCAACAAATTTTCTAATTCAAAATTGAATTACGATCATTTAGACATATGTGATATCAAACTCTTCCAAATAACGCTTTCCCTTTCAATTTTTTTTTGATTTAGAGATTTCCTTTCAAAGCAGCAAAAGACTCTGATAATAAAAATAAAAACTCTCCAAATATTGTAGTAATGTCATTCCATGCCGTAACGACCATATTGATATATGGAAAGAAAGAGTATACAGTTTTTTATAAAGAAACCGATAAATCGATCACAAACTATTCCATGCAGTTGATATACTATTAATAGTAAATTATAAAAGATAGTGGTTCCGAATCTTTTGTAATCTGTATGAAATGAATTTAATTCCTTTATTTAATAATGGAACAACAATACAATACAAAACTTTCAGGATTCAAAATAAAACAAAACAGGAAGAAAGAAAGAGAGACAGAGAATGAGAGATATAAGACGGTATTATAGTGATGAATTATCGGAGTAAACAGCAAAACGATTTTTCACTTCGCTAGCAACAATTGATGCTATCATCTGCACTGTTGCCATAGCGCCTAAGCCGGTATCACCACACATCAGTTCTTTCTCAATTGGCGGTATTTCCTTTAAAAAAATAAAGACTTCCAATTATCGAATTAAGCTTCCATATTAGCTTATTTCTTTTTCCAGATATTTTGAAAATCTACCATTTGTAATTGGAAAAAACCGCAATACTTCCAGCAAAAAATGAAGAAATGGTTAGGTAATAACCTTGTATCGCAACAATTCTTTTAAAACTTTGCGATGCTGATAAGTTAGTGGATTTTCCCACATTGCAACATTCATCGCCGGTGCATAGTACAGAGGTTTTCGTGGGTCCCATGCGCGTACAATGGATAGCAAGACGTTATCGCATATGCCATTCGCTATTTTAGCCATCGAATTAGCATCTAATGGTGCAATTAACATCGCATCCGACCATTTTCTTAATTCTAAAAATGCCAATCAGTAAGTTCAATACTTCCTATCAAAATTGAGTACATTGATCGGTTAATAATATCGAAGCGAGCGATCATTTAACTTGCGAATAAAGTATCTTCAATATCTAGCATTCGTTGATTCATATTGCATGGGACACATATCATATCACACACTGACACTTTTTATAGTTCAAATTAATTCCTCTAACAACTAACCAATATGGAGTACTGGATCACCACGTTTCTTCCACATATTCCATTCATCCATATCATTATAAACAGGAACATCAAATGCAGACTCATCAATAAATGTTCGAGCAGCATCGGTCGCAACTATTCGAATAACCTTAACAAATTCGTGTAAACCATTAATAAGATCGACCTAATATACAATATCGATATTTTTGTTACCACAATCATTCAATCATCAAAATTTGCACAGAACATACCAATTTTTCCTCAGGACTATTCTTACGAAGTTCCGTGATAAGCTCAGAAAGTTTGATTGACGCAACTGATCCGGTAATACCAATCAAAAGATGAAATTTACCACCTTGGCGAACGAATGAATGATCCGGTCCATAAGGTACTCGCGTTTTTATGTTTTGAGTCTGAAACTTGAAAAATTAATAACAAATGAATTAAGCAATAAATTGCTTAAAAATCGAAATGACATACTCGAATATTATCTGCTTTACTCAAATTGAATTATTAAGACAATTCCATGCTAATAAGATCTGAATGTACCAAAAATAAAAATACAGCTATTTTAGATTCGTTCATACAAAAATTGTTTTCACGTCCAACTATCATTCACTATCATTATCGTTTCGTAATGGTACCGTACATAAAATTAAATAAAACAAGTTTTTAAAAATTTTGATTTACATCAACCGTTGTTACATCAATCGGTGCATAGTTCGACTCCGAATCATCCTCAACTCGAGCTTTTTTTACCATGACAGGTGGCTGACCGTCCGGCATCCCTTCCTGCTCGAAAACTCCACTTTCAATAACTTCTTGATTTCTGTTTAATTCTGTATTGGATCTACGCAAAACACGTCTTCCAAGCGCTGATGCTTCTTGTTCCGTAACATACAAGGTTGTTGGCCGTGGATTAATGTACTATAAGACACAAATAGTTTAGTCCAATAAAACACGATTTCGCCTTACTGAATGCAAAATTATAAGAAAATTAGAGATTTCAGTCTTTATTCAAAAACAGTAAATATTCAATATGCATTAGTCGTCTCCGACAAAATTGTGTTTTTCTCAGTATTTTTTTTTTTTAACGAAAACGTCAAGTAATCAACAGATTATTCGTCATACCAGTATAGCATATGAAGTACTTCAAATAAATGAAAATGTGTGTGATGTTGGCAATTGCTTTAAAAAATGTAAATGAAAGCATTATATATGAACAATTAACCGAAAATTAATTAATTTCCGGACACACTGAAAAAAACAAGTAAACCTAATCACAATCGTGCCACCACAAAACAGAACAGATAAGGAAATCTTGGATGAATCGAAGATATCAAAATCATAAAACGGTGGACTAGTAAATGTATGCAAGGTGAAGGACTGAGCGACAATCTTTGGTTCTCAGCCTTTTATCTCGTTAGCCTTTTATTTTCCGTTAATAGATTCTGACACTTCTGCATAGCCGCCTTTCTAATAGGACAAGGATAATTCATCGATTCTGTGGAATGATAAGATTCGTAATCTAAGCAGTTATTGCTAAATGAAATACATTTAAATTTCTGATATAGTTTGAATAATAAATTCGAAACTACTACTAACCAAACTATTTCGCGCTAACTTCTGCCGGAATGATTTCATCACGTTTCTCACTTGCTCCTTGTTACGTAGTCTACGTGGTGTAACTCGCGAGCTGCTTGCGCACTGATCGTAAATACTTTGCTCCGTCAGTCGATCATAAATCTAAGATAAAAATATTTCGAAATTCGAAACAAGATGAAGGCTAAAAGTTTTATTTTGGAACTATTTGGAAATCCTGACACAAATCTAACACATAGCGTCTTTTAACAAAAATATTCCAAATTTCGGATATTAAACTGCATTTTAGACTATGAATGACATTAGACATAACATTAAGCATAGTTAAGCAAAACTAGTTGAGGTGCCGTTTCAATATCAGAAATCAAGAGGAAAATAGATGTAATCAAAATTCAAATGAATTAGTTGTACTATTTGAACCTATTACAATTACGGAATTGCAGTTTCTCTCATCTTCTCGTTCCTTCGCGCAATAAATAATATGCAGCAAAAGGAGGCAAGAAAAAAAAAACCATACTGTTTTCTAAACACTTCATAGTCCAAATAGCAAATATGAGGTGATAAAGCAATAAGGATTTCACGTATATATTTATATTATACATATATATTAAAATTTAAGAAAAATACGGAAGTTTTCATAATTCCAGTACGTGATGTTAACGCAAGCTCTTCACTTATAATATTACCTCAACTGCATTATTGTTCATGATACTTTGTTCTTTCACTTCTTGTAATATAATTGGTAATGTACGAAGAAATGGCTGATTAGTTCGTTTGGCATTTCCATGTGGTGCATTATCAGATATTTGAGCTGCTACGACGTGGTCACCAATATAATGGAAAAGCACCAAACCGCATGGCTCTCGTGAATATTCGCAACGTCTGCAATTTTGGTTAACCTAAAATTCCTCTTTTTCAGATCTCCTAAACTAAGTGAATTGAAATGTGGATTTCATTGGTGATTCGATTTAAAAAAAATTTCAACTGCAATCTTCATAACACATATACAATTGTCAAATCAACTCCATATTATATGGAACAACAAGCTGGATTCAAAAACGCCAACAAAATACGTGTAGTCCACCATGTACTAAGGCAAAACGGATTCAGATGTGTAAATCGACAGGTGACAAATGAACCCCATCATTCCTATCAGCAAAGTTTCTGTTAATGTTTGAAAAGAAAACTGAAACTCTATCATAGGAAATAATCATTTTCCTAATGAGCCAACTCTTATGAAGCCCAATTATTTCACACATTCCTTTCTCTGAAGAATAAGATGCAGGTTCCCGACAAAAATGACGTCGACTATCAATTAATTAACTTCTAATTAAGCTGTGCATGATCTAAAAATGACAAATCAGAGAGTAAAAATCATACATAAATCTATCGTCGCCATGTGGATCATTTTTGCAATAAAGTAAATTGTATCGTTTTTGCAATCCATTGCTCAAATTATGAACACCCTTGGAATTTCCCCAACGATATCCATCAACACGAAATGTGCGCCGTACTTGGTCATCATTCAAAGTTCCACGTGGATAAAGAGCACAGTCATATACCACAATGGTACCACCATCTGGTCGATACATTGGCCCATTGGTACATACCAAATTCCGATTTTTTTCGACTTTATCTGTAACGACGAAGAGTTAGTTATGTAAAAACAGAATAACCTAATTTCTTGAACATTTCAGATCTATCACGATTTATTCAGTTATTGTGTACAATTCCTGGAAACGGAAGAAGATATGAAAATGTAACATGCCAACAGTTAAACATCGAAAAAGTCAGATCTTTTCATTTCTCTACTTGGATTCATATTTTCGGAATTTCAGCACGATTTACTGAAAGCAGTCAAAGGATTTCTCCCGCAAGCTCGTTCAAATTTACACTTGCATTGTCATGAACGACTACAATGCGATCCAACCCGACAGATGAAAAGAATTGCTTCCAAAAGTCTGTTTTTTTTTTTTTTTTTTTAAAAATAAATAGTTCCATTGTTTGTTTTAATTTTAAGAAACTCTTCCCTCAGAGGTTTGCAATTTCAAGTCAATGCAGTTTGCAAGTGAAAACAATTTGAAAACGGACTCAAACTACGGTTTCAAAAATCTCAACTTGTTTTTAATCCAAATCACTGAAATAAAATCATATATTAGATAAGGAATTGCGGACCAAAGCTTTTTCTTTCCGCTATCGGTTCTATTACGTTACTTTATTGTGTATCTTATTGCATCATTTTATTCTGTGCTTTACAGCGTCCAAATGAGCATTTAAATTTATTTTGACGACTGTTTCTTTTATGCTTCATTGTCAAAGCTTCGACTATGTAATTTTGCAGATTAGAAAATCTTCAATTATAATAAGTTCTGTTATGTACTTTATCAGGAGACGTTTGACGTGACCTCATCCGACAATCCTGAATAACCTACGTGATATCATTGTATGCATTTATTCCTGTGCAATTATTGCTCATTGTTATCATTACAGTCATTCCTTGGTAAAAAACGGCATCAACCAGACAGGAATTCATTCCAGCACGGCGCAAACCAATTCTTTTGAACTTGGACGAAGGTAAAACGTGGACTTAACCGATGGGTAAAACGTGGACTTACCGAGAACAGCGCTGTATTGATCGAGCGTCAGAGGGTTGGGCACGCCAGTCCGATACACTATACGTGGTTTTCGGAGGTAAGGTTCGTCCATTTCACGTCTATAAACTGTAAAATTCAGCTGATCAAGTTGAATTATCTTTTAGTTTTTAAAATTTTTCAACTCCAAAAAAAAAAGGAAAATAGTCGATCGACGTATCCACCCTTTATTTAACGTCACCTGTATATGACCAAACACTTTCTCTAGCTCCCTACTCACGCGTGAGTTACGCAAATGCTTCACTGGCCAGGACAGATTATAGAGAATCGTTGCGAGACCCAAATTCAACGTTACAGCTAGATAGCCATTTCAAAAGATGCTCAGTTTAATTTATCGTCGATTAGAGAAAATTTTTTGAAGTATTTTCCATCTATTCGCCTATCATTTAAAGTTTTGAAAATATAATCACCGCATACGATTACTGCTTAGAGACACTTTTTTGCATTTTATAGGATAATTGTATTAATATGGATTTTCCTCAGTCTCACAAACAGGAATTTCAAAAATTCCAGTATGAAAGAAAGAAAAAAGAAACAAGAATTTCAGAAAAAAATTCCAGTGTAAGTTAAAAGTAAAATCTAAAGTTATATTTGTCCTTACAATAGTGTTATGCTATTATATTAAAGAACTCGCTTTAATTGCTCATAATTTTGTGATATGAGGTGCTGGAGACACGCTTTGATAATAACGTAAACAACACGATATGTCTGTTGTCTCCGTAATGTCAAATGATTTTTCATCAGCCAATCAATATTGAATTTTTGTTGTTGAGTGTTAGAGTGCTATCGTCAGTAAAGAGGAAATATGGCTATGCGTTACCTTCTTTTCTTATTTCATTTTTTTAAGCTGGATATTTTGTATTTTTAAGCAAAGGTTTTTAAAACAGCGAATGGGGCTGTCAGTGAAGCTGCTTTGTAGAGCTATTCGTAAATGCTGAGTAAGTAAACAGTGTTCAAGTTTTCAGGTTACAGATTGTTTTAGTTGAATGCACCATCGTAATGACGTATTGCAATATCATAATTAAGCAAGTTCAACTGATTATCGAAATTAAACGGTGAATTCAAATATAGATAATGAGTCTTGGAGTTTGGCTGCAGCAATAAAATCAGAAACCGATAGTTGTTTATAGTTCTTTTTTCAGTTATCAAAACACTTTATTGATTGATATCGCCATACGCGCAACTTTTACATATACAATACATTTTGCAGAATTATTGAAGTGCTCAGGTTTTGGAAACTTTTAAGTCCCATAAATCGGCCATAACTGGTGGGTGTGATCATCGGTACTTAATCAAAAGTAAATTTATGACTTAAAAATATCATTAACCATAGGAGCAGTGTGTACGGCTTATATTTATTTTCTGTAGCCTATTTTCTACGTTATCGACTAGTTTGCGATGTGCAATAACATTGTTTGAATAGTGTTAACCTATACATCAATACATACTTCACTTCAATATGCTTTGTTGATGTTTACCGTTTATACAACATTTTTTTTCTTGAACTTATTACTTTCATATCTTGAAAAATACTTGTTCAACTTCCTAACTTCTTGAATAGAAGGAAATGGTTTAAATTAGATATAGATCAACTTGATAATTCCGTAACTAATATCTTATTCATCTCTGTGGTTACTAACCACATGAACTTTGGTTGTTGTTTTAACTCAATAATGAATTAGGACAGCAAGAAAAGCTAGGTAATAAAGCCTTGTTTACTTCATATTTTTGCTTGTTTATTCTTGCTATTCATTTATTTATATCAATGTCCGTCCCACATAATTGATGAAATATTTTCGGTCGATGTTGAAAAAATTATTCGCTAATATCGAAAATAGTTAGCAGGAATTCTAGCAAATGCAATGCCTTACCTATCATTGAGTTAGTATGTTTGACACTGTATAGATTTTGTCATCATATCTTTCCAGCTCCCAGTATCCAACTCATTTTGATAAATTACTAGAATGATTCGATTTGATGCAATTTCTCACTTTTCGTCACTGTGTTATTAGGTTTTAGCCATACACTTTTTTGTTACTTTTTCACTGAAATTCGAAAATCTTGTTTGCGTGATTGATAAAGCTACAAATTTTCGTTTTTGAGATTAGACTTAACTCATTTAATTTATCCCAGTGGAATCATTTTCGTATACCTTTCATATTTACTATTAGTGAACTCAGTGCAATGGTTGTAAAAAATCGGTTAATTAGCGTATGTCATTTGTCGTAATGCATCCTTAATACACTGATATTTCTTTGCAGCAAAGAATAACTAAAAGATGATTGGTTTAAAAGGTGAAATGAGAGGTACAAAACAAAGAAAGCTGAGTGAGTCATCACATACTAATTTGCGTCGCAGTAAAAACTCATCGGTATTTTTTCTCTATGTATTATTTTACGTCCATTACCTTTTCTAAATAGCTTCGTTTAATTCATTTCTTTCCATTCTTAACAACCAACGGTCTGCATCTAACGTTGATGTGAATAATAATATCGCAAATGTTTCTTATCTAAATTATTCTTGAAAAGTATGTTTCATAAATTTTTTTCCTTTTCTGTTTGTTTGTTCATCATAATGTTTCAGAAGTCATCAGATAGTAGTTCTTCGTCAGGAAAAAAGCGTGTTACTCTGCAGAACGTTGAACAGGTATTGCTCGTAGAATAGTAAATTTCGAAGTGTTTGCAGTCCTTTATGGACAGATTTATTTATTGTAATTAGAAGAAAACAACTATTTTCATATAAGTTTTGATGTCTTCAGTCAATAATTTTAAACAATTACATTTTTTTTGTGATCATTTTTAAATTTTCGAAAATTTCTTCATCTTCCCTTTTTATCCTAAGTTAATTTTTATATTACGATTTGTTTTATCTTCGGAAATTTCATTTCACAATTTTTTTTTTCTAAATGCTAAGATTCATTTCACATTGCAGTTCGTTTGCTGCATATATTCCAGACCACAACGATGGGCTGGGTATTTTGGGAAGCAATTATTAGGAAAGTGGGGTATATAGGGGTCACTTCTTTATTTTGTAATTTTATATCCTGAACTATTGAAAAGTTTGTATTCTTCAAGTATACATGCATATCCAGGATGAAGTATCAACCGATGTATCAGAATTGAAGTCGATAGGAAAAGCACAAACGCTTGCTCATTCATCAGCCGATTATACATTGAGGTGATGCGTGTCATATATATATATAATTTTTTTAGAAACCGATCTCAAAATATTTCCAGTTGGTTTTGAACCATAAAGATCACTTTTTTAAAATCCATTTTTACTTAAAATTACTTTCATCACATTTCCCGTCATTCACATAAATTTTCTAATACCTCTATTGAAATCGAAAAGATAGCACTATTGACTTTGATCATAAGATTAAATTAAAACCCTTTTGGAAGCTACAAACCATTGGAAATTATCCACTCAGAAATTTTAGATGTGTGTAAGTGAATGATAGGGAAAAACTTTTTCCCTGGTGCATAATACGTATAGAAAAATTTCTATATGAAATAGAAATGCGGTTGCATTTGAAAAAAACAAAGCTTTTTAGACAGTTGTCTTAAAAATGCATTTAAACTACCAAACTGTTGTTTTTGCTGAATATTATGTCCGTCTACCTCTAGAAATATTAGTGAAAGTAAAATCTCACCTATTCATTTCATAGAATATAAACTAGGAAGATGAAACTAGAGGTTACTTATATTGGATAGTGTTACAAAACTTTTCGGAATTTTCAGTTTAAATCATTTGCTCGATGTGAATCTGCGCAATGGTTCACAGCAATCAATACCTCTCAGTTCGAAATTAGACGACTCTTTAGATATTACGATTTATTGGGCAGATGAAAGAGGTCAGTTTTCTTTTTTTTTTTCCTTTTAATTTTTGCACTAATTTCTTTCTCTTCGATAGTTTCAAAGAATGGTTCATTAATCAATAAAGCTATTCTTCATTCTTTCATGTACAAATGCCATTATTTTCTTTTAAAATTATGGCTATTTCTCTCATCCTGTCCTTGGCCTCTTTAAACATAATTACAGGTCTCAAATTTTCTCTAATCGGTGGTAAATTTGCAACAGCGTCAAGCTTGTTATTGCTGCTTGCTGACCATTTGGGTATCGTTGCTGATATTTTCAAGCAAGTATGCGCTCTCTGGATGGTATCAGATTTATTAGGTACATTAAAATTTATTTAAATACATTTTTATTTTTTTACTAGTGGTTTTTTTTTTTTTGCAGAAGTGCAGTTGAAGCCACATCATAATCCATATGAAATCCGGAAAAACTGGATGCAGTTTCTACAACGATTCACGAATGCTGAAAGTAATGAATTAGTTGCTGACGAGCCGCTTCTTGTATTGAAGCGAAATGTGCAACTTCCTGTTGAGCGAGAACGTGAAGTGCGTTAAATTTAGATTTAACGTTTTTAACATGTATCAGTGAGCATTAACAGAAGAAAGCATCTTCTAGCGAAAGTTCCAGAAACTACAAAAGAAATCCGTCAACCTAAGCAAATATTAGAAATAAGTGGAACAGGAGGCAAAGATAAGGTTACTTTATTTCTCGAATTGAAATTTGAGTAATCTAAAACTGTCATTGTAACAAATTAATATGCAAATTTTTTAGTTGGAGGAAGATTATACTAACGAAATATTAACGGAAATATTGTATAGAAGTGCAAAGCAAGAAGTTTTGAATGGTCGATACATATGTGACATCGATTTAAACATAAAATTGGCAGCCTTGCAGATGGCTATCGATTTAGAACCAAATGAAGACGTGGATATAATGAATGTGTTTGGGTTTGTCATTTTTCATCGATCATTTAAGTTGGTGTATTATATACATTTCTTTCTGTTTATGACTAAGAACTTGATTTCTGGAATCTATTAATGGAATACCAAGAACTTGATCTTGTGTTGTTCAACGGATTTTCGGTTATATTAAAGATAAATGATTTTGCAGAGAGGAGATAGAGACATTTTTTCCGCTGAAATATCGACATAATGTAAAAACATTTCATTTATTTGGTATTCCCATTATCGGTTGCAAGGGTTTGGAAACACGTATCCTTCAAGAATATCGAAATATAAGATTGAATTTTGAGGGCAAACATAGCTGTCGAAAAGCATACCTCAATATTATCCGCAATACACCTTTTTATGGGCAAGCGTTGATCTCAGTTTTATTTTTTGCAGTTGCCTGCGTTAATAATTGTTATTTTTGCATAGAAATTAGAATAGCGGCTTTCTATTATGTGTGCTTCAAGGATAGGACATCTCATTGATTGATGAAACATTGAATCAGCAAATAATGGGATGCACATAAATTCATTTAGCAGTTGAAATTTTTGAGATAATATTTTATTCATTTTGCACTTTAATATTTTTCAGGGCTGCATTTTTTCGTGGATACGTTGAACGACCATCAGGAAGACCATTGAAGGAAATCAAAAGAATGATACTTTCGGTGACGTTACCAGATATTCCGGTGGCATTTATTTTTGACACACATTAGTTTCATTTTCAGTTGTTTTTGTGGATTTTTATTTTGGAAATTTTGAAAATTGTGCTGCACTATTGCGTCTCAAAATTCACCCAACTAAGCGCTGGTAATCAAATGCATAGGATGAAGTATGTATGGTATTTCTAAAAATTACGCGAAAATTTTGCCTTACTTTAAGACTGTTCATCGAAACGTATGTTGTTTCATTTCAGGTTCTTATTGGAATCAGTTGTGGTTATGTTACATTGATCGATGAAGCAAAACAAGAGGTTCTGCTGGTGCAACGACTTCATGACTGTGATTGCCGCTATGTGGATGAGTTAGTCTTTTTGGATTTTAATAGCGACAGAATTTCTTGAGAATGTTTCGTTTTAAAGTGGAATTTTTTAGTTTCTTATTGTTTATTTTTGAGATTTGATTCCTTGATGATATGAAGAAAAAAAAATTGTATCCAATTGTATTGTAATTTTTTTCTTTTGTTACTCTCATATATGTTTTTTATTATTATTATTATAGTCATCATGTTATGTTGATAGCGAAATTAGTTTCCAGATATTTTTTATTTTTTTAATTACTGCTGTATATATGCAGTGTTGTTTTAGTGGGATCTCACTAAATTTCAATTATAATTTTCAGTCATTTCGAAGTTGCGATATCAGCAGCCGTTTTAACTGAATGCCCATGTTTCCTTCTGACCTTTCCGGATACTTCATTTCTAAATGACCATAATCTAAATTCTGAAACTGAAATGTTAAAATTTTCGGAACAAATTAAAGTGCTTCAGGTATAGCTTTTATGTAACACACGCAGTATTTCTCACATTTTCCATGCATGGTAGGGTTTCTCTCTTTATTTGATTTTTTAAGAATTACAGTGTAACCTATTTCTTCTATGACTTCTCAGTTTATTTGTTCTTTCTGCCAAACTTCATTCATCTTTAAAACGAGAATTCTATTCTGCCTACCATTTTTTTTTTTTTTTTTTTTCATTTTCATAAGATATTTTTAATTGTTGTAGGTATTTAGCAAACAAGCCATAATGATTGAAGCTCTCATGAATTCTTTATCCAAACTAATGGAACGAAATACTGAAGAGAACACTGATAGCGTAATATCAAACATAAAATATGATAATTGCCGACAGGATCTCGAGGGAGCAGTATCGGATAATAGCAGTCCAGATGATAGAAACGCATATGTAACTAACGTTTCAGTAAGTTAAAAATTTTCATCTAGAAGAACGTGGTGTAGGTTAAATTAAAAGTTTTCTCAGCTAAGAAACTGCTAGTTTTTTTTTTTTTTTTTTCTGAATTCTACAGTATAATGCGAGAATTGTTTCAACGAGCAGTTGATGTGAAATACTTTTATTTGTGTGATAGTGTTTCTCAGATTGTAAGGATGGAACCAAATCAAAAGTTGGTCTTTATTTATTTGGAAACGCGAAATATATTACTTAAATATCTTAACTTGTGTTTCGGGGAAAAACCCTTTTCTGTCCTTCTTCTACTAAAATGAGTGAGCAGTGTGAGCTCCCAATTTCATAATTTATTTTGCGCCTTTGAAGCATATGTACTTTTGGATTTTGTTTTTACTAATGTTTTTGAAGGTGAATGAACATAATATTCAACAAAGTCACAGCAACAGTATTGGTAGTCAGTGTTCGAGTTCCCCAAGTTCGTCTCATCTAGATGAACAAACAAGAGGAAGTAGTAGTAGCACTAGTCGAAGTTTGACAAATGTATATAACTCACCGAGCCCACTTATCAGCAATATTCATAAACTTTGCTTGGCTACACTTGATGCTGATGGTCACTGTGTGGATGCACAAGGTTCATTAAGAGTTTTACTAGAGGTGATGTAAGTATGAGGTTTTCTGGAGATTCATTTAATTGATTAGTATAAAATGCTTTCATGTTATCATTCATTTTTGGTTTCTGCTGATTTTCTTTCAGATTATTCTGCAAATTTTTGATTGTGGAAATTATTGTTTTTGTGTTATTTAGTTTTTGATCTCTATCATATATGTTCTTGTTCAGAAACACTGATGAAATGTTGGTTTAAATTGTATATTATAAGCAGAAGGGCTGTGTTGAGTATTAGTATAATGGTTAGCATTTTTGAAGAGTTTTAGTTTAAAGAAATAGATTACTCACTCGTTTAATATTTGATTAAAATTTTTTTTCTTGGAGGCCGTAAAATAATGATGGAATATCCAAAAGTTTTTAATTAAAATATATATATATCGTCAACTAAAGATTTTGTAATATATATGCAAAGTTTTCATTTCATCTAGATAATGTGGAAGTGGAATGTTATACTATTCCATAATCTTGGTTACAGTTAGCATATGTTATTAAGTTTCAAATTCGGTTAATTTTTATTCAAGCAGGAAATTTTACTTTTTAAGGTTAATAGCATTTGTTGTTGTTTTCCTGTAGTTTAATTTCTATTCCAAAATAGTTTATATGCCTTAAGATATTACCTACATCATTTTAATATGATTTGATTTGCGTTTTGTGATTACACCGAATGATTTTATGATTATACGAAACCAAGTATATTGCATCGACTGTCTTTCTTTCATCATGATTAATGGATATATTTTCATTAAATAAAATTTTATCTGCAAATGTTTTGTTATTGGCATATTAACTAAAACGGTTCGATGTATAGCCTTTTCTTGTTTTTCGTGATATCATAAGTTTGAAATGACGTTGATTATATCGCTATATTTAATTTGGGAATAAATTAATTAGAATTTTTTTGTTAGGAAACTTAGGGATCGTCGTGAAGTATCGGTCTGAGTTAAACGAGTGATCTCGTGAAATTTTTGTCAGTCATTATCATTAATTCTTCTTTGTAACTATTGTTAGTATAACCTGTTAGTTAACAATTCATATGCATATAAACTTGGTCATATGCATAATTTATAGTTTATTATAATTTATTATTTTATTTAGTTTATTATGTTTTTTTAGTGTTGACCATTATGTTTTGACATAAACATAAGGAATTAAGCGAATGGTTTGTGAATGGTATTTTAGTTTGCATATTAATTTCTATCTCCTTTTCAGACCTATCGTATATATGTCATTATGAACGATGTGAACAAGGTGAATCATTCGTGTGATGTGACATGTCGAGTTTGGTGTGTACAGTGGAATCATGCAGGCACGATACTTGCAAGTTGTGGTGATGATAAAACAATTAAGCTATGGAAACGTATTGATGGTGATTTTTGATTGCTTTGTTATTTTTAAATTTTTTTGTTTCAATACAAAAGTTGTATTTTCATATTGCACTAATGATTGATTAGGTAATTACTTCTTGAAAAATTATGAGGTATAAGAAATGAGGATGAGATAATTTGGAAAGATTTGATATCATAGTGCAGTCATAGTAACTAAGTTTCACTGTTTGTTAAATAATCATTATTGTAAATGCTACTTTGTCTTATTTTTGACTTGTGTTTTAATGAAGTTTGCATGTAGTTTTCGAGTTTTGATAATAGAAATAATTATTGTACTATCATTTTTGAACCATATGAAATGATAGTAAGAGGATTTAAAAATTATGTTAATTATTGTTCAGTGAATAAGGAATATGTGTTTGCAAATTGTGCTTTCGCTAGAAAATAGCAAGCTTTCAAATTTTTAACTTTTTTTTTTTAAAACGCGTCGTTTATTCATCGATAACTGTACGATGTATTGCTTCATTTTCTATGAAAATATTGGTTGAAATTAAATTTTTATCTGTTTGGTACTGATAGCAAACAGTCATAACATTAACTTGATTAATGTTTCTGTAGAACTTTAATCGAAAATAAATTCGAAAAGGGATTCAGATGCACCGTATTTGGTATATTCTGGAACAATAAGCGATTCTCATAATAGAGCTATTCGATATGTTGCATTTTCACCAAATGATAAATTCTTGGCTTCAGCTGGTTTTGATGCTGCTATTGTCATTCATCAGTTATGCAAGTAAGTGTCACTTTCTGGTAAAGGTCCTCAAATTTCAGAAATTTGTTCAATTTTTCATAACGTTACTGTGACTGGAAATATTTGAGATGTACGATTCCTCTTGCTACGAATGCTATTTATGGACGGTCTAAATTCCAGGATAATCATAAATGTGACTGAAGTTATTCATGTGATGAATTGCATTATTACTGTTATCTAGTAAAAGTAAAAGGTTCATTTTTGGTCAAATTTAAAAGGAAAAGAAAGAACTGGAACGAGTCCTGATGTTTTTTTAAAAAAAAAATAATTCCAGCAGCCATAAAATATCTAAACGATCGTAAACTAATGATCAATTTTTGGTTTGCAGTAATGACTACGAAGAAATAAATCGTTTGGAAGGACATGAAAATGAAGTAAAATGTTGTGCATTCTCACCATCCGGTGAATATTTGGCAACTTGTAGTCGCGATAAATCAGTTTGGTTCTGGCAATGTAAGTAATTGACGCATGTAAATCAAAAAATGAAAATATCATTTTTACGTCGCTGAATTTCTGTTTCTTTAAGTAAATGAAATTTCAGTAGATGATAACGAAGATTTTGAGGTTGCATCAATTTTGCAGTCTCATACGCAAGATGTGAAATTTGTGGTGTGGCATCCAGTTGATGAGGTATTTACCAAAACATTTAAAAAAAATTTTTCTTCTTGATATTGATGTTACTAATTAATTATAAACAATAGTTTAATGTCTCTTATCATGGGCTATTGTACATATGTTTTTTGTTATTACTTATGATTACTTGATAATAAATTATACTTTATTTCGAGTTTTTATTTGATATTGTCTTTTTATCCTAATTTTGAAAAAAAGAAAAAAAAAAAAGAGCTAATCGTTGATTGATTAATACCATGTTAATGCGATACGGTTTAGTTGTTGGTATCATGCAGCTATGATTGCTCCATTCGATTTTATCGTTTTGATGGTGAGGATTGGATAACACAAGAAAAAATCGATAATGCGCACAAATCCACCATATGGTCAGCTGATTTCTCAGATGATGGTAACTTCCTTGTAACTGTTGGAGCTGACTTCATTATCAATGTAAGCTCTTTTTTTTTCTTTCATTTAATTGAGAATATGTTGTATTCTGAATTCTGATTGTTATTTTTTGCTTATTAATAAATCAATTCATTATAATTTATGTTAATTTATAAAGTTTTATTTCCATGGAAAAATTTTATTCTTATTAGATGCTAAAAAATTTGTTTTTACTAGAAACTTATATGCATAATATTCAGTACATCGTGACAATTTATGCGATCTTTACGAGTGTTATTTAGTGAAAGTTCGAATTAAAATTTCTGGAGCATATTATGGAAGTGCCGAACTGCAAACGGGAACATAAAAATATAGGTAGAGTAAAGGGAATGATTTAACAGATGGGAGAAATCATTTTTATAAGTTTTTTATAGTTTTTTTTTTTTTCTTATCGTTTTCTAATAGATATGTCCTACAATTGCTGAAATAAAGTTCGCGCATAATCGACTCATCTTTCTATTTTTTAGATTTGGATGAAACAGGGAATAAATTTAGCGCCATCGAAAAGTAAATGGAATAAGGTAACAAGTGTATGCGTGAAAACGAAATGGCCTCTGTACACGGTTTCATGGAATAAATTACATGGTATTATTGCTGTTGGTGGAGGAGATAACGAAATAAGGTTTGATAACTTTGATTAAATTTACGTAATTAGTTGTTGTAAGGAACGTTCTTCCATGTTTTCAAGTTGAAATATTGCACTATTATCGATTTTTTACTTCCATTTTTTTTCTACGGACTATGAAAACATTCTTAGGGCATTGAATTTTACTTTCGAAGGATCTCTTGATTGAATCCAGGAATATCACTTTGCAAACTTCAATTTCATCTGATCATACAATCTGTTTAGGATTTTTTGGATCCATATTTGTATATTATTTTATGAGTTATTAACTTTTTAGGCAATATCTGATGGTTTTTTTTTTTCTTTTTATTTTGTTTTCAGGTTGTTTCGCTTAAATAATTCTAAAGACAATCCTCTCCTGGAAGAATGTTTTGGAAGCTACAAACTCTCTTCAGAAATCAACTGTTTAAATTGGAATCCTGTTGAAAGTAATCTACTAACTGGTGCTACTGATGATGGTGGAATTTGTGTTCTTCGAATAAGTTTATAACATATCGGTTATGCTATGATCACTTAACCTTTCAGTGCATTGCTTCTTTTTTAGAGTAATTTGCAATATTATTATTTCTTATTCTTATTCTGTTCATTTACAATTTTGTCATGTTTTGATTTTGATAAAGATTTTGTGGAAAGTTCAAGTTGGTAGTATTTTTTCCAAGAACGTAATGAATCCGGATGGATAAGATATTTGAAACTGTATTCTTAATATTTGTTAAATCTTTTCAGAGAAATAAGATAGCATCAAATGTAATAATAAAAAGCTTAGAAACATTAGAAATATTTATGAAATTGCATAATGGTGATTGAATATAGCACCATATTTTTTAAATAATTATGTTGCATTTTTTTGGCAATAATACATTTATGCCTTAAAGAGTATAGCAAGGTTTTTTAGAAGTGATTACAGCTGGATGGTACCAGAATATGAAAGACACCAAATGACTGGAATCAAAGGATGGGCAGAACCATTACAGATAAAAATCATCATTCTCCAGAATGAACAACTTATCGAAGAGCTGAAAAATATTATACCTGTAAGCTATTTGATGTTTCCTAACATCGGATCAGTTGACATAACTAACTGTGCTAACTGGTGATTTGTTACGTCAGATAAATTTGATAATTTAATTTCGGAATGGAAATTTTTTGTTTTTTCCATTGGGTTATTTTATTGTTTATAATGTTTGTTATTTGTTAAAAACGGTATTTTTTAAATCTGATAAATATCTCATATTTCTGGCTTCAATTATAAGAGAGAAGCAATTTATTACGCAAACATTTAAGATTAATATTGTAGAAAATTGGAAGCACTGAAGTAAAAAATCTGAGAGTTGGACGTGATATTATTGAACATCGAGTTGACATATACGATTATGGAAGTCCATGGGTTGAGCTTCATGTTGACGTAAGCCTCAGAAATTCTGAAAAAAGAATTTTTTCGTTTTTAATCTTTGTCGTTATGCATTCTGCATTCTTTCTTTTTCTATTAATCAGTATTTTTTTATTAATTAGAGTATGCTGTTTTAAATCTTTTATTCTCAATTTTTTTCCATAAGTGTTTGGTTGATTTTTTTCGATTTTTATTTTCTTTATTTTTAAAAAGAAATTAGAGTAACATGTTTCGAAATACTTTTATTTCTTTTTTTTTTCTTTTTTTTTTCTTTTACATATTTTTGTTTATACTTTGATTTCCTGTATTTCAGATATGCTACAAGTTTTTATTATAACTTATAGTTAAATATGAAGTTTAATGGCGTTTCGTGGAAGTAAAGCATTAATGATACTTTAGTTTTAGAACTGAATTTTTTAATTAAGTTTATAAGATTTTATTAATAAATCTGGCATATACTTCCTTTGCATGCAGTATTTCTTTCTTAATCACTAAGTAAACAGAGTGACGATTGAATCAAATCTCGAACATCCCTTTTTTTTTTTTCCTTTCTGTCATTTTTTTTTGTCATTAATTTAATTTACTTTTTTAATAGGTGATGTCCTCTTGCTGGAAACGAATATTTCTCAAAATGGTATCAATGTTTCAAACTCTAACTAGTAAATTTTCTGGAAAGCACACACCTATACTTCAGACGACAGAGCGTGGTTTTTTCATGGATGATTGCTTGTTTGATTTTTAAATTATTTTAATTTTTTTTAAAAAAATTGTAATTTTAAATTGTTTTAATTTTGATAGACTTGAGATTGATAAGCATATTCATGAATTTATGTATGGAGAAGAGACTTTCGGTATTGTGAGAAAACATCAAATATTCTAATGGAATTTAAAATGTTTCAATTTCTAATTCTTTACATTGCTTGACAAAGCTTCTCAGTGTCACTTGCGAATGTTCTTTTTTTCCTTTCCTCTGTCTCCGATAGGCAAAACATGATAAAATAAATAATTTTTGGATTTAAATCATTATGAATTTTTTTTTGATAATTTTATTGTTCTGAAAAATTTCATTAAATTTGTTTGTTATTGTAAGCCATTTTTTTACCATAGTTTTGCACCTGTAGCCATCATCCAAGGTTCTATAACCATTTAACATGATTGTAACTCATTCCCTTAACTTTGAATAACCTAATCTAATCTATGTCCATATCTTTGCGAATATCTCACCATTAGCTATTTGATTAAGAATGTCAGTCCCGGATAAGTTATAAAATATTCCCATGACTAAGTCTGATTCACTAACTGAATATATTGAGTAGCTAATGTATTTGCTTATGATCTGTTTAAAAAATTATTTTCAGATCAGCTGAACTCCAAGTCGATCTACATTCTATCCATCATGGGAATTTGCTCGATCTTGGCACATTTTGTTCCCATTTCACTCGCGAAATACCGAAAGGAATTAATGGAACGAAATTATCGGAATACATCAAAGTGTTGTCAAATTTATCGTCACGTAATGTGCGTAGTGCTATGTACGTTGATTTTGAACATGATCGAAACATATTCACTGTACGATTCGCTGTTTTAGATGGTTTGTTTCTTTTTATATTTTCACTTAAAATTAAAATATTGTTAGGATAGATGCGAATAATTTTAGTCTTATCAATGAATGAAAGATTTCGTTTCTGGCACTTTGTTCAGATTATGGAATTTTCTAGCAAAATACAAAACTTGAATCAGAAAGTAAGAACTTTATAATCTTTGTATTTCCGACTGATGAGAAAAAGCTTTAGTGATATACTTTCTTTGCAATTAAAAAGAAATTAGAAGAAATATGTTTATTTTATTTCGAGGTTAAAATGATTGGTTGTTGTAGGATACCCACAAACAATCGTTATTAGCTGAAATTGTTAAATTCGTAAAAATTTTAAATGTTTTAGAGGTTACATTCAAAATTAGTAGCAAACTAACCTTCCGTTACAACACTATTCTATAAAAATTAGCATACTTTGTTAAGTATTGTTTTGCATCCATTATTTTATAATACATTTCCAAATATTAATCCACTGGAGTAAAGGTTTTCAATAAGATATTTGGTTGAGCTACTAAATATGAAACTACATTTATAAACTTAAATTAGAATTTCTCTCAAAAAACTGATATTTCAGGGTATAAAGCGCGAGAAATGAATAACACGAGTAATGAAAAGCAAAAACTCGTGGATTCAATGTTTGCTCTAAAGGTGAACTCTTCGTGATTGACAACTTTTTGATTATAACTTAACTTTCTGATCGTTCCCTTGTTCTCTAAATTTTTCACAATCTGCTGAAGTAGTTTTTTGGAAACTATGTCCTTCGTTTTAAATTTTAAATTCAAATTCCTCCCCTCTTTTTGATGGGTTTCTTTTAAGCTGCAGTATCAATGTTAATAGTAAATGATAAGCTAATAATCTTCTTTTATAAGATTTCTATTTGTTTACTGATTATAAGTGTATTCTGCTTTGGTTATCTTTACACTGCGGCATTAATTCTTAGAATTCAAATATTTTCTTTTTTAATTTCATTTAGTTGAAGTGTAACTATGTGCGACTGGTACAAAGAAGTACTTATTTCAAAACTAGTTGAAAGAATTTTCATCCAACTTTCGATTCTGTTCGAGTAAATAATGCAGTTTATGGTGAATTATGCATAAGTGATAAGTGAGATGTAATTCTTTTTACATTATTTATTATTAAAGAGCTGCAAATATTTTCAGGTCAATTACACTTCTTTGCGTCGCATTTTAGTTGACACAAACCAAGAAAGTTGTGCAGCACGAATTTATTTCCATCTAAATTACCCTCCTGAAATACGTAGATTTCGTCAAAAAATGAATGTGACACAAGGACCAAAAGTGGAATTAATTAGTGACCGATTCAGGTCAGTCATGAATTTTATTAAATTTTGAAACATATAACATAACAACGAAATGTTTGTGGCTTTAGTTGAGGTCAATACTTCAAAATTGTAGGAGCATAGATGAAATTTTAGAACGACAAACGACTGGTTTTTAGGTATTATCCCGAAGCAGATTATCAGAAAGATATCGGTTTAGCAATTACAGCTATTAACGATAGTCCAATCTTTTGCTTGCAATTTACGGAAATGATGGATGTAAGGACAATTTTTATTTTTGTCTTTTAATGCTTTTATAATTAAATATAGATTTATTGCTGATATTTATGGGTGGTATTTATTTTTTGAGTTCCATAGAACTTTATTATTAGAACAATCTTTTTTAAATTTTAGGATAATCTATTGTATAGGCTGTTGAGTAGATTGCATGCCCGTGTCAATCTTCCGATCGAATTCGCCAATGTTCAGTTTTCATATTTTCCCGTGGATAAGTAAGCAATACTGCTTTTTTTTCAATGAATAAACTAGTCTCTTGCATTCATTTTTAGTCATCTCTAATACAACTTTATTAAAAATAAACATTAACTTTCATTGTTCAAATTTTTGCTACAAACTGAAACTGAAGTATGATATTAGAATGTGCACAGAATTAAGTTTTTTTCAGTTGTGATTCGTTCATTTTTTAAAATATATTTAATTTTAAAATGTATTAAATTTGAGTAAAGCGTAGAGTATATGAATGATTTTACATATCGTATAGAATAGTTTTAGTTACGTGCCATTACCAGTTCGAATGATTGGTTGCGATTATCGAAAATGTGCTACTGAAGAGGGAATTTCACAAAACGATCAACCATATCAACCAGTGGAACCGAAAGTTGATAAGGCTTGGTCTAAAAAATTAAAATCACTTTCATTTGCATTGGAATATCTGATTGCAGCATTACTATCACGTGGCGCTGTTGTAAAAGATCAGTTACTGGTACGCACATAATTTTACTCATAAAGTTTGCGTTTTTTTTTTTTGCAAAATTATTACTAATTTTAATTTACATGTTTTAAAATTACTTAATTTATGTAAACCAATTATAAGCCGTCACTTCTGTAATTGATATCTTCCGTTTACCTCTCTGCAATGTGGTTTTACGGATCTTAAAATTATGCAGAATCATTATGTGAAAGTAATTTTATATTATGTAGTTTGTTATTTTTTAATAATTATGCAGTTTGTTATTTTTTTTTAATAATTGACGTACATCTAATCGCAACAATGACTACCATTTTCTGATTTAATTTTCTTTCAGCAAACGGTAGAATCAAGAAATGATTTTCTAACGCTGGTAGTAAAAAGTTACGAACAGGATGAAGCTGTAACTTTTTTTTTAATATTCTTCCTGTTTACATCCGTTTATATTTTCATATTAGTAAAAAGAGGTTTTGAAGCCTGCTTCATTTTCAAAATTAAAAAATATAAGTTAAACAATAAGTGAGATTTTCCACTTCTTAAATTTCTCACACAGCATTTGATATTTTTTTGCTTTTTCATGCTTTTTGTTATATTTATTTATATATTTCTATAGTGTTAATCCGTTTTGCTAAAGTTGGTGCAATAATGAAGAATTATTTTCATTCCTTTATTTCAAAATACACATAGTTGATTAAAATATATTACTTAAAGTACTACAGTTCATTTTATTAAAGATGACACTAGAAGTGTTGGAGCGTTTAATCAATATGATTGATGAAATGAAGAATATACCACCATTGATAAGTGCATTTGAGCGTATACAGAATAGTATTTTTGTAAAGAAAGAATTACTTGCTGAAATTCACGGAAGAAGTGCTGATGAAGGATTTCAACGTGTTCGAAAGGTTTTAAAATTTTGCTTAATGCTTTTTATTTTGATGGATACGAAAGAATTAGTTAAATAAATGCTAGATTTACAAACAAAAATATATTTGTATTCGGAGCATTTTTCTACTAAAATATCTTAGCTAGTATATTATGAACTGAATGAACTATATAAATTTGTCAAAATGTATAAATTTATCATTCATTAGGCTGTAATAACACCAACTCGAATGTTGCTTGTGATTCCGGAATTATTGATGGGAAATCGTGTATTGCGTGAATTTGATGAAAGTGGTGATGATGCTTTACGAATTCAATTTCGTGATGATGATGGTGCACATCTCAGACGTAGCCGTGCCGGATTATATATCATTGAGACTACAGTTCATAATTCTCTACTACGTGGCGTTTATATATCAGGTAAAATATTTTTACAACATTGAAATGTATTGTAAACTAATATTTCAATATTTTTGAAGTGTTCAAACTTGAGAGCTTTTATGCCTGATATCGATAATTTTGTCTTCGAATCATAGATTATTTAGTGTTTTATTTATTTATTTCGTGTTTAATACGCAGTGCGTCGGCAGAACAATGCTGAAAATTTTGTACATGAAACATTAGTTAGAAATGAATGGACTAGGAATGTTATTGTTTCAATAATATACCAGTGATTTTCAGTGTACTTTTTTTAGATAGTTTTGCATTGTTTTTCATTGCCTTTTTGTTTTTTTTTTTTTTTTCATCATTTAATAACAGGAATTGAAATTCAATGGTTTGTTAATTTGTTCATAGTTCAGTATGAATGGTCACTTACAATGTTACTTTTTTCTTTTTTCAGATCGTCATTTTGTTTACTTGGCTTCATCAAACTCCCAAATGCGTGATAATGGATGCTATTTTTTTAATGATGGTGATGATGGTAAAGTGAAAATGATTCGTGATAAGCTTGGCAAATTTGATCATACTAATATTCCAAAATTAATGTCTCGAATGGGACAGTGTTTCACGCAGTCTAAGGTAAAAACTGAGTTCCATTTGAATATTCATTAAAGTAAGTATTAATATATTAATTATTCTGTTAAATTGGCATTTTGTTTCCAGCCATTTTTTTTTTCTTTTTTCTGAGTTTGAATAATAAGGCATTTGTCGTCTTCGTTTTTTTTTTTTTTTCTCCCTTCTTTTTTATCCTTATTTGTTTTCAAGTGGAAATTGTCTATCCAAACTAGATTTAGTATTCTTCCAACCTTTTTTCATTTTTTTCATTTCAGGAAACTGACGTTACTTTGAAACGTAGAAAATACAATAAAACACACGATGTAATAGGTGGAAAAGATTCTTGTGGTGAACCGTTTATTTTCTCAGATGGAGTTGGAAAGTTATCAGAAGATTTTGCTGAACAAATTGCTAACGATTTAGGTTTGGCAAAATGTGTCCCCAGTTGTTTCCAAGTAAGAATAATTTTCTTTTAATGATGCCAACTATAAAGTAGTCTTTATAAGTTAACAAGTTTGAGTAATACTTTTAAATTTAGTTTTATGTGCTTTTATTCACACATTCGCATTTCGTAGGGAATTTTCTATACTTGTTCAAAAAGATTACTGAAATTATCAGAACTATCTAGTGATTTGCCAGTATGCATTTTGTGGGATATGTCTGTTAGGAATATGAATATCACTACCAGTCGAAAACAATTCATGATTCTGGCTGTTAAATTATTCCTTTGATGTATAGATATTAACAAAAGAAATATCAGTTTAGGTTTAAATTATTTGTTAGTCTTAAATGAAATGTTTACATGATTCCGATTAAAGTTCAGGTATCGAGGCTTAAAAGGTGTTCTTTCTGTTGATCCAGCATTGCGGCAACGCCGATTATGGGCTGAACGCAATGGTTTAGAGGATAAACATGCAAAAACTGCGAAAGTGAACGATTTGGATATAATATTTAGGCCATCTCAGGTATGATTTGCTCAAATATTTCATTTGCTCTCGTACAACTAATAAATTTCTTTACAGGAACTATTGAACATAAACTTTTTTTTTTTCTTTCAAATCCGAAGGATAGAGAATTTCTTGTAAAATCTAAAATTCATTCTTTTCTGAATAATCAAAACTTATAGCTCACTTTTTGGTTTTATCTCTTTTTTAAAAATTGTATTTTGATTCTTTTTTTTTTTTTTTTTTTTGAGTATTGCTGAAAGTGATTTCTCATCTGTAGGACAAATTTCATGCACCAAGAAAGGAAATAATAGAAATTGTGAAATATTCATCTCCAACATCTGTTTATTTGAACAGACCATTGATCAATATTCTTGACCAAGTTAGTGTTTTTTTTTTTTTTCTCGTTGTTGTTGTTCTCTTCTCATTGACTTTCCTCAAAAATATAGATTGCAGTCATTGTAAAACAAATATTATTTGTACTGGTGTTTATTCTGCTACATTTGGTGTTAATCAATTAAATTTTGTCATCAGGAAACGTAGATTAAAAACACTAATTCTTTTCTCAGTAATTGTTTTCTTTTCGGAATTATAGGTAAGCGATATGCAAGGATTTGATGTACATAGTCGTATAGTCAATCGCATACATGGTTTACTTGATCGTCAGCTATTGAAACTATCTGATGCGCTGATGAGTGAAGACAGGTGGTCAACTTGTAGCTGACAAATTTCTTTTCTGCAATAAACTTTTATCAGAATTTGTATCTTTTTTTTTTACCTTAAACGAAATTTTTTTTTTTTTTATAGATGTCGTGAAAGATTAGCAGAATTTCCGAGACGGATTAATGTACAATATTTATCAGTAGCACGAGGTTTTACCCTTACACAGGAACCATTTTTTCATGGCTTGTTAATTGCAAGTGTTCGATTCACATTACGTAAATTTCATATTATGCAAAAATTATGTAAAAATCTTTTCTAGCATTTAAATTGAATATAAAGTGGTTTAAGCAATTTAATTTGTAAGTTGTGAAATTTTAGTACTAATTTTTATATTGATTTTAGAATTATTTTTTACTAGCTTGGTTACATTAAATTTGTGAATTCATTTCATTCGAATCAGATAATTTTGATTTTATTATAGTCAATGAAAATTCGTTTACAGAAAATTTTTTCCTTTGTTTTTTGGAGCCTTCCATTCTCTTAGTTTCTTTTTTTTTTTTCGTTAATGTCACGGCATAGAACCTTAGAAAGTAGAACAGTGACGAATCGGTTCAGTTATTTGATGGATTTCTTAATTTTCATAGACAGTGAACAATTTTGACGGTGGCTTTTTACTTCAGAAAAGCAGTTATCAAAGGAACATATTCAAATACCTGCTAATCTTGGTCGAACTATGTTTGGTATTCTGGATGAGACCGGATTACTTCAGTATGGTCAAGTATTTGTGCAATTTACCAATGACGTTTTTTTGAAGACACCACCAAAAGCTGCAGCAAAAACAATAGTAAAAGGTTCATTTTCAGCTAGGAAAAATATTTTCTTATTTAATACACAGGAGAAAATATAATAAATCTGATTTGTATAAGAATTATACTGTCAGTATTGTAATACTTAGATTTTGTTAATAACTAATAGCTCTCTTTCATGCCTTTCTGCATCAAGCAACATCTTATCGAAGCATTTGCATTCTTCACTTTATTTCCAAATTATGATTTTGGATATCAGTTCCACTTAGTAATTTGCAGTCACTTTCAAAACATTTGTCTTGATGATATCTTTATAAACATTTTCCTTTATAGTTATATTTTTCGTGAAATCTTCCATTTTTTTTTTCTCACAACTACTCCATATAGTTTGCATATTACATAATATATTTGTTAGTCTTAGTCTCCTACATTGCGATTACAATGATTGACCGATCTGCCAAAAAATTTTCAGTTTAATTATAATTTAGAACTTAAAAAATGCCAAATGTATTTGGTACTACTATAGGTTTCGTGTTAATCACAAAAAATCCGTCAATAGTTGCTGGCGATGTAAGGATCTTCGAAGCTGTCGATTTACCCGAATTACGGCATTTGGTTGATGTGGTTGTTTTCCCGCAGCATGGGCCTCGACCACATACGGATGAAATGGCTGGTTAGTTATTATTTTAGATTGTTAGAAACTTCTAGCTATGTTGAAGTTTGATAAGAAAGTGAAATTCATTCGTGTTATAAAAATGGCTTTAATAGTACCACCTTGTAGAGCTTTAATTTCTCAGTGATTTTACTATGATCTTACAATTTCATGATCGATCATAGTCATATTCTTTCTAGTAGTCTTCAGAGCTATTTGTCAGATCCTAGACAATCTAATATGCGTTTTCATCAATTAGTAATTTAAACTGATCAACTAATAAGATTTCAGCTTTGTGAACTGCAAAATATTTATCTGTATAAATTCGTTTTTATTTTTAAGGATCTGATTTGGATGGTGATGAATATAGCGTTATATGGGATGATCAGATGTTATTTAGTCATAATGAAGAACCAATGGATTTCAGTAAGCTTATTCGACCTCCTGATATCCTAAAGGAAGATGAAGTTGTTAGTTTCAATTAAATCTCGTTTAACCGATAAATTTCGTTTAATCGATTCTTCATTGAACATGTTGGTAAATATAAATATTTTTGGAGGATTCATTTATATCATTTATTCTTTTTTACTTTTCAACAACATAGTTTGTCTTTTTTTTTTGAAACTAATATATCTTAGAAAGCGTTTTAATTTCTATCTTTCTTCTGTCATCATCATTATTTCAGGTTCGTGAAATGCGTCGCTTTTATGTTGAATATGTCATGCAAGATTCAATTGGTATTATTGCGAATGCTTTCCTCGTAAATTCTGATACTTTTGGAATTGCCAGTGATGTTAGTCTTACTTTTTTTTTCACATAAAAAGCAATGTTTTTATGACACAAATTCTTCCTGAAGAGAATTTTGTGTGATTTAAATGCCTCAATTTTTGTCAATTAATTATTACATTTACGTAGCATTGTTATTACTGTCATTTGAAGTAATTCCTGAAATACTTCAGGTTTGTATGAGTATAGCAGAAAAGCATTCTCAATCTGTGGATTTTCCAAAAACAGGACAGCCTCCAAAACCACTTGTCAAAGAATGGAGCAATGGACCGGATGGAAAAATGATACCACCTGAGCGTCCAGAACGATGGCCTGATTTTATGTGCAAAACTCATGAGCCATCATATGTTTCAACACGCCTTGTTGGACAATTATTCAGGTATTTTTTAATCGTTTTCAATATTTTTCAAAATTGATCTAAATTAATGGTGTTATTATCGGAGTTTGCCTGAAAGATTTTATTTTTGTAAAGATTCTCTCGAAATAATGTAATGACTTTATGCTACTGATAGAGGATGATTATTCATTCGTTCTTTTTTGCGCTTCAGATTAATTTGTTTGACTAAGACATTTTTTTTTTTCTTTTTGTTTTTTCCGATAGCTGATCATAATTTTTTTTTTTTTTTCAGGCGTATCCGACTAATTGATGATGTTCTTACAATAACTCGTGCTCATGAAACACAATCAAAAGTAACGGTGGATCCTTTATTAGAATACAGTGGCTGGGAAAGTTATGAAAATGATGCAACGCTAAATTTGATTGCATATTCTGCTCATATTAGAGTATGCTTTCCTCATAATTCCGCTAATTTATCTTCATATTTTTATGAAAGTTTCTCCAAAAGTTATCACTTATCTGAGATAAACATTTTATATAATAATATTTTTAGGCTCTTATGGATAATTATGGAATAGAAGATGAGTGCCAACTGTATTCTGGTTGTTTTTGCAAAGTTCGTAATCGAATCAGCGATCGGGATGGCGATGATATGTCTCAATTTAATACCAGTTTTATTATTGAGCGAAAACTTACAAATATATTTATGTGGTGATTAATTTTATACAAATAATACTAAATTTAAATGCTTATTCTATAATGTATAAATTATGAAAAAGTCAACAAACATTTGAATTATCTTTAAAGATTAATGAAAAGATTTTATCATCAATTTTTATATTCCTTTTTCAGTTTTCGCTGTAATTTCTTTGCTGAGTTTGGTGATTTCATGTCCTGTACTCAGCAAGATGATGATTTACGTAACAAAGATGTAATCGAACGACGATACTGTAAATATCCAACTGTAGAGATGAAAAAGAAAGCATCCGCTTATTACATAGTATGCTATCGTAAGTTATGCTAAATTATTGGATTATGTTTGATATGCTTGAATATTTAACTTAATGAATATTCCAAAATTATTCATGTATCGAATGAATGTCGAAGAAAATTCCTTGTATGAAATCAACTTTGTCTCTTTGCTTGGTTGAATGCTTATTCCAGTTATTTAATCACAATAAAACTTATCAAAATTCAATTCCTCTATATTTCATTGAGTATAGAAGGACTGAACATTTTTGAAAAATTTTCTCAAAAAATATGAATTTTGAATATAAAGTTTTTCATGAATTTCATCTTTGCTTGATTAATTTTTCTCTTCTATAGTTGTATTACTTTTATCAGTTGTATAATAAGTATTTAAAATGTGATTTTTTATTTTTTCATTTCAGGTAAGGTTATGAAAGAGAAAGGTGAAAGATTATTGTCATTTCCGTGGATTGTATGGGATATACTTGCTGACATAAAAAAAGAAAACGCTGTGCTAACATCACAAAATATATCAACTATTGATCCTCTTTGTGAACTTGCATCAAATGTCAGACTTTTTCGATCTTGTTTTTTTTTTAGTCATAGTTGGCTAATCTTAATAATTCATACTAGCTTTTTTTTTTTATAATTCTTATATATTTTTTACAAACTATAAACTAAGATAACTTTTAACTGCATTTAAATTGCAGGAGAATTTACAGTTTCGCAGTTGGTTCTCTTTTGCATTCATTCTTCTGAATTGTTTCCCCCAAATTAAAATAAAAATTATTTGATTTTTCAGGTCATAACGTGTTTTTGTGACGATAATAAGGAAGATTTTGATCAAACTATAGGGTGTTTAACGGATGGTGCATCTGGTTTACATGCCATTAAGCGATATTGCAGGAAATACAAAGGTATGAGTTAAATGAAATTTATAGTAACAAAATTTTTATTTCAATAAAATATTCCATTTTAATGTGAAAAGAAATTCTTTTGTAAGATTTATGAACCATATCATTTCATTCTAGGACTGGACAAATTATTATATGTGTTATGCAAGTGGGGTGAGCAACAGCGATTATTTGAAGGACGACTGAAACGGGAGCATTTATGTTTATTGTTAATACAATATGGTTTAGGATATATAAGTAGTGATAATATGCGAGACTATGTTTTTCTTGAACAGGTAATTGAAAATGTTTTTCTCGAACAGGTAAATGAAAATTATCTAAAGATGCGTAGTTCTATTTTATGAGTTCATCAGCTGTTCACTATACTATTTAATTCTCATCTTAGGAAATATCGTTTACACAATTTCATTAGCTTGCTTGATTCTTTCTTGATTAAAAATAATTTGAAACACTTTCGGATATTAAAGATTAATTTTTATTAAAATATATGTTTTGCAGGATTCTGAAATTTATCAAAAACCTGGAAGAATTTTCTAAATTTTCTATTTGTTTCGTTTCCTTAATTTTTATGTTTATTTTTGTTATAGAATGTAATTCTGTTTAACTTGATAAATGAGTGAATCATAGTTTGAGTAAGATTTTTTCAGACCGATGAAATTCCTTCAGAAAATTCAAATGAATGCCGTGATTTGAACAGTCTAATTGGTGGTATAGGAAAATGTTTCTTGCAATTTCTTCAATATTTAAGTTCACGATCATTCGAGAAAGCGAAAATTTTCAATTTTATGAAACCAAATCTTGGATATCATTCAATATTGATGCGTGGACAGTGGTTAGATTTGCATAAGGTCTGTATCTTTCATTTTGAGCTCACACCACTATTATTAACATTTAGCAAAATGTGCTTTGCTTTCATTCAATCTCAGCATTGTTTGTCATTCTTTTAATTGATTTGGATGAATTCATTTGCAAAAAAAAAATTTCGAATTATTTTCATTAAAATACTGGAATTCATTTCATTGAAATACTGGAACGAATTTTGACTTTAATATCTTTACCCGATCTTATTTTTAGGCTGCTATTATAACTTTCTATCAAATAGTGCTTACTAATCGTTTTAATGAAATGTCAATATTCAAAAGGGAGCAGGTATTAGCAAATAGTTCATCTGTTTTATTTATAAAATTTAGTTTGTTTGCTGAATCAATCTGTCAACAATGCAAATGTTAAATAATACTTTCATAAGCACTTGTATAATTGACATTTTTATGGTCTCTCAGGATAAGTAACATTTATAAAGTCACGCAGCATTTGAATTTGCAAACTGTTATTAATTAACTTTTCAAAGTTTCAGCTTCATAGTTGTATCGAAGCTGAACCTTTCACTATCGAATTACCGGAAGATCTGTGCTCTTTTGATGAAAATTTGAGAGAAAAAATGATGGAATATTCTAACGTGCGTTATTTATATTTGAGAAGGATTCCGGATAGAAAAAGTTGGTTTTCGTCATTAATCTGATTGTTTATTAACACCAAATTTGGTAGTAATTAATACTTGATTCTATTTCAAACTATTATTAGATATTGTAGCACGTAACTTGTATGTTTTTTAACGGTTCCTAGAAAACTTTGATGAAAAGAATGAAATTTTAGATAGCAATTACTTTTCCATTTTAAAATTTGTCGTACTGAATACAGTTAAGAATGTGGAATTTAGCATACTTATGCTTTGTCAATAGTTTTAATTTTAAGGGCATACATACATTTTCTCAATAGTTTTAGTTTGAAGGTTAAATTTAAATAGATTTCTGACTTATTTACAATAAAATCATCCACTACAATTCTTTCATGGAAAAGTTTTCAGACAGAGTTGTGGTATCAGCATTTGGGACATTGGAATCATTGTATCGATTACGTGATATACTTTCTGTGAAACCAATCTCAACTGTACAAGCTGATAGTAAAAAACGTAGTGATATGATGCTTCGATTGGTTTATGAGCGGATTCAAGAATTACCGTAAAAGTTTTTCTATAAGCAGTGCCATTTACTCTTATGATCTTCTCAAAAATACTTTAGAATCTCATTAAGTGTTATCGAAGTTTTTGAATTAAACTTGTATAGAATATTTTATAACTGTAATAATATATGAAAGATTTCATTTGTCTGCAATAATTTGGACATTAATTTCATGTTTAATTTAAATCAACCATACTCAGGTTGTTAATAATTAATCTTAATCGATTGAGCAATTATTTCATGAATGTATATTAATCATATGGATATGACATTTCTTTTTTTCTTCCAGATTACTCTGCTGCCATTATTTTTCTTGACAAATATTTCGACATATTTTGGCACAAAAAAAAAAAAAAGTTGATTTTAATATTTGAATAATTTTTTTTCATTTTTTAAACAAATAATGAAACAAAAAGGTACTCCATTTATTTTCTTTGGGAAATCAATCATTGTTCATTGTTTTAAATCAGTTACTGTTCATTTTTTAATTAATTTTGATATCAATGATTAATATGTTGTTATCTCAGTTTATGTTAATCATTCTGAAAAACTAATGATAAAGATAAACGAAAACTTGCAGATTGATAAATTTGATTGATTAAAGTCGAAATATTTATATATATATATATATGTATATGGTTGTCAATTTCATGTTGTCCAATCTGCAGTTTTATGTTTGTTCTTGCATCTTTTTTTTTTTTTTAGACTGTATTTTATTAGTTCAGTTCCTCAATTATTTTTACTGCGAGATGATCTTGGCATCTTAGAAAAATTTATCTATCTAAATGATCTTCTACTGTTTAGCAGGTTGTATTGTCTTTTGTTTTCTGAAATAAAGGATAGTAAGATCTATAAATTGCCATTGATTTGTCTAAACTATCATTTGTATCATTTTCGAATGTGCATTAAATGTTAAATGTCTCATTTATTCCATTGCCTCATTTTATTTTAAATTCCATTTATTTCATTAAAAAAAAAAAGTTGGATAATTTGCATGAGAATTACGAAGTTTTCGACAAAATACATTTTCTGTATAAATTGTTTATTTTTTATATATGATCAAAGTTAAAAATTGAATTAATCTCTGTTTTTTTAGATTTGCCTATTTATTTCTATTTTTAAAATACTTTACAATTAGAATGTTAAAAATTCCTTTTTTTTTTGTTGGTGCGAATTTAGTTTGTTTGAAATTAAATAGCAGTAATTTACAGAATTTATTCAGGACACTAAATCACTCCACCAATTCTTAATTTAAATTTTCTAATATCAGTGATAAACTTACATTCATTCAAAATTAGCATAAGAATTTCTAGCTTTACGATACTTTATTATTGCCAAAATAAGTTAATTCATCTCACCAAATGCTAATTACATTGATAAACTATCAAATGCTTTGCTTCCGATTATCTCTACTACATCAGGAATATCTGATTCCGTATTTGCTACCGTTATATGGCCGGAAATCAGTGTAGAAATCATTTTAACATTAATAAATAATCCTAAAAATGAAGATCAAATAGGAGCAAAAAAAAAGAATTAATTCAATTGATTCAAAACAATTTTGCATTTTACAATTTGTACAGTTTATACAGTACAATGTATGATGCAATTGATAAATGATAATGTGATTTTTAAACGATCAATATTAATGATATGATAATAAAGTTTCATTGATAAAGTAACCACTGATAATTTAAGAAACTAATCATTAAAAATGAAACAAAGTATTATTTTAGCCATAAATTATCATTCAAATAATAAATACAATAGCTATCATATAATATATTTTAATCAAAAATATCAAATAGAAATATTAATTCAAGCAAAATATATGTATTACTACGGTAAGTAAAATTCATCTCACCCTTAAATTTCACCAAAAATTTTCAGGAAATAATTCAAAAAAAAAAAAAAAAAATTACTTTCCAAATATCCTTGAAATGAAAAAAAAAAAAAAAAAAAAAAGTTTTCCAAAGAAAAAAAAATAAAAGAAGAAATGATTATTTTCCAGTTAATTTAGTTTAATATATCAATTATATTTATTATTTCTTGAAATTTTCAACAATTATTAAACTTTTTGCATTTGAATTAGACAAACTTTGGTTTCTATTCAAACAAACATAATATATATATATATATATCTGTGCTATTGGTATGAAAATAAAATATTTAAATAAAATAATTTGAAATTTGAGATAATATTTTAGTGAAAAGAATTTCCATTGAAGCATAAATATAATATACAAATGCATCTTAGCATAATTATCCCAATTTTATTTGATATTATCGTTGCTATAACGAATTACTATTTATTATTAAAATTTAATCAATAATTTTAAAGTAAATAATTGAATGAATTTACGTACGATTATTTGCTATTTTTATTTTTTTTATATTTATTTTTTTAAAAATTTATCAATAAATTATATTAATTTTGCAAAATTGTTTTTGTTTAATTTTTATTTATACTTTTATACTTTTTAAATTGTTTCCATATAAATTCAAAATTTTTTAAACATATATAAATTACTGGAATATTAAATAAATAAATATATTATCATTGTAAGATAATTAATTGATGAATGTTTTAATGCAATGAAAAATCTTTTGATTAATTTTAATTATTTACACATAAATGAATTTCCAACAAGCATTCATTATTAATTATCAAATTAAATACAATCAATTTCGATTACACAAAATAAAAGGAACAATTTTTAGCAAAAAAAAAAAAAGTAAATAAATAAAATGCTTAATTTGTTTCTTTTTTAATTTGAAAAGATAAGAAGAATACTGAGATAGGAATTTCTCTTTGTCACAACATTTTTCCTTCATTTTTTTTTCTCTCTTTCAAATTTAAATTTCTAATTAAGATTTAAAAAAAAATATATATCAGCACTTATCATTATTACATAATTATTGCTTACTGATATTGCTACTTTATTTGTCTTTTTGTATTTGAAATTAAAATAAATAAAAATATGAAAAAAAAAATAATAAAAACAAAGAAAACAAAAAGAAATATGAAAAAATAAATAAAAATAAAGAGAATAAATAAAATGATAAAATGCAACCTTTATTGAGATTGTGTTAATAATGACAGTTCAAAGTAATAGTGATAATAGTAATAATACATTTTACTCTCTCATCATATTTATATCATTAAAATGGTGAAATTAAATGATAATATAACAAGAGAAAAAGGGAGAGAGAGAGAGAGAGAGAGAGAAAGAAGGTAACAAAGTAAATAAGTTATCAATCAGAATTAGAATTAATATTTATTGTTTTCTTAATATATTAACTAAACGATACATTTCGTAAAGTGCTATATGGATAGTAATAATGATAAAACTAAAAGAACGACATAGTTGACAAAGTGACAAAGTTTTGTTAAATCAAATGACAAATTAAATAGAAAGTTAGAAAAACGAAATTGGACAATTCATTGCTCATTTTGCTTTCTATGAAGCAATCATCAAATGATTCATATAACTTTGGACCATTTCTTATTAAATTATGAATAACTCTTACAAATCACTTTAACAGTTATTTTCATCAAGTAATAAGGTTAATGGTCATTTGTGCTTATTGGTCACTTATGCTTAGTGGTCAGTTATGCTTACTGGTCATTTATGCTTATTCATCACTTATACTTAGTAGACATTTATGCTCAGTGGTCATTTACGCTTAGTGGACATTTAGTTTAATGGTCATTTATGGATCAAGCGAAACCTTAAATTTTTACAGTGTATTTATTCTCTTTAATCATTCATCACTTAGTTCATTTAGTAGCAACTAATTAGAAAATAATGAAAATTTTTCTTCTGATAATTTTTAAATGCATATTATGAATAACTTTTTGAAAGTTTTCAAATTTCTTTTTCATCTTTTACTAATGTCATAATTAGTTTAGCAATAGTTGGACAATTAATTAATTTGAAAGGATGTGTTAAAGTTAATGAATTGATGATAATAATTTGATTTTTTTTTTTTGTTTTGAATCAAATTATAATCGATAATTAATTATAGAAAGATTAAAAATAGAAGAAAATTAATGAAAACAAGTATTTTTGTTAGCATAAAAATGCATTGCTCTTCCGACGATTTCCTCATTTCAAATGTATTACACTTACTTTCACATTCATTTAACATAAATAATCAATGATATTGGCTACTTATTTTAATTATAAGTCATATATTTGTACTAAATTTAAAATAAGTGAATAACAAAGTTGTAAAAGTGTAGCAGTTCAAATATATTTTACAAAATTGTTTTTTCTTTTAAATATGACATTTTGATTTCTGTCTAAACTTTCCATAAAATAGCCATTATGTAATCTTTTTATAAAGATTAAATAAAAAAAAAAAAAAAAACTTTGCTAAATCTAAAATGCTTAGATGAGAAGAAAAAAAAAATATTTATAACATTTAGAAAATACTACAATTTTTATAATTAATTTAATGAAGTGATAAAATTATTATCATTTTCTAAATATCATATAAAGTATATATTTTTTATTGCTCTATCACTGAGCAAATTATCGATTTTTGATTTTTTTATAAATTTTTTAAAAATCTTTTTTAAAATTTTATAAAAATTTTTTAAAAAATCTAAATTCTAAAAAAAAATCTATCACTGAGGAAATTATCGATATTTGATTAATTTTATAAATCTCAATTATGCATTCAGTTTTTTAAATTTTATTTTTCACTGCGAGTTGTTGTGTGATTGTAAATTTAGAAAAAAAATTAAATTTTTTATTTTTTGTTTCAAAACTCTTTGCTACTCGAAAATTTATGTATGTATGTATGTATGTATGTATGTATGTATGTATGTGTGTGTGTGTGTGTGTGTGTGTGTGTGTGTGTGTGTGTGTGTGTGTGTGTGTGTGTGTGCTACTAAATCAAATTTAAAGTTGAAAACTTGAAGATACAATGTACGAAAATCGTCGGCTTACAATATTATATAAAGTATGCCACGTGAAATACGTCAAATATTTTCTATCAGTGAATAATGATGAAAGATTGAAATAATATTTTGGCGTGGTACACGTTTTCTTCATAATTCCATTTACTTTTAAAGTTTCATTTATCTTTTTTTTCATCCATTACTTTTATTCAGATTAATTTATTGTCTGAATATAATAGCATTACATTTGCAATAGTTTCTATTAAATTTAAGTATGAATTAATTAGCTTTTCTTATTAAATCATAAAATGATAACTTTCTTATATAAAATCATAAAATAAAATAATAACAATGAATAAAAGTTAACAAAAATATCATCTAAAATTAATATAAGTAATGGATGGTATTAAATTATATCACAGTTTTACATTAATCAATCAAATATTTTGTCTTATTTTTATTGCTTTCGTTCAATTAATTGTAAATTACAAAGATTCTTTTAAAGTGTAATTTTATTTTAATTTCAACAATTAATAAAATTTTCAGTAAAAAAATCGTTTTCATTCCTTTTTTCTTCACGTCAAAATTAAATGTTTTAGGCTAATATCACATCAAAAATTTTCCATTTTCAAATATTTTCAAAAGAAAACAAAAAAAAAAATGACAAAAATTCAGTGTCACAATTTTTTTTTTTTAGTAAATTTCGTTATTAAAAAGAAAATTTGATAAATATTTAATAATAGCAAAATTATATTGAAAATAACTAAATATTATTTAATTTGCTTATGTTATGCTTGCTATAAATTTCAATCATAAAAAAAAAAAAATTCATTTAAAAAATAAATGAAGTAATTTATGAAATTAATCTTTCAAAATTTTATCATCAAAATAATGCCATCCTTTAAAAACTAAAAAGACTAACATATTTGTTGAAATAATATTTTCCTAATCACATTTCTTTTTTATTTGTTTATCAGAATACACTTATCACAATCAATTTTATTATTATCACTATCAGAATTCATACGCTATCACAACAGTTTATTTTGTTATCATCAAATTCATTATCATTACAATTCATACTTTATCACCGTAACTTAATTCATTCATCAACAATAATTGTTTATTTTGTCTAATCCTTTTATCTTCCCGCAATTACAGTTTATAAAATATATAAAACGTATGCCTATTCACGCATACGTGTACACAAACACAAACATACACGCACACGCACTCATACGTGTAACTAAGATTTTGAAATTATCTAAAAATATAATAGACTATTAAAGTAATTTGATGCTAAAATATCACGAAATCAAATCTAAATTTTAATCTTTCAAATTAAACTTATTTTGATAGAAATTGCGTGTAAGTAATATTTTATAATTGTAAACACATTAGGCTTAGTTTACTTATTATTTCTATGCTTATACGTGTGCATTTTCATTTACGTAAATAGTTTTAGGTTTAATTTTGTGATATTTCATTAATATAATAAAACAAAATTGTATGATAATTGTTATTTTTGTTTTTCTTTTTAGACGTGAAATCAAAAATTATACGTTAAAATTATTGCTAGTTTATTCAGTATGAAATATTTAACACAATTAAAATGAAAAAAATTAACAATAAAAAAAAAAAGAATTTTATTTAATTTATTTTAATAAATATTACAATTATCGCATTAATCAGTTTTACATAATTTTTAACCAATTTTCATTAATCAAAAAAATATTATTCTTTAAAGTATTCATAAATTTGTTAAAATTGTTGAATTTACTTTTTCATTTATAATATTAGAACAAATTTAGTATAAAAAATTATATTCATAAAAAAAAAAAAAAACGAAAAGAAAACTTTTGCTAAAAATTTTTCTCGAAAAAAAGAATTATAAAATAATTTTAGTAATAAAACATTATGTTGTAATTTAAAATATTTTTTTCAAGATTTGACAAATTTGTCATTAATTTGGATTTGAAATGCATCTGAAATGATACAATGATTTTAAAAGATATTTAATGATTCTATTTCTTTTTTTTTTTTTTTATATAGCTAATTAGTCTATCAATACAAAATTATTTTAGTCTTTTTAGCTTTTAGCTTATTCTTCTTTTATACTTGCAAATAAACAATTTTTTTTTTTTTAAAATCTTTTGAATATATGAATTATTCTTAATCAAATGTATTCATTTAACTTTTATATTCATTTTTTTTTTCTTGCTATCTATTAAAATTAATGCAATATTTTTTCATAAATAAATTTTTCATATAAAAAAAAAAAAAAGAAAGTCACTAGACAGTGATACATACATATGTTTGATACAAGACTCTAAATTTTTCATTTTCTCTGCTATTTCAGTGTTTTTTTTTTTAAAAAAAAAAAAAAAAAAAAAAAAAAAGAAAAAACTAGTAAGTAAGACAGTTGACAACAAGAAAAGGAAGTTAAGTTAGACTTTTAGAGAGTGTCACAACGAGTTAGACGTAGAGTTGACAAATATGTATGCATGGATCGGTCAATCCTTCAAATAGGTCGTCTTGACGTGATACTAAACAATGAGCAGCAACAATCAATGCGACAATCGTTATTATTATCATCATTATTATCATTATTATCATCATTATCACAATTATCGCTATCAACAATTATTAGTATCAATAAGAATAAAGACAATAACAAAATTGTTACTGTCTTATTTCTTCTCATCATTCAAACAACAATTGTTGGTAAGTTTAATTTATTATTTTTTTTAATAAAATTTTTTTCAGTTAAATTATCACTTCCCCAAATAATTAATTAAATATGAAAAATTAAATGAAGTTTAATGTTTAATAGGAATGAAAATAATGAATTAATTACACTTATTATAATGTATAAAGTATTTTAAGTTCTTTAGAAAACAAGAAAAAAGTGAATAATTTTATTGCTCATCTAATCTTTTCATTGACTATTAAATAATCAATATAATGATTCTTGCATTTCTTTTTATCAAATAATTAATTTCACTTTTTTTTTCCTTTTTTTTTTTAATTTTAAAATATTATTTAATAATTATTTATAGAATATTTAACAACAAAAAATTTTGTACTAAATTTAAATTTCATGGTGTATGCACAATTGGATAATTAAATGTTATCATAATTTTAATTTTATGATGTATGCATAATTACATAAATAACTATTATCAATCGTTAATTATAAATTTTCACTTTGATTTCAAAAATAATTTTTTCTATAAATTAATTATCATTTAGACTTGTATTCATATATAATTTAACTCATACATGTATTAAATATGGATTTCATAGCAATATTCTTTAAAAAAAATAACTTTTCTCAAAATTGAAAAGTTTATTCGGAAATTCGTTTTGATAATTCATTAGGTAATCAAAGTGAAATAACTTTTATTTACAAAGTAATAATAATAATATTATTATTCTTAAATAATCATAAATAACAGTACTAATCAAATTTATGCATAATTTTCTTCAGTGCTACGAAAATGAGATTTATTATTTTCTTTCTATGAAAAACTTATTTTAAATTTGTATTTTTTTATTTTATTATTATATTATATATAAATTTATCTTTTTACTTTATTATATATATATATATTTTTTTTATTATTTTTTTTATTTTTATATATATATTTTTTTTGTATATTTATTTTATTTTATTATTATTATATATAAATTTATATTTTTTATTTTATTATATATTTTATAACAATATTCGCAATACAAATGAATGATTTCCTCTTTTTATTCGATATTTTATTTCAATTACGATTAAGTTAAATTCAAATTCTAAAATACTCATACAATAAGCATAAACCATTAATTACTATTGTTATACTTGTAATCTTGATGTAAAAAATATTTCATTATCATTTTAGATAATAAAATTAATTAAAAATGAGTGAAAGCTTTCCGTTCATTCCTAACTTTTTTTTTTAATATCTCAATTTATTATATTATTATTTAGCTCATTATTTACATATAAAATTTCATTGCATAAACAAAAAAAAATAAATAAATAAATGTTTGACAAAATTATTATTTCAAAAAATTTTGAAATATTGCAATTTTTGAACAAATTTTACACTCTTCTAAATTATTAATTCATTTACTATGAAAAATAAAGCAAAATCAGTTTGTTCCTACTTTATCTCATTTTTCACTTTTTTTTTTTTTAAATTCAAAAATTATTCGAGAGTTTTTCCTGGTCTAGTATTGAAAATTTTATCTGGTGATTAATAATTGGTAATGTCACAGTAAATGTCACATTATGATAGCATTTTATAGTTTGGAAGATTTATTTGCAATTGTTTAATTAATGAAATAGCCGTAATTGTAATTAATAACAGTAATAGATGAAGAAAAAAAATTAAATTAAAATGAATCAAAAATTTTTTAAAAATTTCTTCTAAACAAAAATGAATTGTTAAACTAATTTGTGCTATCGTTTTCAACGATAAATTTCGTTTTATAATAAATTAGGGAAGCAATCATTGACATTTTTTTATAAGTTTTATCTTCTCAAATTTCATTAAATATTTGCATTTAGTTTTTTTTCTTTTTTTTTTTTTTTTTTTAATTTGAAATTTAAACTAAACGTAGAAAAAAAAAAGACATTTAATTATTTAAACTTAGACATCTTTCTTAGTTCAATATTTTCGTTGCAACTGCTTAAATTGAATTTTAAATAAGAAAGAAACATTTTTTTTTTTCTAAGTTTTTTCTTTTAAGTACATTCATTAAATTTAATATTTCATCCAAATTGAAATGTAATGTAAAAGTTTATTTATGAGTAAATTAAAATTTGATTTTCTTATGAATTTATTTGTTTTCACATTTTTGTTTAAAAATAGATTTGTTGATTATTGCTAAAAAATTAATCATCCTTATTCCTTTGGAAATTATCAAAAATTTCTCAAAAGATGAAAAGATATTTTCGGCTTACTTTATACATTCTTAATTTGCATATCATTCGACGGAAGGCACTGATCAGCAAGTGATAAGTCCAGTAGATATGATAATAATGAATAAAAACTTTAATAATACTGTAACGAATTAACTAATAATTGAAGTTAATATAAATAACTTTTCTGATTCATTTTTTGAAACTTTTTCACAATTAAAATTATTTTTCCTACATTTTAGTCTTTTTCATGCCCAAATCAGTAAATTTATTTTATTTTGAAACATTGAAATAAATTTAGATTGAACTGATAACTTAATCAAATCAAGCATATTTCCATTATCAATGATAGTTCATTAATTTTTGTTATCAGTCTCGAATTTATTAAGCGAAATTGTTTCAATGTGTGCTTTGAGTGCATTAAGTATAACTATTCTCGTTTTGATAATTAAAATTGATTTTCATCATAATTTCTCTTACTAAACAGTTTTTGGGGAAAAAAAAAAGAAAGGTGAAAGGTTAATTTTGGAATAATTCATATCTTTGATAGATTTTAATGTGTTTTTGCTTGCTTTCAGAAATCACTTTGCGTTATTTTCAGAAATGAATTGATTAAGAAAATTGATTTAAGTAAAATTAATGTCATTTCATCGAGATTCGTTTTTCATATCCTGTCACCATGTCACCAAGATACTGACACTAATGCATCATCTGCGCACACACACACAGAACTATCGTTGTTAGAAAGTAATATCAATTTGATAATATTAAAATGAAAAAAAAAAAAAAAACTAAGTTTCATTAAATTGAAATTTATAGATGAGATGGCGCTATTGTCGTATGCATGGAAGTGAAATGTATTTTACTGGACAATCTAATATGACATTTTTTGAAGAAAACATAAAAAGACTTTTGAACAATTTAAAATTATTGCAATTTAAGGATAATAAAGTTTGATATGTTTACTGTATAAAAAATGACTTAACTTAGAAAGAATAAGTTATATTTGATAGAATAATTTAAATCAATTAAAGTATTACTGTTTATTTTTTATCAATAAAAAAAAAAGAGAGAGAAAAGAATTAGCTTTAGAAATTAAATTAAAGTTTTGCTAAAAATTAGAAAGAGAGAGAGAGAGGGAAGTGTGAATTTGTATTAAAGGCAGTAAATAATATCTTCAAACGTTAATTAATCATACTGATAAGTGATAAGTGAACATTGATACATTGATATTTAACAAAAGTAAAATTTAAGAATAAAATTTTTTACAAATGTATAACTTTTGAACTGATTAATATTTGCTAAGTTACTTTAATCGATGTAATAAAACAAAATGATAGATCGAAATATATTTTTCTATGAAAGGAATTCCTCAATGGAAAGAGACAAAATTGCAAATTGAAAGAATTTTAAGTTAATTTTTATTCTCAACAAATATTCTAACTATTGGTTCTAGAGTAGCATTATATACGTATATAACAAAACAAAATGATATTTCTATACACGTAAATTGACGTAAGCTACGTGAGGACCAACCTGGAAGTAACAAAAAGTAGTCTTTATGTATAAATTAAATTAAATAAAAAAAATTAAAATTATACATATTGAGCAAATCATATTACTCACTATTTTAAATATATATTATCATTGATCGATCATTATTGCTACATTTATAATTCCTTCTTAAAAAAATGATAAATGATGAGTTAATTAAGAAATAACTGATTAATTTATTTTATTCTAATACATTGATAAAAAATTAAATTGAAAAAAAATTAAATTTAAACTTATGAAAACTTCAAAAGAAGTTATTTAAAAAAAAAAAAAAAAAAACAAGGAAGAACTCAAATGAATTGTTTAAAAGTAATATAGCTAAATTTGAATTAATAAGAAGATTAAAATTAAGAAAAAAAAAATTTTAGAATCTTTAGTTTGTTATGATGGCGCTGATTGTCTAAAAGCGCATACCTGCAACGAATGCAATGGCATTGGTTGTATACGTATGAAAAGTTATAACACAGAACATATTCACACAATTGCCTTGACATGTTTGCCATATGCAACAAGGTAAAAATTAATTTATTTTATTTTAAAAATTTATCAAAATATCGAAATTATCACTTAAATAAATTGTTTATATATAGTATTATTTATATATTTATCGCTTTTTTTTTTCAAAAAAAAAGGACATTTTTCTTCGTTTTTATAAAATTTTATAAGATTATTTCATCTTATTTCAGTTATTTATATTATTTTAAATTAATAAAAAAAATAATAATAATTACCCTTTTGCGTTTTTTTTTTTGAAATGTTTTAAATGATTAAATTATTACATATCAAAAAACTTACAGTTATTTAATACAATATTCTGTAGAGTTTAAATACAGTTTCAATGTAGTTAAATTTTTGATTGAAATTAAATTTTTTCCTTTTTTTTTTTGGCTTTGTTTTAATCACTAAAAAGCTTTTATTGTTTGCTACTGATAATAATTTCTTCAGAGTATATCAGTTAGAACCAGCTGGTTGTCGCATTTCATTATCTGGTGATAGCGAACATTGCATATGCTATGATAACGATTACTGTAATCGTGCAAGTGGTTTATCATTATTTAATTTTAAATTAGTTCCTTCATTTATTCTTATCATTTATGCCACAATTTCGTTTACTCTTTTATACTTGTTGTGATAATAACAGTAATAATAATAATAATAATGGATCTGACAATTTGAACTAATTAAGGCTAATTAAATAATAATAATATTAATTATAATTATTGTTATTTGAGACAATAATAATAACTATTAAAACTATGTAACAGTTATATATTTGAATATTTATGAATTATTCACGCTTATCACATATAATTATATATGATAATTTATTAACATCAATGCATTACAAATTTATGTGAGAATTAAAAGGATTAAAAAATTAATAAATTCTGATAAACTGTTTGAAATTCATTTATAATTACAACAACTAAAATAATAATATTAGTAAAAATTGTTTAAGTTCGTTAGGAAAAAATGTTGTTACTCAATCGATGATTTACTATTACTTTTACTGATAATTCAAATGATATGTTATCAGTATGAATATAATAAATATTTAAAATTGAAATTAATTTTTCTTTTTTTTTTGTTGCAAAATATATTGTCATTTTTAGCAGTGATTGTTAATAATTTTCCCTTCTTCTTCTTTTTAGTTCATCCAAACATTTTCATCATAAATTTGATGGAAGAGAGAGGGAGAGAGAGAGGGAAAGGGAGAGAGAGAGAGAGGGAGATTGTCATCATTTTCACAAAAAAAAAAAAAGAGAAAATGTCATCAATGCAAATATCTCTAATAAATAGTGTATTGAAATAGCAAAAAAAAGAAAGTATAATTTGTAAAATTCATTAAATTAATAGAATTTAAAATTTTTTTCATCAATATATATTCTATTCTAAAATTTACCATTTTCATTTATTAATTGAATTTGACACTAAAAGGTCTTTTTTTTCCTTTTTTTTTTCTTCTTTCTAATTAGTTAGTCTTACTCAGAAATTATTCATTTCATTGTTATATGCATCTACTTTTAAATTAATTATTTTATTTCATTTCAATTTCTCTTCACAATATATCAGTGATACTAAAATTACATAACAACAACAACAACAAAAAAAAAAAAAAAAAATCCTCATTGACTTTAATTTTATTTGTTTTTAATCATCTTTTAAAACTCTGATGACATCATATATATTCTTTAGTTCAGAAACTTTAATTCAGAAACTTACAAATCTAATATATTTCAAATAATCGTTACTTGTTAAATTTTGAAGTGCAATTGGTCGTAATCAAATTTTCAAATAAATAAATAATCATACAAAGGAATATAGCCTATTTCTAACTTTTTCATTTTCATTCTTTTGTTATTATTATTTATTTGTTCATACAAATAATTTATTGAAAAAAAAAAAAACTGTAATATTCTCTCTTTTAAATTAACTTTTTTCTTTGCTTCTTCTTTTATTACTAATTGATGCTAGTATACATCAAGAAAATTAGACATTAGAAAAGATGAATGTAGTAAAATTTCATTTTGTGCAATTTTCACCTCAATCTTTTCTATTTTTGGTTTCACAAAATTCAATTCCATTATTTGAAATATTTTAATGAAGTTGACAAGAAAGAGAGGAGAGCTTGCATCAAAAGAAAGAGACTATCGAGACAAATAAACACAAATCAATTACACTGAAATAAATATAGCTAGCTATATCTATTTTGAAATTCATTTAAATTGTGCATATCATGCATTTTATAGATTTTTAAAGATGACAGAGAGAGAAAGAGAAGGGAAAGCATCGAATAGAAAGAAATATTTTTTTAAAAGATAACAAATTAATCATATTTGACATCTTAATGTTGTACATCATTATGAAGATAATAATTAACTAACAAAAGAATAAATTTTTTTTTTGTTCTAAAATTTGAAATGTAAGATTTGAATATTAAAATAATTATTATTTTGAATTAATTCAATAATATTATTTGTGATAATATCAATAACTATAGGTGGAAATAGATAATGTTATAAACATTTGAAAAATGAAGAGAAAATGTCATACTGGACTACAAATAAAAGATGTAGCATTGAAAGAGAGTGTTCCTAAAGTTTTTTCTTTTTTTTTTTCTTTTAAAAATTATTGTTGAATGAAATGTTGAATTGATTAAATGATAATTTTCACTGCTTAGCAACAAAATAAACTATTGTTTGATGAAAAATGGTATGTAAAATAGTTAAATCACAAGACTATAACTATATGTGATGTATTTTAGGGTAAAAATTTTAAAAAGCAGAAAAAAGTGAAATGGTAAACAACAACTTTATTGTTTTCTTTTTTCGATTACATATACAATTCTCCATTTGTTAATGATCAAACTGATAACAGATATAAAATATAAATTATAATGCAAATGATAGTTTATGAAATTTTTGAACAATGCAAGGAATCAAATACTTGAAACTATTTTATACAAATACACAGACAAAGTATTTGATATGCAAAATTAGCAGCCAATCTTATCGATGTTTTCGAGAATTGAATTAAATTTAATTTAGCTACTCTCATGAAAATCAATGTAGATGCTGGTAAAATCGGTTAACAGTAATAAATCAGAAAGCCAGTAATTCGCACCAACTGATGTCATTTTCACTGCTGAAAAAAAAAAGAAAATAAATTCTCGAAGATGTTTTGAGATAAAAAATACTGCTTCACTTTTTTTTTTTTGCCCCCTTCTTCAAAAAATAGTTTCAAATTATCAAATTTACATCTATGTCCTTAAGATAATTTCAACTATCATGCTATGATTCATGATTTCAAAAGGAAGAAGTTATTCAATAAATTATTTATCCTAATCTTCTCAAGTACTCAGCAAGCGCTAGATCACTATTAAGTCTCTAAAAATTCTATAATACAAATAGCATTATGAAATTCAAAATTTAGAAAGACTGTAAATTCAAATGGTTATAATAATTTGTCATTAATATGCTGTCAAACTTCCCAGTGATGTAATATCGCTTAGGAAAATTATAATTCGTCTGTATATATTGCTTAGTTTAAATAAATATTGACGTAATAAATCGTTATTTTCAATATCGACAAAAAAAAAAAAAAAAAAACATTAAACAAATTTGATTCAAATTAATGAGAACTTAAATGATCAGAATTTCGATAAAAGGTAATAATTCTTTAAGAAAGACAGAAGTAAGAAACATTTATAAGCTCTCCTCAACAAAGAAACATTCTTACCATTGCAAAATAAATCCACATTATTGTGAAAATCATCGAAAATTTTAAACAATGTCAATATATTAAACGATTTCGCACTATGACGATACTTGGTAATCAATGCCAAACAATCATCTAGAACATTCCATAGCATCACATGCTTCTGACCCAAAAGACAACGCCGGTATAATTTTTTTACAAGTTCCCTAAAACTTGGTTGTAAATGAGAAAATGCAAAGATGAAAATATGATATCAATTTAAATCAAATATCTATCAACACACTTTTTTCCTTTTTCTTTAAGCTATCTTGATTTGGTCCGTAAATCATCAATGTAAAGGAAATAAAAAAAAATGACAAAATGAAATACACTTACTGATGTAATTGAGAAGCTTCTGCAATTGTCTTTATCCCGTCCAAATCTTTCTTAAATATGAAATGTTTATTGTATGAATCAAATATACTATTCACAACAAAACAGCTCATTTCTTCTCATTTTATATCACAACAATGCAAAAGTGCATGTATCTAATAATTTACGCTAGTAATAGACAAATTTAAAACTATCAAATAGAACCTGAAATTCGTTCACAACTATGTATCTTATTTGATCATGAAAGAAACAACGCATTGCTCGAACAAAATTCCACATTCGCATTTGCATTAGAGCAATACTATAAATACGAACTTTCTGGACCATCATTTCCTGCAAAGCCATATGGTCTTTCATCTTAATGAAAAGACAGAATCGTCTTCATTAAAACTATAAGTCATAATGCTATGATTTTATACTAACAAAAATAATGGAATTATAATGTGTTGCAAACTGTCATCTAAAAAAAAATAAAATAAAATAAAAATCTATACGGATTATGTGCTTCAACAAATCATATGATGTTAAATATTACTTGTACAGTAGTAGTTATTAATTACACACACAAAAAAAAAAAAAAAAAAAAACCCTCAACAGATTAAATTTAAAAATTTCAACTTTTTAAAACAATTCGACGATAAAAAAATCAACCTCTAAAGCTGTGCATTCCACTGTGATTCGCAGTAATAAAGTTCGAATACGCAAGTAATCCACTAGAACTGATGGAGCAAAAATAACATTTAATGGAAATGGTGGTTTATAATGCAATTTCATGGCATCTTTTTCATCGAATGAATCTTAAATATATATACAAATAATGTTACAACAAAAAATTTTAAACCAAATCAAAGATTCGAACGACAATATATTATGAAAGAAATTAGTGATAGAATGACAAAATAAAACAATTAAATACTAGAAAATTATTCTATGCTGCTATTCCACAACAAATCACCATGTTAAAAATTACTTCAAACAACTATAACTTACTTTTTGCTTCTAGAAATCCTTGTACAAGATTTGAAGAATAATTTTTGGCTAAAAGATAATTAACCATTTCGTCTAATTGACAATTCTGATAACTCCCTGATGTAGAATTCAACTCCGAACCATCTTCTTTGTTTAGCAAAATGCTGAAATACAAAAGATTTAAATTTATAGAATTTTATAGAAAGATTGCTAATCGTCTCAAAGAAAGATTGCGTAAAGTTATTTTAATAATTGCATCACACAATTCAAAAATAAAAAAACTAAAAGTAGAAGTTGACAAACAGTTCCAGTAATTTACACATTGGAGAAAATGGAGTAAATAACCTGATGAAAATTTCTGTTATACATTCATCGTTGCATAAATAAACATCTTGAAGAAGCTTCAGCGTTTGTTTAAAATCATCGATTATACAACACCGTGCAAATGTAGCGCATTGAGAAAGATAAATTTTTCTAAATATAGCGAATTCAACAATTTAGAAATTACTGAACATTGGTCAGATGTAATCTGAAAAATCGTTGCAAAAAATAAGTATTAGAATTGTTGAAATCAGATTTGGTAAAGTTGTGATACACCTCAGACCTCTTCAGATTCAGGTCATTACAATTTTTAAAATACTTCGTTTAATCCATCTGCTGAATAATGAATATAAATATTATTGAAACCTATGTTTTTTATATTTGGCTTACTGGAAGTAGAAGTCCAAAAGTGATCCCACTGCACCCAATAAATCTGAGCTCAGCGCTTTCCGAATTTTTTCTTCCGATAGTTCAACCATCAATTTATTCTAAAAAAAAAAAGAAAAAATGTCATTTTTTAAACATAGTTCTTATTCATATCTGAAAATTTTCTGAATATTAAAAAATATTGAGTGCAAATAGTTTAAAGAAAGTGATGGAAAAATACTTTAATTAACTTATTTTCTCCCTTTTTTGGACTTAGAGAGCTGTAAAATTGAATAACTTACACTAAAACAATTATTACCATATATAAATCATTCAGTTATATCATATTCTTTATAAAGAGACAACTGACAATAGTTAAACAGTTCGATTCCTCAGGTATCATTTGTTCCAGATTTGGCCAAGCCAATATTATTTTTCGGAATTTTCCCTCAAATAACCATACATCAACAAAATTTTTGGTGATAATCAATGACGCTTCTAGATTAATAGATCCATTTATTCCAGCAACTGAAATAAGTGAAATAAGGAAATGTCGTAATATTAAGAACTATTACTACAAACTAAAGTTCATTATTAATAACGCATATAAATTATATATTAAAAAAAACGTTACCAAACCTTACGTACCTGCCCACTGTAATATTTCAGTATTCTTTTCTGAAAAAGAAAAAACACCATCACATGGATTCGCCTCGCCTTTCATCAACCAAAACAAAATACATCTATAAAGTTTTTAAAAAAACAAAATTAATCATATTTTATTTCCAACAACTTCAAATAATTGCTGCGAAAGAATACAAAATCATGATTTTCTGACTACATAAGAGAATTTTTATAAAATATCTGAAGTTATTTTTTAAAATTTCACTTTACTAGCCTAATGAGTTTCTCGAAAGAAATAAACTTTTATTGGAAAATAAAATAACAAAGCAATTACTCAGCATAATATCGAAGAAGGACCACAATGACATCATCACAAAATTCTCTAATAACTGGAAGTTTTCGTCCTTTCGTAATTTTCACAATATAAAAAATATCCAACAACGTATTTACCTGTAAGATTCAGAACAATAATTTAATTCCCTAAGTAAATGTTTATCTATTCTTTTTGACATGTAAGATCACAATTATTAATATATTATATTCTTAATATCAAACTTTCAGAAAAGAAAAAAAAAAGTAAGTAGTTCAAAGCTAGGGCAATCAGTAGTGCAAACTTAGAAAAGACTATCTGCAGACAGTTACACAAAACGCAATTATTTTTTAACAATGTTCCAAACAACCCTGAAAAGTGTTATGACATCTTGTCATTTCTCACAATCTATAAAGATCATATTTCACTTAAAAAACCTTAAAAAAATGCTGCAAATTTAAAACTTACATTTTGTACACCAGTAATTTGTATGTAAAGGATTATATCAACGAAATAGTTGAAAACATTGCACATATCGAGAAGTTCCCGCAATAATCTTCTAATACTTTCGCTATCACATTCTTTTTTGCTATCAACATAGTGTCTAACTTCATCACTGAATAGAAAGAACGAATAAAAAGTAACAATTATAATGTGAAGGTAAATTAAGAATTTGACAAATCAAAGTCTAATTGACTATTCCATCACTACAAAAAAGTTTTGCAAATTTGCCTCATAATAGATGCAAATAACTATAAAGAACAGAATTGAAAACGAAGTTAAAAAATTTTCCCATATTTCCGTAAAATGGTTTCAACAAGTTATTGATAAATTCTAACCGAAACTTCCACAGTTGTTCAGTGACACATAACTTCAAACTCAATAATGCTCTCGTTGCTGTACCTTCCCGGATTTTGTAATTTAACATCGAGAAATCTTTTACAGAATCGGAATTTCGAAGGAATTGTTCCAAAGAAAACAACCTAAAAAGGAATAATCATCTAATCTGCAAAAATTTTTTCAATGGCAAACAAAATATATCGACATTTTTCTATGGCTGTTATTTATTAGTTTGAACCATGAACAAATTTTTTCTCAGAAAATGCAGATCACAAAGTTTCCGTATCTTCCTGTTTAAAGTAAGATCAAGAAAAAAAAGAAAGAAAGTTTTACATTTCTTAAAACGAAACCATATATACTTGCTCAGCTTGTTATTTGAAAACTTAAATAAGTATTGCAGATTGACCTGTTAGCAAAGTTGAGAAATGGTAGTGCAAGTCGTGGTAACAAATTGACATCTTCTAATTCCAAAAATATCTTGTTTTCTTCAGAAATACTAAAAAAACCATTCTGAAAAAGAAAACAGTGAGTATTAGCATTTTATGAAAAAAAATGTAGGATAAGATTTTATAAAACTAAAAAGCCTCCAAAAATTCTTATGACTATCATGAAAGAATTGATCCAAAGAATGAGATCGAAATAGTTTTATCCAGAAAATGAGATCGTCTTTAAAATATGGTATTTAAATAAAAGAATGCATACTTCAATCATCAACTACCGCCTGGAAAAGGAATAAACACAGATGCAAAATTCGATATACTTTAAAAGATTTTAGGTATGACTTACAGCACTTCTGCAAAACAAAAATGATTCTTCACCCATCAACATATGTAATAAACATCTGAGATATTCACGCCATGAAATCTGAAATAAAATAAAGACAAGCAACTTTTTTTTGTCATAAATTACTGCTTTATGCTCCTTTCAACAATTTAATATTTACGATTTTACTCTAAAAAGAAACTTTTAAATTCCTTCGATGAAAATCAGAAAATAAAAAATCAGTTGTGACACAAACAGTAAGTAGTCCAAACTTTAGAAACCTCAAAGTTAGACATAATTTATAAATTACTAACTCTAAAAAACACATCTCCAATGCTTAGATTACATAAGCTGCGCAATTCAGGATCACATGCACGCGGATGTATACGTCCTCTTTCATCGACAATCATACGTCGAATTTTTTCATAACTTTCAGAACTTCTCGAACGGATTGTATCTAAATGTCCACAACTGCCGAATTTTTTTAAATCGATTCATGACAGATTATGTTTTAGCAATAGTTAGACATACTACTACGATAAAAAATTGCTTAACAATAAAAAGAATTAAACAGTGTTGGTTGACAAATGTAATATTCAATTTTTTTAGTGGCCAATTTTATTTTTGAAAAAGATTAATAACAAGTTGCAACATGTATGTAGATATACTAAGAATATTTGACTGCACGTAATGATGAAAATATGGGATGAGTTTTTATAATATATATCGAATGTATTCATACCAATTTGTGCTGTTTTTTCTTTGCTGATACGTAGTTGATACTGATCCACGACCTCTTTCTTATGTTTGTAATGGGACTAAACGTAGATATTTTATCATAGGTTTTATTGTTCTTAATTTAAAAACAAAAAACATAAGGAACTGGAAAGAAAAATTAAAATTTTTCAATTAATTTATCACCTGGCAGGTAACCAATTGTTCATTTGTACGATCAATAAATGGTTTTGTCGAGGTAACTGAATAATTCTTCGAAATCTAAATAGGTTCAAAATATATAAATGCAATTGAAAAGAACTTACTACAGTTAATACAATTGCATTTATTTAAAAAATATTTAAATAAAAACAGTAGCACATAGTGAAAGCTAACGTAGAGTGAACAGCATTGAATGGCATACTTCTAATAAGTTCAATACCTAAATAATTTGTGATTAGAAAAGTATCACTAACCTTATCATAAACAAAAATTACAATAAACTCAATTTGACAAAGAGCAATGATGAAATAAATCACTTACTGGCAAGTGGTTATTTACAGTTTGTTTCCAAATATTGAGGATTTCGGATCCGGAACAATAAGGTAGAGTATTGCTTTCATTCTTATCACCATAATTATTACCAATCCTTGATAGAAGTAATAAGAAACGTATTATCTCTTCACTTGAATCGGCTGTCTCGCGAAGTTTACCTTAGATCAGTTCTATTTGGCAACTTATTACAATCTGTACAAAGATTAATCTTACTAATATAAATCCGTGTCTGAAAATGGAATTAGTACATTATATTAGTAAGATTACCTGGACATGCCCAGATTACCTAGGTACAGCGAAAAAAAGATTCAACTATGCTGTTCAGTCAAGTCAATTCTTGAGATTATTGACTGACTGCAAAATTTTTTTGCGCAAAATTATGAGAAATACCTATGAGCGAAATAAATTTCTTAGCTTGATAACCATCATCTTCTTTGCTAAGTAAAACTACAGCCTGATCAATCATAGACTGAAGAGGAATTTCCTAAAATTGATGAATAATATAAAAAAAAAAAACAAAAAACAAGATAATATGAACATTTAAATGGATTATTCATTCATAGGATAAAAGTAAAGAAACTGCAACAAAACCTCCAGATTTTCGCATGTATTTTATGTGCTCCTTATTTCAACTTGATCATATCTCAGTGATACTTACTTTCTTCATATACTCTATTAATTTCCAAAAAACTTTTATTTTATAAAATTTCAGTTAAATTTCAAAAACGAAAATATTGCCTCTTCTTGTTTTTCAAGTGACTTCAACAGTAGCACCTCGTAGAACTGAGCACGTTCCAAACCCGTACATGGTCGACCTATCAATGAACTAAGTAGTAGCGTGATTCTACCCCATATTGAATCGCCTCCTAATTGAAGGGTATCATTACGATACATTCTTTCCCTGAAAATATAAATTATCATTAGTAAAAATTTTTAAATTTTAAAATTTGAAAAAAAAATTAAAAAACTAAAATTTTCATTTGCATACATTCATTCTTTACTTATAAATAAACTTTTCCATAAATAATTTAAGTACATGATATTTCCAACATTCATATACGTCTTGTTCAAAAAGTATTATATCTTAAATATACACAAATTTAAATTAAACAACACTCCAACAAGTTAAAAAGTTATAATAACATTGCAAATAAAAAAAAAAAAAAAAAAACAGCAATGTTTTAGTAAATGAAAATTAATAATAATTCCATTTTTTTAAATGAAATTTTAGCATTTTCCTAAAGCTATAATTAATCCATAAAAAAACATTGCACATAGTTAATTAATTTGAAAAAAATAAAAATATTTTCTATTTCCTTATTCCTCCATTAATCTTTTGATATCATTTAATTGACATATTAATTTCAATTTTTTGTTTTAAATCTGAAAAGTCAAATATTATCTATCTGAATACGAAATTTGAAATGATTAAAAAATTAAAATGAAATTTTCGCGGCTCTCATTAGAGTTAACATTATGAGATGACGTGTCTCTTAAAGCGAAAACATTTCGAACGCGGCGAATGTCTTACAAATGTTTTAAAAATAAATGTGCATAATTGATCGAATGTGAGTGGAATCAAGGAATTAAGGAATTAATGAATTAAGGAATTAAGAAATCTCGGATGGATGAATTAATCATTTCATTAATTATTCTTTGTTTACTTTATTGATCTATTATTATGCATTTTTTCGCATTTTCGATTACTATTTTTGTTTCATTATATTTCATCGATTTATTTTTCTTTTTGTTTCAGCAAATCTGCATAAGTATATATATATATTTGTCTTAGACGTAAACACATCGTACTCATTCATTCCTGCTTTTATTGGTATGTAATGCATACTTCTAGAATACACGTAAACGTGTCTGCATACGTGTATATTGCATACGTTCTTACGTTTAGTAATAATTATGCATCTATCATCATTTTTACTATTCTTTTCTTCAACTGCAATTAATAACTCGCTTGGAATATTTTTGAAATTATTGTTGCTTTTTAATGATTTCATTTTTTTTGTCTGTTTGTTTGTTCAAGAATTTAATTATTAGTCTTAATAATTAAGTCTTAATAAACTTTACTACTTAGTGCTATCATGAACGAGACGACGATGAATATGCAGGATGTGGATGATGAGGCAAAAAATGAGAATTTAGTAAGAGATTATTTATTACATCAACTTCAGTTGAATTTATTACATGCGCAATGGCAAGATAAACCGAATGCTGAACCTGGTTAGTTTATTTTTTTAATATCACTATTTCAGTGCTTGGGGTATTGCAAGTGATCAGTTAAGAATCCGTTTAAAAAAAAAGGAAAAAAAAAAAAAAAGAATATCGTAGCGCAAAAAAGTGCTGTTGATTAAATAAGAGTTAAAAAGTTTAAAATTACGAGGTAAAATTATTCCTCGAAAAGTAGGAGAAGCTGAAAAGCTAGAAAAAAAACTCAGTGACTAATTTAATTAGCAGAAACTAATTTATGTCTTTATAACTCAATCTAGATTGTGTTTTAATAGTGTGTGACACAAACTGCTTTGTTGAATTTGAATGAATCGGTGTTTTTGTTAATATTTTATAGATTAGCAATTTTTAAAAAAAAAAAGAAAATCTTAGACTAGAAATTGACTTCCGTAATATAAGATTTCGAATAATTTATTCTTATTTTTAGTTGAAGAATTAATGGAAGCTAAAAGAACAATGCAAGAAATAGAAGATGATGTTGTGAAGAAATTCACTGCTTTAAATGAACAATATGAATTAATCAACAGCAAGTTGTACAATAGTTTTTCGGCTTATTTTTTAATAATTTGGTTTGTGTAGTTAAGACAGTTTCTCTACGTTGGTTTTTCAGGAATAATAGATCCAGAAAAAGTGCACGAATTGGAAAACTATCAAGAAATGGTACCTCTCTTCGATATTTTCTTTCGCCATACATTTAAATGGTTTTACTTTTCAAAATTTGACCAATAATATTTTCTGGCATTATATCACATTGGAAACTATCTAATATATTTCCTGTACAGGAATCATTTCGTGAATTATAGTGAGGATGTCTTTTAGTTAAAAGAAATTGAACGTCTATCAGTTAAGCATCAGACTATTTTGAATAAATTTAATGGAGATGCAGAAGCATGCTTAGCAGATCATCAGGTTCGAGCGGTAAGTTTTGATACTGTTATCTTTTTTTGTTATCCATATTTTGTGGGAATGTAGAATTTACATCCTTAAATTCTAATTATGTAGGATGATCATTTTGTTCTATAATTCCATCAAATTTCTGCTTATTAGAATCTTTTACTGCCTTTTTAATTTATAGATTCCTCAGTGCACTCTAAAAATATGCCACCATCAATTCATTGCTATTAAATATCCTAGTGAAATGTTTAGACCCAGCTTGGTGGACTTTGGTAGATATAAACACGAGCTTGATAGAATCACTGAAAACGATTGCTCGAAATTTTTTATTTATAGGAGGAAATGGAACAGCTTAAAAATGAAATTGAAAATCAAAAGGAACTGATTGCCACATTAAATGCTCAGATCTCATCAATTAACTCTAAGTTGCTGTCGCCTTAATTTCTTGTGTTTGATCATGAAATAGTTGAATTTATGTAAAAAATGTATTGTGAACGTTTTTGCAGAGCCTATTTTCCTTGTTTTTTTCTTTACATGAATAACTGATCTCTAATTGTATTTTCATAAATACTTGAATTCTTTCTCAGTGAGTAATTTATTGATTTTTGCAAGTCATATCAATGCAATTCACATGAATGAATAGAATTTTGTATAGTTTATTCCATCCGAACGTTTGGCAACAATGCTGATGATTCCGTTGATGCCGTTAGTGTTGTTGTTCCGACCTGAACATACCTGGAATGAGTGGCCATGGCAGCTGATGTTGATGTCATTCCATCCACGGATATCATTTGCTTAGTTTGTGTCATCCTAATCTCTTCCCAGTCGTAAATATCATCCCATTTCACATTTGTTTCGAGCATTAACTAGAATGAAACAGGAATGTGCTGGATATCTAGAAGAAAGTCACAGAATTGATGCCTCGTTTGGCAAATTCAGTAAAGCTATCAATTATTTTCTATCCATTGTGAATTATATTTATTAGTAGAACCATAAGATGATACTTGATATATTTAAATCACATTTTCTCTAAATCAAAAACGATGAAGTGGCTGTGATAAAATCACAACCATTTCATCGTTAGTTTGAACAAGTTTTAAGATTCTTACTTATCGTAATGGTATTCTTATCTATCATGCCCTTAATGAACTTAGCTCTTTTCAAGATTTGAAATAGTTAAAATCTTTAAAAACAATAATTTGTGTACTTTATGAGCTTTATTCGAGTTGTAGTTTATCATAAGGTTCAGAAATGAAACAATCACTACACTGATTAATTAAAAACAAGAAACAATAACTTTTTCAAATATGTACTGGATTTGTTCATATGGCGGTTCAGCTTCAAAAGCAAGTTCATCAATCATCACGAATATACAATCGAGAATGGGAAGTGAATTTCTGAAGAATTCTTTCCGTTCATTACCCAAACGAATACGTAATTTAGCTCTATACACCTGTTCTTTCAATTGATTTTTCTTCTCCTTCACTCCTTCAAAATGAACAAGTTAGATTTAATAAAATGAAATAAATTGAATTTTTTTGTCGTTAAATATAATCAGAAATTCAACATAATATATTTATAACAAAAGAAATCGAATAAGACGTAATGAAAGAAGCGAAATATTGCAACAATCATGGATGAATTGAGAAATCATTTGGATAAGAGAAACTCAGAGACTTGAAAATATGATAGCTAAACGGATAATTCACTTAAAATAATTTAAAACACTTCGATTTTAAATGGTATGTGCTTGCACCGTAATACATAACATACATTCACTTTCATTTCACGTCTCAGTTTAATTTTTTCTTAGTTTTATTAATAAGTATACACATATGCAATGATTACTAAAGTATCTTTTCCGTTTAAATCCTAATTGATAATGTCATCGAGTTACTATATGCCAGCTATTTTTATCACTACTATGTATTACATTGATTTTGCCCTTGCTGTGCATTACTGAAATGTATTTCAGGGTCCACTTTAGATTTTAAAATGTCTTACTTTTCGGTGTCTTCCATGGTAAAGTGCCACTAGACAATTCAACCATAACATATAGCCATGATTCTAAATCATCTCGTCGACCTGAAATGAAGTAATACAATTATCATTTGATCCAAACATTAGATCAAATTGATGAAAAGACAAACCAAGTTCAAGTTTTTGATGTGCTCGTAATGAAGCATAACGTGTCGTTCCACGAAAAACCGTATGATGCTTTACTGGTAATATTGATCCATCCTGCATGCTTTAGCTATTTTTAGGAAGAAAAAATGAGAATCTTTAAATTATCACATTTTTGAAAATCATAACTTTAAATTTAGAGTGAAGAGATCGAGCTTTAAAATTTAAGCACTATACCTGATTTCTATAGAATCGAGAAAGTCCGAAATCAAAAATATAAATATTCCTGGATTCCTTGTTAATACCCAGTGCAAAATTACTTGGCTTAATATCTCTGAAATTTGTATTTAAATAGAAAAATGAAATTCCAGACAGCAGAAATCAATTCCCCAAAAAAAAAAAAACTTCAGAATTTATAAATAACAAAATGAATTAAACGGAATGAAATGTTTGAAGCAGATAGCAATGAATTCAGGAGATATAAGTCATATTATAGGTTTATTTAGTAAATAAAAACATCTTTATTTTCTACTAAAGATTAAGAATTCACAGTAAGTTTATTTTGTAAATTAGTTTCGTTGCCTTCAATTTAAAAACTAAGACATAAAAGATGAGCTTATTTTCATTTTAATAAGTTCTAAAAAAAAAAAAAAGAAAAAGAAAAAGAAAAAGGAAACGAAAAGCTAACTGACCTTGAAATGACGGAAATTTCATGAAGTTCTCGAATTGCTGAAAGCGTCAATAGTCCAACACGAAGTGAGGTATTTATGGAAAAACTCTTCGTTTTACTTTCACGTCGTAATTTTGACAAATCTTTTCCGAGTAGTGTCATTACCACAAATACATAGTTATTTTGCCTTCCCTATAATGTAAAGAGTTTAATGTCATCATTTTTGAAATTTAATCTACAGTTTAACTAATAATTGTCATATCGAATAACTCAGCAATACCTGCTTAATATTGCTACAAAATCATTTTTTAGATTGCTCTACAACTTTCGAGGAAATTTCTCTAATTGTAATAATTGTATATTCAAACTTTTTTTTTTTGAAATCAATCAATAGTTTATATGTGCTACAGCATATCACTTAGCAAAAAACTTACATCGTCAACATATTTGCAAATTTGTTTACAATCACATTCATTTGCTTTCTTCAACACTTCAATCTCATTGGGAATTTTTGTTCGTAATATATTTTCTCTTTTCAATGCATAAATTCTGAGTAAACAGTAAGAAATGCGAAAATGCCATTTAACATGTCAATTGTTTGGGATTGCTAGCAGGTAATTATGCTAATGAATTGTTTAGCAAATGTCATTAAAAGAAACGTACGACATGACCTCATGTCACTAACTGGTAAAGATAATTATTTAGATGTATAACTTATTTAAGTGAATTAGAACAATCCGACGTAACTCCAATAATAATTAGCTCACAACAAGAAAAAAAATAAGGTGCAACTATGTTTGACCTATGATCTTCTTAACATAGTAGAGTATGCCGATGTAGAATTTAACAAAATTTAATGCTACTAAAATTTAAACTAGAGACATTTATAGGCTATTAAAATGATGAATGCAAATGCATAATACATGCATGCACGCACACATATATCACTTGCATTTCGTGATAAATTAAAATTAAATAAATTAAATGATGAATTACGTAATATATTAAAGTACATTAACAGCACTTTTGAAAATAGGGCAATAAATAAATGAACAATAATCATAAGAAGAAAATATAAATTTATTTAAACCTTTTAGTAGTTTCAGAGATGCATTCGTAGACTTCTCCATAACCACCTTTTCCCAAATACTTCACTAACTCATATGTTCTTGAATTCGTCGAAACCATAAATTTATCTTTCTCTGTGGTTAAATCACATATCTCATTTTTTTTCTGAAATATTTAATAATTAGTGATGATATCTGAACATTTAAATTTAGCAACAAAATCACTGAATTAATATCAAATGATCATTGGAACCATAAGTTCTATCAAACATCATTCTAATTGTTTTTAATTTGTAGGCTAATTTTTCTTCTATACAAGTAACACACAAAAATTTATACTTAGTAATTCAGCTTACTAAACTCAAAATTAACATTATAGTAATGCAAATTTTTGTACTGAACATAGTGCCATCATTAAAAAAATAATTGAACCTTTTCAGTAGAGTTATTCTTTACATTGAAGTTGATATTTTTTTTATCATCATCAGTTTTCAAACTTCTCATCATTTTTATTTCAAATTTGAATAATTATATTTACTTCCTTTGTTCCCTGCCAACTGTAAAATATTTTATCAAAAATGCCACCACAACGTGAGATTATTTATTAGAATAAAAAATGAAACAAATAATTTACTTTAAAAAAAAAAAAAAAAAAAAAAAAAAAAAAAACAGGATTAATAAGTTAGTAACATAGTTCATCAATTTGAAACATTGCTTATTCAAAAAAAAAAAAAAAAACTGATCAATACTTTGCTAAATAGTTCCACTGCTAGTTTTATTAATGCTAAGTAGAATCTCAATAAATTTAATCTTTTTAGTGAAAGATTTCAAATGCATATATCTCTTACCTATTCATCCATCGCAACTGCGAATCGAAATTGAAATGACAGCGCAAGAAGGAACTAACCCTCTCCAAATGGATTAAATATAAAAAATGGCTCAATTATTTCGAAATAAATTAATTTATAACCTACAAGCCATTTTATATGTTTATTTTATGCTGCTGTTAATTCATTAATTAATCGAAATTTATCAATTTAACTTAAATAAAATGCTTACTTGCGTTTTGTTTGCAGTTTATGTGGATAGCAAAAGTTGCAGAATCACTTGTGAAAATGTAATAGTTATATCGAAGCATTCCTAATGACTCCTTGTAAAATAATGGAAAATTATCCTTCATTTATACGAATATAAGTTTTAAAATATTTTGAGGATAATTTTAGTGAGAACGTAGGATTTGCGTAATGCGTTGGTTATGTAATGATAATTTCACGGTTTGACACTAGTGGTTTAGTGAATCGATTGTGATAGTACTTATTGTTTGCGTTACGTTATTTGTTGTTCGCGGATGACTTAACTGTTCGGACGTGTGACATGTGGTTGTATCCTAGGTATTTGTATATGTTACATAGGTATATTGAGTCACGTGAGATGTGTAGTTTGGTAGGTCCTTACTTTTGTAAGCTTAATTTCATTGTAGCACTTTGATTGTTGTCTATTTGGTTAAATGATTTGTTGTTTGATTCAGAATATGAAGTACCACTTATCATAGACTCTTATCTCCTTGCTTATCTAGAAGTGCATGCTGCGATTAATAAGAGAATAAGGGATCATGTGAGAGAGTTATTACTGCGAAGTCTCTTTGTTTCATATATCGTAGAATGTGTGCTATCATATCACAGTTGACTCATGGGAACAATTCCCATCGGCTTGCTTTCTTAGTCCAATATAATGTTTATTATTCGATCTGCAGATTAGGACGACTATCGAAGTAACATCATATTTTATTCAACAGCATGTCTAGCAGCAAAGTTGCCGTCCGAAAGAGGTAATGAAAATATGTTTTTGCAACTAATTAAAATTGTTCTTGTTGTTATACTTTCGGATGTCATTTTCTAGTTGTGTTTGACTTTTTCTCAGTTGATTACTTTCTGGAATCATATATTCGGGATTTCATATATTGATCACTTAGTTGGAAATCAGTGTAGAAATCAATGCGAATCATCTTTAATCATAGATCTAACATGCAGAAAATTTTCTAATGAAAAATTTCAAGAGGCATATATAAATTTATATTGGTTTTAGTGGACAGAAACGGAAGCGAGAGGAAGATGATTCCACTTCGATACAGGACGAAGAAGATAGTCGAAGCGGACTCACGATGGTTTCAATACCAAAAGGTTCATTACTGTTTGTTTGTTTGTTTATAAGGAAATAGGGAATTTTAGGACCTTTTTTTAAACCTATAAGCATAAATGACTATGTTCCGTTTTTTGTTTTTTGTTTTTTCTTTTTAATTTTATCTTTTTGCATATGGTGTTTAGATTGCTTCATTTTGGTGAGTTTTTTTAAGAGCATAATTTTGAAACTAATGAATGTAATGCATTAAGATAGTGGCAAGTGTCTAACAGATCTAAGAAAATATTTTAGCTAATACTATCAGGAATGACCAAATGCAATTTTTTAGATTACTCATAACATGCATGCAAGCTTCATCAAACTAACTCAAGTGCACTACCACGAATTTAAAATTTTTTCAGGAAAAGAGAAAGATGTAGAATATTCTGCACCAAAGTCACAAAAATTGACGGATTTGGATGAAGAAGGTATCAAGGAGGGCGAGGTAGTCAATCATTGACCATTGAAATTTGAAAAACTAAATCTTATTTTGTTATATTAATGACATTACAATTCCTAGATAATACGAGGTTAATATGTATTTATGAGATTTGAAGCTACTTTCATGAAGGTCGAGATTCATTTCCTATATAACTACTGACTTGGAGTCTTCCATATTTTACATGGTTATAATAAAGCCTCTGTTTAGATATTCCCTGATTTTACAATGTCTTCATCAGTTCTGCGTGAAAAAATAGATTATTGAGCAGCTGCTTTTAAAGTTATATAGTAATTTAAAAATATGCACTTACAGGATGGTAACGTCATCGAACAGACGCATTATATTATCATACCATCATATGCCGCTTGGTTTGATTACAACGCTATTCATCAGATTGAAAAACGTGGAGTACCTGAATTTTTTAATGGACGAAACAAAAGCAAATCACCTGAAGTGTATGTCTAAAAGACCATCTTTGATTCAAAAATTAAATAAGATCTCTCACGTTTTACTTAATTATTTAAAGTGAAAACTAAAAAATCCAATCATTAAAGCTGTGACATCTCTAAAAGAAAGAAAATAAGATACTGAGGTTGCTGAGAGTTATTCGATTTTTATATATAATTTTGTTATAGGTATATGGCATATCGTAATTTCATGATTGATACGTATCGTTTAAATCCTTTTGAATATTTGTCCTCTACAGCATGCCGAAGAAATCTTGGCGGTGATGTATGTTCTATACTGAGGTAACTTTCTCTCAGTGTTCATTTCTTGTCTTCGGCATCAGAATGGCGAGATTTTGCATACTTATTTTTTTGCATTTGCGCTATAAAGTAGGGTAATGTTCTAGGAGTGAAAGGAAACGTTCTTTGAAAATTAATTCCCTACTTATACGTCATTCTTCTTTATTTCCCTTCCGTTTTGTGCCATAATTTTTGTTTATAAACGAAAGAAATTTTATCAAAATAATGGTTTAATAAGATAACTACAATGATAAATGTTCTCAAAATGATTAAATTTTTCATCATTTTGAAGCACGCGCAATTTTTTAGTGACTTTTGATTATGATTTAAAAGGCATCTTACTGTTATAGAGTACATTCATTTTTGGAACAGTGGGGTCTTATAAACTACCAAGTTGATTCGGAAGCACGTCCTGCACCAGTAGCACCTCCATGTACTTCTCATTTTATGGTACTGGCGGATACACCCATGGGTATTCAGCCTATCCAACCAACTCCTAATCTCGCTCAGGTTATTCTTCATTTTCAAAGTCTTTTCATTACTTTTTGTTTTTAAACTGATTGAAAAAAATTTTCATTCAAGTGCCCATATTCAATACTCACTTTCAAATAATTTAATCTTCGATGTTAAACTTTTCTGTAATGATGAAATCTTATTTAACAGCATGTTCGAGGCATATATATCTTTTTGCATCTGTAGCAGTGAATATGTTAGAATATAAAGTTCACAATAAAAAGTCATTTTGAATTCCATGGAATGGTAATTATTAAATGAAGTTATTGGAAATGGTATGGTGGTTTAGTCGTTACGTAAAGATTTATTACTTGGTTCGATCTCTGATAAAACTCTGTGATGACAAAATCGCGGTCTGTTCAGAGCGATTATGATTGATAATGCGTTTTCATTCGTACGAACACTGAGGGTGCTGATCAGAGAACTTTTAACCGTTATATTCTACCGTTATAGAATTCTTCAGGTATTGACTACTGTTAAATGATTTCGAATTTTCAATTCCACGTTTTTCAGAATGATGAAGTTAAAAAAGAAAAGGATAAAAAGGAAAAAGATAAGGAAAAGGATGATGAAAGTACAAAAGACGAGGGTAATGTGACGGTTAAGATTGAAAAACTAGGTGATGCTGGCTTGAAAACCGATATGTATGCAAAACACCTTGCCACGATGAAGGTTGGTGATCTTTTACTATTTAAATATTACAGATGCTTATTTCAAAAGATTTATCTTCTTTGTTATCATATAAAGATTATTAGAAAAGGAACCTTTTTGAAAGTTACTCACTAGCAACGATTTTTTACTTATTCATTACAATTTATATATTCTTGTTTAATGTTGACTTCATTTATTGTTTTTTCAAGAAAGAGTTACAGATGCGAGGAGCTGCTCCGAACAGAGATTGGACTGATCAAGAAACGCTATTACTGCTGGAAGGTTTAGAAATGTTCAAGGATGACTGGAATAAAGTATAAAATTTGTGAGCTTATAAAGGAAGGGGTATTATTAATTAGGATTATAGCTTCCTTATTTCTACTTTTCAGTTTCATTCATTCCTGCAATTATTTGAATTGTTAAAATATTAACTCTTTCATCTCTCTTGTTTTAACAATATTTTGTCCTTTATATATAATTTTTTAGGTTGCTGATCATGTTGGATCCCGTACTCAAGATGAATGCATCATGCGGTTCTTGCAGTTGCCTATTCAAGATCCGTACCTAGAAGAAGGAGGTGCCGAAGCTGAAATTTTAGGTCAGCGATTCTGTTATTTTATCATTAATATTATAAATTTTCAGGTTAATTAATAAAATGTACTTAATGAAATCAAGTGATATAATGTAAGGTATTTCAGGTCCTTTAGCATACCAACCAATGGCATTCAGTCAAGCGGGTAATCCAATAATGTCAACGGTAGCATTTCTGGCATCTGTTGTCGATCCTCGAGTTGCATCCAAAGCTGCAAAAGCAGCATTAGGTGCTGCTTAAAATATTTCTTTTTGCTTAAGTCAACATCCATTTTGATCAATTTTGCTAGTTCCTGCTTCCTTGTACTCACCACGAAATACGTAATACGTATTTACTGAATATTACTTTCATTCTATGTTGCAGTCTAAGAAAAATTTTTTGGAAAGAGATGTAGTTTGATTATATCTTCTGATGTTTTATCTTTATTTTTTCAAGAATTTTGGAGGATTTACATCTAAATACTCTTGTTTGCAGAAGAATTTGCAAAGATGAAAGAGGAAGTGCCTCCACTGGTTGCCGAAGCGCATGCCCTCAACGTAGAAGCAGCATCAGCTGGTGGTAAGATTGATGGTAGTGCAGGCCTGAGTGTTTCTGGAATTGCTGATGACAGAAGTACGTTTTTCGCTTTTGGGCTTTTGAATAAAAATTGATTAATTTTAGATTATTAGATTTATGTATTTTTTGAATTCCTGTTTTTGTTTTAGCTGACAAAGATAAAGGACCAGAACCCATGGATACTCAGTCTGAAGAAATGAAAACTTGTTCTTCAGCAGAAGGAAACAAAGATGCAGGCGAATCAAATGATAGACAGAAAGAAGATAATAAAAGTAAAGTTTCCGAAACAGTACAAGCAGCAGCTGCCGCAGCGCTTGCTGCAGCCGCAGTGAAAGCCAAGGTTAGTTTTAAAAAAAAACTTCGGAAAATAAGTTTTCCAGTTATACGGTATTATAAGGAAGTAATCCATCTACTATTTCCCTAGAAAAGGATAAAAGTTTTACAGAAATTTTCTGGGGTAATACAAATACACCATTAAGCCATAATAACCAAAAGAAGTTTTTATTATTACTAATTTTTTGTTTATCAAACATTAACTACAGCCGTCTTTTTGATTGCTATAACTATCATGCTAAGTCCTACTCCTGGTATTAGGAGCGAACTATCTTGGCTGCAAGCTTTGTTTGGGCTAAGCTGAAGCATTTAATATGTAGGGAATACAATATTTTATATAGTTTTCAGTATTGCTGATTTTTAGCATCTAGCTGCGATAGAAGAAAGACGCATCAAATCATTAGTTGCCCAGTTAGTTGAAACACAAATGAAAAAGCTGGAAATGAAGCTACGTCACTTTGATGAACTTGAAGCAATAATGGATAAAGAACGAGAGGCGGTAAGTAGATCTTTTGGAATTGCTTTGAGTTCGACATAAATTGACTTGAGTCTAATTTTAATTTGAAGTTGCTTGAATCATCTATCTGGAACCGTGTATCATTTGCAGCTTGAATATCAACGACAGCAACTAATTCTGGAACGACAGTCTTTTCATATGGATCAGTTACGTTATCTTGAACAACGTGCTAAACATGAAGCGCAATCAAAGCTTGTCGCTGGTGGTAAATTTTCAGTTTTTCAAAGCCCATCAAGCTACTGGCCGTAACTAATGTTAATGAGCGTGGAGTCACTTTGAATCTTTTCTTAGTCAAAGATGCTCAAATGTAGCGGCACTCCTTGTTACTTATTTCAGTCGAAGAATAATTCCAGCTTTTTAAAATATATATATATATTTTTTTCAACTTTGTTAGTAACTACATATGAAGACAATAAAATTGTAGGTCAGCTACCGCCAAGTTTACCACCTGGCTTTGAAGTTAGTGGTCCACCTCAGCCGCAGCAGCAAGTACAAGTACCTGCACATTCAGTAGGTGTTTCAACATCCTCTGTGTCGTCCAGTTGTCCACCAGCTGTAGGTCTAGCATCAATGCAGGCGCAAATGACTCATGATAGTGGTTTGTTTTTACTATTAATTTATATCAAGACCATCGAGAAAAAATTTAATTTCAGTCAGTGTCTTTTTTTTTTAATGTAACACACTGCATACAAGTTATTACAGTATATACTGATCATCTTATCTGATTCATCTACTGATGTTGGTTTAATAAGCATTACTTTGATTATAATTTAACTTCTGTTATTTCTTTTTTTTTTTTAGTTCAAAAAATGGATACCTCAGAGACGTCAACGATTGCAGTATCCGTTGCTATGCCTCAAGTATCACAGCAGGCACTTGTTCCAGCTTCCTCTGCGGTGACGCAACCAAACATTACGACTGCATCACTGCAAACAAATATAAGTGCTGTGCCGCCACCTCAATCAAGTATGACTGTTGGACCACCACAGCCAGGCATGACTGTAGTACCACCACCGCAAACAGGCATGTCTGCAGTACCATCACAATCAAATATAGCTGCAATACCAACGCAGGTGCAGCAGCAGCACTCACAAGCCCAACAACATCCACAAATCCAGCAACCGCAACAACCTACCCAAACTATACAGCCGCCACCTCAGCAACCAACCTCTACAACTGGTACTATGAATGTACCTCAAGTCATGACTGTACAGCCGCAGCAGCATTTGCCACCACCACCACAGCAGCAGCAGCAACAGCAGGCACCGCCACCTCAGCAACAATATCAGCAAGCACCTCAGCAACAACCACAACTTCAGCAGCAACCTTATCCTCCTCAAGGTGGTTATCAGCCGCAGCAGCAGTATGCACAATATGCGCAGAACACTTCCCCACAGCAGTATCCACCACAAGGTTTGTTCAGTTTAGTTTAACTTAGTTTTAATCAATTTTGATTTATGCGTATGGGCATAAATGCTCAACTTCAGGCATTTTTATCTTGATTTATTCCTCCATTTACTTGTTTTGATAAAACGTTTTAGGTTATCAAAATGCGCCATCACAAGGATACTATGGGCAGCCTGGAACTCGACCGCCTTATCCGCAACAATATGCACAGCGACCGTCTTATCAACAGCCAATGCAGGTAGATTTTTCAAAAAAAGCTTTCCAAATTATTTAAATGGTTTTTGATGACATTTTTGTCTGTGAAGAATACGTTTGCATATCGTAAATGATTTTAAAATAATTGGATAATCACTATGTTGTATAATCTTGATTTGATTATTATACTATTACATGAGATAGATAGGAATGTAATGGAGTCTTAAATTTCAGGCCTATGGTCAACCAGTGCGGCCAAGTTTTCCACCGACATCAGCGGCAGCTCCTCCACCAGGTCAAAGTTATGGTTATCCTCAAGGCTATCCACCACAAGGCCCACAGGTAAAATTCATGATAAGGATTAATACAATAATGAGTCATTCCGCAAAAATAGTGTTGCACTGTTAATATTAATTGATGAGGACTTCTGATTTTTCAAAGTTTTATCATATTTTTAATTTGTAGTATGCACCACCCGGTGGTTATGCGCATCCGCAAGGACAACAAGCACCTCCGCCAACTTCAGTGCCTCAGCCAGTAGAGTCTTCGGATGCTGCTACGCCACCTATGCACCAGGGAACGCCATCGAATCAATAATAAATGGGTGTTTTGAAATTTGGTTTTATTCATAAAATGGTCATTAAATTTGTATGATTTTGATAAGAGATGTTTTGTAGTGCGTTATTGTTTCCATATAAATCAAACCAGATATCAAACTCAAATTAGAAATTTTGTTTATCAAGCTTTATCAGATGATAGGTTCAATTGTAATTTGAAACTATTCTGGATAGCCCACTATAATGTTTAAAATACATTATTATTATTGTTACTATTATTATTAGTGAGTATATATTGGACGGTCGGATGAATTATGTTAATGAATCCGGTTTTAATATGATAAGGATTTTGTCCGACTTTTCAAAAGAAAGTAATATCACTCTGTTTGATTTTCCAATTCACATTATGTCCTAACTCATTGCCGTTATTTGATATTATTTTTAACTTCAGTTGTTGCTTTGGAATTTATTATGTTTATCTGTTGATTGTTGTAGGATATTATTGACAGGTAGGTGCTTGACTCGCTAAGCAGTTTTGTAGCAGTTTTACTCCACTGCCAAGACAATCTGAAAATTAATAAGTGTAGAAGACCACCGGTGAGAAATTCTCAAATAATTATAAATTATTTATTAGCTGAAAAATTTTTGATTATTCATATATAATTTGAGTGAATGCTAAGTTTGTCATCTTGATTGATGTTATGAGTCATTGTATGCTACGGAGGAAAGAAGACAGCGAAACCTCGGATCTGAGCTTTTTTAAGTTATAACTTTAAAATTATTTTAAACATTATTCATTTTGCAAAGATTTCTTTCAGTTTGTATGTATTTGTCAAAAATAAAATGTTTTTCTCAATTTGTGCCATATTTTTTCAACGTATTAATTTATGCGTTACAATGTGGATGGTATTGCTGTTCCGATCTTACGACAAGTTGAAATCCTTGTTTTGGTTTTTGATCCATTAAGACTGGATTTGACGTGGATTGCTTTGGTTTTCGCAGTTCATCTACAGCTTTTCAACTTTTGTTTGTTTGCTTGTTTGTTCTACTAACTTATTGCAAGGATTTTACTGGCGAGAATAGCAAGATTGGAATAAGCTAGAAGTGAAGTGGATTTAGCTAGACGATTGAGTAGTTATTAAGAAATGATATTTCATTAATATGAACAAGGATATTTTATCAAAACATATATGTTTTCGGCTGAATTCCTTAGTGCAGTTAACCAAAGGTGTATTTGGATTTGCGAGTTTTTTTTTTTCTTTTTTTTTGAAGTGATCTTTTTGAGAATTTATTGTAAATAATTTACTCATGAAAATTCACAAACGATCTTCCTGCATTCAGATTCTTGAATTCCAAAATTATGGAATCTATTTTGAATAAATCAAAAAACTGAGTGAACGGTTTTCAATGGATGAAGAGAATGACTGTAATATTACGGTGCCAGCGGTGGACGAGCTAAGATTATCATCATTATCATCAGAGATTCAAATAGCTGATACAATGGATGAAATTGAAACTATGAATGATAACGATGATGAATCGATTACACCATCACAACTTGTCAAAGAAATTACAATTGCATGGCAAAATGAAATTTGTGCACCGCGATTATTGCCACATATGTAAGTTATAGATATGTCACAAAATGTCATATCATGCATGAAAAAAAAAAGTATTTCATCAGTTCATTATTTATAATTTATTAAACTCAATAATTAAAGTAATTGATTTGTGTTAACAAAAAGAATTATGAATGAAAAAAATTTATTCTACATAAATTGTGTAGAGATTTCTTCTTTTTCAGTGAAACTGTTGTTGATTTAATGATTGATCAACTAGAATCCATGGAAGAGAATTTTAGCAAATGCAAGGATCATACTTCATTGAAAATTATTCTGCATAAGATGGAAGTACAACGCTTAGCTTACATAATTAATGAGTATATTAGAGCACGATTAAAAAAGGTTACAGTTTCTTAAAACTGAGAAATTTGAAGAAATCGAAAGATTTATAATTTGGCTGTACGAAGACTCAATAATCAATGAATGTTAATTTAGGATTTTTACTGTATTTTATTAACTGAAATGCTGAGTTTATGTAAATTGTAATGTGAATATACAGGTGACGTTAATTTCCTTTCATTGGAAATAAAGTACTAAGGGGTAAATTAAATGTGAAAAATAATGTCACATAGCAGAATTCTGTTTGTAGGATTTTAGCTAATAAGAGAAGTATATAATTGAAAATTTTCTTTTTTTTAAAAAAATTTATCCCATTGCATTGCTAAATAAAAAATATTAGGATTTTTGCTATCTTCCAGATTGAAAAGGATGTTGAAGTATTACAGAATGAAGATAATGAAAGAGAAAAGACAAATACGCCACGTTTGCTTAGTTCAGCTGAAAGGGTTTTTGCTGAGCGGTATAATTTACTATTCTTTTTATCATAGGATTAGTAAAATTGTGCCATTTTCATTACATTTCATTTTGTTTCTTTTTTTTTTTTTCTTATTTTTCCTTTACTATTAGGTGATAATTCATACAATGTTGCATAATGATATTCTAGTGAATGTTTTAGTTATAAGAGATGTTTTGATCAAAACGATTAAGTCAGATTAAGTATTTTTGTGCTAGATTATTCACCAAGAGAAATCTTTGTTCCAATTAATCGTCACACTTATCAAATATTAAATGAATAGAGATAGCTTATTGCTTTTGAATTTTTGAAAATTTAAAGATATTATTGATATTGCTAAAATTACAGTTATGAGCTTATCAAACGTCATTTATTGGAAGCGAATTTTCTGGAACGAATACCACCAGCGCTACAACGTCTTCCAACTACAGCACTTGATATGTCTGCTGAACGGGTAATTGTCGAAGTGACTAATGATCAGCAGGAACAGGTAATAATTCCTGAAATGACTGATATATTATCAGATCGAACTATTGATTTGCCACCCGGTTCTATTCATTTCATTCCGTATCCATCTATAGCTAATCTTCTAGAAGCCAACAAAGTTCGTTTACTATAGTATATACATACATCACTTTCTCTAGGTTTTTTTTTATTTTTATTTTAGTATAAGAGACAACTTCTCTGATGTAAATCACTAAATTATTCTCTTATGCCACTTACACCTCACTTTTCATTTCCGTTTACAGTTCTTATCATAATGACCAAATACTTCTTTTACATATTTTTTTTTTCGTTTTTTGTTGTTTCTTGTTGCATAAACATTATCCAGTGAATAAAGCAAATGCAGTGTGAAAATTTCTATGAAATGGTGTGTACCTTCCTTGTTGCTTTGTTGTCTTTCATCATTCATATATTTTCTTTTTTCTTCTTTATCACTATGAAATTGTTTAGATTTGATCTCTTTGTTATTTTAATTCATCACTTCACTCAATGTATAGCAGTAAGCGATAATTTCAGATCTTTTTTCAATTGTAACATTCTGCAAGTCTTATTTCATTCCATTTCATTAACGCACAGGAACAAAAATGCAAAGAATTTTTATTGGAATCAAAGCACTTCGACAAAATTATAAGTAATTGGAGACAATAACAAAAAATCATACGAGTAATTTTGATATATAATAAATGTTTGTTATGAGTGATAAAGGAATGAATGTAGAATATAAATTAACCAAAGCAATAATGAATTAAACAATTTTTATACTAATTTTAATCACCATATAATTTTCTTCTTTGAAGCCTATCACAACATGTCCAAATTGTTTATGTACGAAATTGAAAGTTAACAAATAGATTTCAAAATGACTTCAAATAACAAAAATTTTGAAAATAACTGGCAGAGAGATCGTTGTTAAGTGTTAAAATATCTCACGAAATGTTTATGATTCATCGTTTAACTATTCCTTAACTATCTTTTACTAAAACGAACAAAACAATGATTGAATGGCACATGAAAATACACGTGTAGATAATCATATATGTCGAAATTATAGTAATAAAAAATAATTTGAAGTGGAATTCCATGCAAATAATTCTCTCGAATATGATGGTTCTTAGAAATCTCTCAATTTTTCTTTCTCTTGGAGAAAAAAAATCTTGAAAATGGATATTGTAAAGAAGGTTTTCAAAAAAAAGAAAAAATTCCATTCCTGATCGGGTGTTTTTTTTTTTTTTGAAATTTTGTGCCTATGAAGATAAAAACTATACGAAAGCCAATTTTTTATTTTTTGATTTTCATAAATGTAACATATTTCAAAATCTTTTCGAGTGGAAAAAAATGCAGCTTTTTTGGAAGTTTGATGACTCCATAATTTACCAATCAATTGCTAAATTTGCATATTTCTGCTTGACTTGTGATGATAGTACATTGCTTTCTTCAGCAACCTCTTTGATTGCATTTAGCACATAATTTAGCATTTCTTTGGAATGAGCAGCACTAAGGCAAATTCTTACTCGACTTTCAGTTATATGTGTTGCCGGGAAAGAAACCACCACAACTCCAACACGTCGACTCAACATTTCACGACCCCAAAATCTAAAGGGAAGATTTTTTTTTAATTTATATGAAAAACTGTATTTAGAATAATGGAGAGCATATTTTCAGTAGTAGAAAAGAAAGCAAATGCTAAATTCATTCATAAACATTTTCATTTACAAAAATGACAATCCTTGTATTTGTAACGTACTGAAAAATCATAAAAAAACTGAAATTCATAACATTTTTTTCAGCAGTACTCAAATATTTCAATATTTTCTTTCTATTTAAAATTTCAATTCCAAACCCGCATTTCGTAGGATAATAAAGCATAATTGGAACAATGGGACTATCATCGGATCCACATACAATGCAACCCATACGTTTTAGATGTTTTCGAAAATAATGTGTATTACGCCTCAAATTTTGCCTTCGCATTTCACCTGAAATCATTCAAAGATTTAACTTTTCAAAAACTTAAATTTACCCTGAATAAACCTAATTGAAAGAAAATATTTTATAATCGATAGTTATTTCTGTTTAATAACGGATTCTCATACGATGCAACCCATATGTTTCAGATATTTCCGGAAATAATGAAAGAATTCATAATTCAAAATACCAGGCATTCTGGTTTGAATCATTAGAAATCTTAATATTAAAATTAATTTCGACAATTAACTAGTACATATAGATATCTTACATACAAAAAATTTATACAAAAAATGTTCGTATGCCCAAATACGTACGTACATATACGTATTGGCAAAGAAGTATCACACGCATGTAACGCTTACCATCATTAGAACCATCTAGACCCATCATAATTTTCATTGATGATATGATCTGCTGTGCAACAGGGGGTGACATTGGAAGTGCATAAATTGTTGCAGCCGAATTTGCTCGTATATAATTTATAAGCTGCTGAAAAAAAAGAAAAAAAAAAACCAATTATAATATTCCCGTAATGCTATTCATAAATGAAAGGAGAAAGATAAGATAGTAAATAGAATGCTAATAATAACAATTAAGAAATTTATAGGAATTCAGTAAATTTTGGAGATAATCATGAATTTTTAAAATCAAAAATTATACTATTTTGTTTATCTATTCATTTTGAAATATAAATAAACTACTGAAAACACCTATCAAAGATGATGGTAAAAAGTATTTAAAAAAATTGTAGGTAATATTAAGAAATTAAAACAGTTTATATTAGATAGTAGCATATATTTACTTTATTGCCTGCAATATAACCACCAGCTGCACTAAAACTTTTAGTGAATGTTCCCATTAGAATATCAACATCGTGCGGATCACAACCCCAATAATCAACAATTCCACGTCCACGTGGACCCATTGCTCCTGTATAGATTAAAAGAATTAATTAAATTGTAGAAACAAATTCAGAAATTGCAGATATGTATTAAAAAAAAAAACGACTGTAGAAGATACATTACGATTTCAAAGTTGAAAGAGAAATGCAAATAAATGTGTGACGATAAATCATATTTCCAGGAAAAAAAATAATGCATACTAGAGTTGATCCTCTTAATATATTCAAAAATGAATTTCAAAATGAATTAATCAAAATTTACCAATGGAATGTGCTTCATCAAGATATATGTAGGCACCATATTTCTTCTTTAGTGCAATAATAGCTGGTAAATTGCATATTGAACCTTCCATGGAATATATTCCTTCCACAATGATTAAAATTTTGGTGAATGGCTTCTTTGTCTTCGGATTACCATATACAATTGCATTACGAATAAGTCTTTCCAAATCTGCCATATCTTTAAATGAAAAAAGAATGAATGTTACAAGAAATTTTTTCAAAAATAATAATCATTGAAATAGAGATTATCAAATTTAGCATTAAAATTAAGAAATGAAAAGGTAATTCTGATTATAACATTAGACTACAACATATAAGTCAATAATCAATTTGCTTCCCTTATATTGAACTTAAAAAATTACGAATGAAGATTAATCTATCTTCACTATCATTATTGAATCGCATTTTTGAAAAGAACTGAATTGTGAAGCTTCCCAAAATAAGTAAAAATATGATTTTAAGCAAAGATGCAGATAAAATATAACACATTATTTTTCTAATTATATAATTTTCTAATCACGCAATAAAAATTTCACAAAAAAAAAAAAAAAAATTCGAAAAGCCTACCGTCGTGTTTGAAAATACGGACTGTTGCTCGTGACATTCGACTGCCAAGAATAAGTGATGCATGATTGAACTGATCACTAATTATAATTGAATTCTACAATTAACAATAATATTAGCATAAAAAAATTAACTTAAAATTTCACTGTAATATAACACAATAAAGATATAAATAGAGTAAGAATTAAGTAAATGGAATAATTCAGTATAATAAAGATACTTACTTCATCAGCTAAACATGGTGTATTCAGAGAATTAGTAGCAAATCCCATACTGAAACATATAGCATCATCAACACCAATAAATTGAGCTACAAGCTTTTCCAGATCTCGTTGTGCCTTTGAAAATCCTAAATATATTTTATGCAATTCATGGTATTACTATTAATGTAATAAAATTATTGTTTATATATAATTCAGTAGCTATAATACTTTATATTTGGAACCCTTAAATACTAGTTTGTCACAATAATAAAAACTAATTAAAAAGAAGTAATTGAATAGTAATTAAAAAGAAAAAAACAAATTTCTATTATGATGCATAAGTAATACCTAATTGTTGAATGGAGCAACATGTGGATAATCCTTGCTCGTCGATAATTGCTGCTGCTTCATTTCCACATATGTTATTAGTTTCAGCAAATCCCATATAATTATATGATCCAACATTGATCACTTCTGTTTCAGTTCCTGTGTACCTAATAAATATGAAACTTTAATTAAACGATTAATTAATTCATAATATTAAACATTAAATGATTAATTTAATTAATTCATATATGAATGATTAATTAATTTAATTCATAATGTTAATTCTTCACAAAAAAAAAAAAAAAAAAAAAAAATTCAAATGTTTGCTTCTTTTCATCCTTCAGTTTTTTGAAAGCAAACTAATAACATCAATTTTGAGCAAAGAAATTATTGAATACTTGTTTATCCCCAACCAAAAAAAGTGTAAAATGTTACTTATAAGTCCAGTTGTAATCCTCAGAAGTACGATCCAGAAGTTTTACAGTTGCTCCTGGAACACTACAAATTGGTCGTTCAAAAACATCTCGTACACGCATGTAACAATTTCGTTCGTAAATAGCTTCAAATTCTGAGAAAAGTGGCACGAAGTTCTGAAAATCAAAATTCTGAAGAAAAAAATAATACGGAAATGAAAAAAAAAAAAAAGGACATTTTTCTTAATTGTTTAATTTATCTACCAAATTTATCAAAATTAAGTTCGAAAAATCAAAGTACTAACCTGTTCTTCTGGTCTTTCAACAGCAGCAAAATTCTTTTCAATGCCGTGCCTTCGAAGCAATTCTCGTAAGAATGCAAAAATCATCAAAACAGTCCAACAAAAGTAAACAGAGAGTGAAGTCAAGAAACTTTTCTGGAAAAAAAAAAAAAAAAAAAAAGAGTTTGATTTAAAATTGTGGAATTTCTTAATCAACATAAATGAAGTGATAAAATATTTCAATAGTTTGATTGCATTGAGATCCATGTACGAATTTTAAAATGAATTTGTCACAAATCAGTATCAATACTATCTTATTTTCGTAACCTTCATTTAACCAAGAGTTTTGGATAACAAATATTTATGAAAGTTTTAAAATAAAAAAATTATACTGCCATCTTGTAAATAGTTCTGTGCAATCGGTATTACGTCAGAAATGTAAATATGCACTAGGTAACATCTTAAAATTACAACAATGAAGTATACCTGGTCGAATTCATTTCCGCTAGATCTTTGAAACTTTTCTTCATGCTTCGATTTAATAAATCCATTCTGAAATTCCCTTGCGAAAATTTTGTTACAAATGAAATTTGATGAATACAAAAAATACTAGTGCTATTCGATAATATATGCTTAGTGAAATTTTATGGTACTCAGAAGTTGTAGCTAGAAATTAATCAAAAAAGAAGGCAGAAATTCACGATATTTAGGATCTAAATAAATTTACACACAAATTAAACTACCCATTTGTTACTAAGTTACAAATAATTACTTCCAACAATGAAATTTGTTCATTCGCAAATTCAAAATATATTTCAACAGCATTACTTTTGTGCAACTGTCCCCTTTAATGATCTAACCTATCCGGAAATACATACCTGTTGTGACAATTCAGTTGACACATTATAGTTAGATTCTCCCTCACATCTGTTAATATTCCACGAGTATTCTTTGATATCACTAAGCGTCTGATAATACCTGCATGTATGCTATATACGCATGTGATTAACATTTTATTTAAAAATAAAAAATTAATCCAATAATTAGCGATTAACAATTAAGCAATAGCAGTCATTAGTTAATAATCTGATAGAAATAAATTTTCAGTATTTGGAATGTTTTCTCTTTCTCAATTTTTTCGATGATTTTGAAAAGAAGATAAAAATCAAAAAAAAAAAAAAAAAAAAATTGCAAAATAATTGATTTCAAAAAGAATGAAAACAAAAATAATATTACAATAAATAATGGTAGCAAAGAAGTGAAAGAATGTAAAATGATTCATCAATATTATCATTAATAATAGTTTAAATGTATTACAAATATAACATACAAAAATTAAATAGGCAAAGAGAAAGGGAGAGAGAGAAAGAGAGGAGAAGGGGAGAAAAAAATGAAAATAAAATCTGAAAAAAAAAACAGAAGAAAATTCTCAGATCACATTTTCTTTCAATTCTTTCATTTTCAAAAATATCATCAGAATGTTATGAAAGTGAAAAAAAAGTTTTTCTGTAATTTAATTCAAAAAAAAAAAAAAAAGAAATAATACTTTTCGGACGATTCCACAAATGTATTAGTATCAGGTGATGTTATTGTTGATTGATGATGGGTTAAAGTTGAAGACTGTAATGCTAATGATGGACAAATATCATATGGTATCTTCCGTAATGTTTCCGATATTTTGGAACATTCCTGACCAGTTAACGGTAATGAATCCAATGATACCGTCTCATCCATTCAAGATTTAGTTGGTTTCCTGTAATGGAATAAATAAAGCAATTAATTTAATTGTGAATATTTTTAGTAAACATAATGCAATGATCATTTCAAAAATTTATTCCGTACAACTGATAGCTGGAAAACGCTTCCACCGACGAAATATGGATAATAACATCCGGAAATTGAATTACAGTATAGTGTTGAAATTAGGAAAATGTTACATCATCGAAAGATTCAGAAAGTTAAACATGATAAATACTATGAAAGAGTTTACCGGAACATTAATCAGAAATACTGGAAGAGGTATAGGAGAAAGTACGGAAAATTCGAAATGCATGTAAATATATATAAAAAGAAATAATTAAAAAAATAAATATTGAATAAAAGAAGAGTTAAACAAAATTTTATCTTAAATTTCACTAATTTTTCTTTCGATTATTTTCTAAAATTGATTATTATTCAATTTTTCTAAATCGTTTCCGATTGAGAACTTTTCGATTTATTAGTTTTCGACTTTTCGTCTTTTCAACTTTATCACTGATCACCAAATAATTGTGAAATTCAATCCAGCATTACCGATACTGTGTATGTATGAAGAGGAAATGATCAGCAAACGTAACACACGTACGTCAGTGATAAAAAGTCACAGCGTACAGCGCAACAACTAATGACGCAATTGTATAGCATCTACTACTAATAATGGAACAAGGAAATGTTTAGAGGTCACATGAAAACGCTTCAGTGTTTCAAATTCTAATTTTGTGTGATAGTAACGTACGTACATACACACATACACACGCATACACACATACATATGCAGACAAACACACACATACACAGACAGACACATACATAGGTATGCATGGGGAGACAGGTAGACAGTTGTAGGGAAGGGATTACACGAGTAACACAGTAAGCGTGCGTTGATGTGTTGACCTCAAATGCTCACCTTTGGCCTTTCAGTTGACAAAAAAATGAGGAAGGAGGGAGAGAGAGAGGGAAAGGGTGAGAGAGAGAGGGAAGGGATGAGAGAGAGAGGGAGAGAGTCTTCTATAATGAGAATGAAATATGTGATCGTCTAACTTTCAAAAAAAAAAATCACCTATACCTCGTTTAACACCCACTTACGCCATAAAAATCTAAAGATGATCTATGAACGAAATGAGAGGAAAGGAAGAGAGAGAGGGAGAGAGGAAAGAAGAGAAAGGGAGAGAGAGAGAGAGAGAGAGGGAATGTAACGATACTAAATTTTTGTTACAAAAGGAAATATCGGTCTCAATAAATTTTCACCCTCTTTTTCTTAGTTCTTTTTTTCAGAAGATTGATAGATGCGATAGATTGGTTGCGACGATTTAATAATGATCGATCGAGAGTGAGCTCATTCGAGAATGATTTATCCCGCGATTGCTCATTTACTGAGAAATGATTGGTCACAAGTTTCTCTCGATAGATAACGATACAAATTGAGAATAGTAAAGTTTATAATTTTTTAAAAATTTTAAAAACAAAATTTATATATTTGCAGTTTATAAATGTAAAAATTTTTAGTGATAACAATTTGGGATAATTGTATAAATGTGCGAAAGTAATTACAATCATACTTTACCCATATTTTACCCGTTGGTAGTAACCAAAGCGTTGTACAAATTAACCCGAAATCCCGATATCATGATAAGATATAACATGAATGTTTAAAATTTAGCATAAAAATCAGTTAGGCTTTTAATGGAACAATTTAAATGATTTTCAATTCAATTTATCTCTAATAAATCTTGAAATTTCCAAAATATATGCCCAGGTTTAATTGGTCATAAATTACAATCAGATTATATTTGAATTAAATAATTACAACATTTATTTCCTTTTTTCGTCACATGCAATGCGACATTTCCGCTATACACGAATGCTATGGTGATGATATAGCTTCTAAGTAAAGTATAATAATATAATATTTTAGATAAAAAAATTTAAACTAAAATTTATCATTTGGAAAGAAAGAATCATTTACACAATGGTCATAGCATTACATATACATACCATTTTCTCATATTGTAAAAGATTTTTAGCGCTGATAGAAGCGATAAACAAGCAGTAAGCAATGTAAAAATAATATATGCAATTTTTTTTTTTTTTGTTTTTTGTTCAAATATTTGTTATGATATTGTGATTTAAATAGATAAGTATTTTCTTTTTCTTCTTTTTTTGATTTGATTAAAATGAAATGAAATAAATAAATGAAAAGGATTAAATTTTTGTAGTTATGATATATAAATATATAAAATAGAAGGCAAATGTATTTTTTAATTTTTCAATCAAATTTATTAAAGTTATTTAAGAAATCTAAACTGTATTGCATCAGTTATGTAATCAGTTAATGTAATATTCAATATTTGGAAACAAATAAAATGTGTATAAATTTAGAATTGGTAGTAAATAAGTGAATTAGGCTCGTTAACTAATTAGGCTTTTTTGAAAAACGAATGAATCATAATGTGAATTAGGCTCATTAACTTTAAGAATATTTAGCGCCACATTGAAATAATTATTAACTAGGTGAAAGTCTCAGTAAAATGAGTAAATAAATATTTCAATTCTTCTATATCAGTATAAGTTAATAATATGCTATTAAGGTAATTTGTTGAGGAATTTGACGTTAATATTTAATATTTACTTCTTGTGAACACGTAATGAATCATACTTACGTGGTTTGCTTTTTCACTTCCGTACGATTATGTTTCATCGATTTATTTGTGGCTGATATAAAATGAAATATATTAAAATAATGGAAGTGCTAAGGATAAGTAAGAGAAAGGCACAATCTCAATCTAATTTCATTAATTAAATATAAAGCTAATGGCATCATTAGTGTAAAAAGAATAAAAAATAAAACATTAAATTTTACAAATGTAATAAAATTGTCCCATTTTGCTGAGACATTTTATCCCTTCCTCATTACACTTTATTTAAAACGAGAAAAAACTATTTCTAATTTATTACAAATTAAAATTCTGCTAGATAACATGAAAAACAGGTAAGATTCAAAATAAAACTTTAACAATTAGCAAAAAAAAAAAAAAAAAACGAAAGTATTGAAAAAGGCACAAAACAAAAAGTAGCACTAAAGGCCGTAATATCAGGATCAGAATTGAAGATTTGATAAGAAAAAAAAAGCAATAAGGAATTTGTTGATAACAAATACATCATTGAATGATAATACGAATTTCTCGGAGACAAATTAAAAATGCAATTTGCGTTAACAGTTGTAAATGTAATATTGTCTGATACTTAAGATGATAATAAGCGATCTAAGTGATAAAAACTAATTTAGAGATTGGTTATTTAAATAAAGCTTAGGAATAAATTTTCTTTTCCAAAATTTATAATACGTAAAATACATAGAATAATTTTTTTCCCTTTTTGTTGAATAATTTTTGAAAATAACTTTAATAATTTGAAAATAATTTTGCTAAATTTATGGTAATTTTAATAGTGTTCAGTAGTGAGAGATCAATCATTTTTTTTCTTCCTATTTTACTTATTTAGATTAAAAATTAAATCTTTAATTAAGAAAAAAAGAAAATTAACCAGTCAATTTATACAAAAGAACTAAATGTTATCAATGCATAATTTTCCTAAAATTAGTTCAAATTATCAGCATACCCGATTTTAGCATGATAAAATGATAAGTGATAAGAAGAGATCATTGATAAATAATATAATATAATATTTTACATTTATAATATCAATTCATATATCATCAGCTGCTCCGTTTTGTGGATTTTCCGGTATTAGTGGTAGTAATACTGTATTCTGCTCAGCATGAACTTTTAATTCTTTTATTGGTTTCCGTAAACGGATAAATTTCTCTTTTACGATTAAATCATTTGGTATGAAATCAGCTCGAAATGAATTACTAGCATTTTCCTTATAATCATCAATTGATCCACGACTTTCAGATAGCTAAAATAATTGTAAAAATAAATTTATGATTAATAACAAAAGTTGAACATTTTTCTTTTTCTCTTTCTCTTTCTCTTTCTTTTCATTTTTTTTTTATTTCTTAGAGCAAAACAAAATTACATTTGGAAAAAGATCATTTCCGGAAATTTTATTTGCAATTGGGAGAAAAAAAAAAAATGATAATTAGAGGAAATGAAAAAATTATTTGATGAAAAATTAATGTAATACTTTTTCTTCAACTTCATAAAATGCATTCCAAAGTGATAATATTAGATCGGTGCCGAATAGTACACCAGCATGAATTTCAACCATTCGTAACACAAATAAACCATCGCATCTTAAATAACTTCGCACAAAACGATCCACTTCTTTTGTCTTAGCTAAAATTTATTTTATTTAAACAACGAAAAAAAAAAACGAAAAATTAACGGTAGTTATTTATCGCAATTAATCGATTATTTATTAAAAATAATAACTGAATAATTTAATTATTTATTAATTAATATATGTGTATTTTTTCAATATATAACTTTTTTAATTAATATATGATTTTTGGATGTAATTATATATTTGCTTTTTTTTTTATTCGTCTCTAAATTTAAATGAGTTTAATCAGTTTTATGTTATAGAAAATTATTTGAATTCATGCAAGTATGTGTTGAAGATTGTTTTCATCATTTCTCTTTTTGCTGTTATTTTTAACTTACTTAAATGATAAATTAAAAATTAGAAAATAATTTTTCAATTTTAACTATTAAATAATACTTTAAGTTTGAAAAGATGAAAAAAAAAAAGAGAGAGAGAGAGAGAAGGAAAAAACGAGTAACTTAATGATATTTAAATTGAATAAAGTACTTACTATCAGGATCAAATTTCATTTCAGATAATTCCAAACTTTGTGAAATAAACCAACGACCAAAACATGGACAAGTTAGAACGATAAACCAATAAATTAATGATAAAATAGTACAAAGGACAAGAAATAAATACCAGAACCAAAGGAAAACAAATATTTTCTCATTGAACATATTTATAACCAAAACACATTGAACAGAATATCGTTGAATATTACCAACTTGTCGAACCTTAAAAAAAGTATTCAAAATTTAATTTCTATATTCTTGCAACAAATCTGTTTTTTTTTTTTTCTCCCTTTAATTCTTCAAAATATTTTGCATATTTTCTTTTCTTTGCTAATCCAAATTAAATTTGTTACAAAAAATAGAAATTAAGAAAAAATTTTGAAAAATCTATTAATACTTTTTTTTTTATATATATATACTATTTAACTAACCGTAAAATCACACACTGAAACACGAGGAAAATAACCGGATGTTGTCCATTCGGTACCATTTACAATATCTCTTATTACATCAAAACCATACCAACTAGATCCATCTGTTCGTAAAAATCTAAAATTCAAAATATATTACAAAAAAAAATTGATCGAAAATTTTTTAGTAATCAAAATGATTTAGCTAATTTTATAAATGATGGTAAAAAAATTAATACCAAATTGTATAAAGTAAAAGTTAAAATATATCAAAACATTTAATTATTATTTTGAATTGAAATATATCTAAACATTTTACTTTATTTTCATTTTTTTTAATTTTTATTTCAATTTCATTATTTTTTTTAACTTTTTAAATTTTTATTTTGATTTCACCTAAATTTCATTTCATTTTCATAACAGAAGAATACAATATCATTCATAATATTGGATTAAGCAAAATTTTATTTTTGAAATGTAAAATGAATAGCAATAACCTATGCTAGGCTAACAAGAAAGTGGTGCTAGATGAATAGCAAAAATTTACTGAGCAAACAAGAAAGTTTAAGTTTTATTTAGCAAATAGAAGAAAAAAAGAAGATTAATTTACTTGTTAAGTATGCATAATTGTAGAATTGCATTCGCAAGATATAATGTTTTAGTAACCAAATACATTAATGATATAAAAAATGCCGTATAACGAACATTTAAAAATTTTAATCGTTTATGAACTTCAATTTTACGCCTGCAAATAATTAATTATTTTCATTTAAATAATAAAAATTTATTAAAATGTAATTAATTAAAGTTAAAACAAAAAAAAAAAAATGTTGAAATGTTAAACAAATATTAGCAGAACTTTAATATTCGTCGATGAAATTTCAAAGCATTTTGCATATGACGTGTTAAAGTTTCAATATTTCGACTTCTAATATTTTCATCAAGATTTGATGGATCCATTGCTTTTTCCACTATTTCATGAATTCGTATTCCTAAAAGTAAAATAAAAAAGTGCAAAATGTTATATTAGCTAAAAGAGAGAAAAAAATTTACTAATTTATAAAATACATTTAAATTGTGCAGAAAAACAAAAACAAATTAATATTTATTTACCTGAGCTAAATGATAAATAATTCCAGAATATACTTGGCATTCGGAAACATGCAGCTTGTAGAAGTAAAAAAAATGGTACCCATTTATAGTATGATAACTGTCTTTCCGGTATATATCTTTCTTCCTGTCTTATTGTTGCTACGTGAACATCCGGTTGCACGTAATATGTATCACGTGACCAGCAGTAATTTTCTGCATACTAAACAATAAATTAATATAGGAATTATAATTAATTTTATAAAAGTCATTTTAAAACTTTAGCATCAACAGATTTAGCAAATTCATTTTGAATAATTGATTAATTAATTATTAACTGGGTTGCACGTAATACGTATCACGTGGCAAACACTAATTTTCGTGCATACTAACTATTGATTTAATAAATAGAATTAATTTTAAAAAATTCAATTTAAAAATTTAGCAAATTATGAATTCATGCTAAAATCAACAAAAATTAAATGAACATTAATTAATATAAACGTTATATTAGAAAATGTACTGCACTGACAGAAGAAAAAAAAAAAAAGCACTTTTAATTCATTTAAATTTGATTCATTTTATAAGATAATTTTTAATTTTAATTTCTAATTTCTTTTTTTTTTTTTTATTCAAGTTTACTTCTTTTTTATTAAAATAAGTAAAATTTGAAAAATTTTTTTAAAGTGCATTTCTGTTTTTGTTTTTGTTTTTTTTTTTTTTGTTTAAATTTCAAAAAGAAAAAAGAAAAAAGCAACTTGTTCCCATGATCCAGGAAATTTGTTAGGAAACATGCATTCCAGTGGTCGACCACCAAATTGCTTGAAACTTATTAAAACAGCAAATGCAAGTAGTATATTACTACTGTAAAGATAATGCAATCGATCGGTCGCATCATCATCCTCTTTCGGTGACAAATACCGAATCATTGAAATTAGTGATTCGATCATCATCTATTTAATATTTCTGTCACATTTATATTACTCATCATAAAATTAAACAAAAAGCGTTAACGATTACAATCAGATAATTATAAATTTAAAATAAATTTTAACTTTTGTACGAAAAACAGCAAAAAAACAAGAAAAAAAGGAAATGAAATTTAATATACAAAAGTTAAAATTTATTTAAAATTTATATATTAATAATAATATTAGTAAAAAAAAAATGAAACAAGATAAAATTTAATATATTAAATTCAATGTATTAATAATAATAATAGAAAATGAACAAATTAAAAGACAAAAATGGTCAAAATAAGTTCCATTAATTTAAAGGCAATTGCAAAAAAAAAAAAAAATAGTAAAGGATATATGAATTTTTTTCAATTATTATCTGTGTTTCATTTTTTTTTTTTTTTTCATTTTTTATTTGAATCATAAGTTACTATTAAATATCATAAATTGCAACAATTTTTCAATCATTCATTGCATTTGTAACAAACAAATAGCAAAAGAAATAGTTGCAAATTTCTTTCATTTTATATTTAAAAATAACAAAAAAAAAATTCAACACTTTTTTCAAAAAAAATGAAAAAAAAAAGAGAAAAGAATGAAAAATGAATCGATTTTGCTGTATATATGCTAAAGTATTGTAACTATTGAATTGCTTAAAGAGTAAAAGTATCATCGATATATTTAATGAGTAATATCTTATTTGTTTAATATAAATTTTGCTGAAAAACAATTTTTTATTTCTTTTTAAATTGTTAGGAAAGAAATTGGTTGCATTAGAATTGATTGAAATGATCAATGTGAAAAGGGACAAATTAATTGTTTACCTTTACTTTTTATGACAAAGTATTCAAAATGTAAACAACTTCATAAAACATTGTTATTAATGTTTTTCTTCACCCTTTTTAGCCATAGTTTGCGTCATATCTGAGGACTAAAATTTAAAATGTGATTATAAAAATGACAAGTTGGTGACATCAATTTCATCAGAACTACAACAGCGAGGGAGAGAGTGAAGGGAACGAAAAGGGAGGAAGAGAAAGAGTTGAATATATCATACAAAACAAATTATCTATTTCGTTTGATGACCAATACACATTGAGTTTTACTAAATGATTCCGCAAAATTTTCCGGAATTTTTTCCGGAAAATTATGTGCGTATGTTCTCAAAACGAGGAACTAAAAACAGGAACCGACAATTCAGGATGAATACTTATGTGTCATTTGAACTGAAAATTCAATCGAATTATTAGTTTCAATAGATAAAATTTATGTTTAAAAATTCCTTGCGCATGTGTGTGTGTCATTATTGGTTCGAATCTAATTAATTTCAATAATCAAATAATTAAAATATTTTCTTATCAAATAAATCTGAGTGCAAAATATTATCATTAATCATATCGAAATCTTAAACATTGATAAACTGATTTTGATATCATTATCAATGCTAGCACAACTTAATATTAAGCGTAGTAACATTGAACAAATATAAAATCACACCAAAACTATTGGATGAGTAGAGAAGAAGAGCTCTTTATTTCAATGATCATAATAGAAAATTTTTCAAAAGCTAAGTCAATTTTTTTTTTCCTGAGAGTTTAAAAAGTTTTAAGTGTTATTTATCATACCATCAAACCTTATCACACTTCATTTCAATCACTTTATCATCCTTCTTTTTCTGTTCTTTCTAAAGTTTACACTTAAGAAAGAACAAAAAATGCACTAAACAAATGGATAGTACAAACACGGAAAAGTCAATCAATTGATGTAACCAACTGTTTAACAAATTGTATCATTCATTCATTATTTGAATTATTTGAGATATGTATATCGTATCGTACGAGAATTCAAGAAGCCAGCAGATAAAGAACGGTATTACGGTAGCTATACCGTAGCCTTATCAATGTATACTGTAGAATCTATCTTCTATTGCCTTTTTTATAATTTCAAAAAAAAAAAAAAAAAAACGAAAAAAATTTAGCAAAATCAGTTTTTTATATGTATATAATCTATTTCATATTGTGAATAGAAGTGAACCACTGATAATGTCTATTCGAAGCTTTTAAAAGTTACAAAATTAGTTATTTGCAGATATAATTTTAATCGTTCACGGACTGTAATCATTATCGATATTATCATGATCTTCAATAATCGCCACAATCACCGTTTTTATCATCATTACCATTATCATTATCACTCCCATCATCGTCATCATCGTTATCATTAATCAGGTGATAATATAAATTTTTTTTAAAAAAAAGAACAATATAAATCAAATTTGTAAGTTAAAATGATTCAACAATTTTTCTTTTTTCATTTTCTTTTACTTCCTTTGAAGAAATAGTGAAGAAATCGAGAGGGAAGGAAGAAAAAATAGAGGAAATTAGATAAATTTGATTATAAAATATCATATTAAAATATCATTCATTGAAAAATAACTGTAGAGTAGTTCGTTTTCGATGAAGCATAAAATGATGATTGAAGTAGTTTGAGAGAAAGCAATAAACGTAAGTATAAGTAGTTTTGCTTACATTGCTTCTCATCAGGAAGTATTTTAAAAGTAGAAAAAAAAAGAGAAGGAAAGATTAAGACAATAACGAGGAAAAAAAAAAGAGATAGCAAATCAAAATATGAGCGAAATAAATTGTTTAAATAGTCAAGATGGAACAATTTTTTTCTTTTTTTTTTTTTGTTTAATGATCAAATTGAATTTTTTTTTTTTTTCAAAATGAAAACTTCAAGATTTTAAACAGATTTCATTGAAATATGTATTAAGTGATAGAATAGACAAATCTTAATGATAAAGAAAACTTTTTTTTTTTTTTTTTTTTAAACAACCGGTAGAGTAATCGGAAATGGAAATGTGAGAATTTGATATATTTGACAAGAATTGATGATATATCTTCATGAATTCAGATATGAAACTGTACGGAAAGAAAAAAAAATTATTTATTATTATTATTATTAATTGATAAAAATATTTGAGATTGTCGTAGCGGAATAATCTAACCGGATTAGATGATATATCTTCATGAATTCAGATATGAAACTGTACGGAAAGAAAAAAAGGATGTAAAATAAGAGAGATGAGTGAATTTAAAGAATGAATAACACATTTTCCCTTCCTTGCATATATCGAATCGTTCTTAGCTCTCTTCAAACGATCCACCGATAAATTAATTCTTCGTTTTAACAATAACTGAAGCAAGCAGAGAAAAATGGTATAATGAAATCTATTCTATTCTATTCTATTCTATTCCCATTCTATTCTATTCCCATTCTATTCTATTCCCATTCTATTCTATTCCCATTCTATTCTATTCCCATTCTATTCTATTCCCATTCTATTCTATTCCCATTCTATTCTATTCCCATTCTATTCTATTCCCATTCTATTCTATTCCCATTCTATTCTATTCCCATTCTATTCTATTCCCATTCTATTCTATTCCCATTCTATTCTATTCCCATTCTATTCTATTCCCATTCTATTCTATTCCCATTCTATTCTATTCCCATTCTATTCTATTCCCATTCTATTCTATTCCCATTCTATTCTATTCTATTCTATTCTATTCTATTCTATTCTATTCTGTTCTATCCCTATTCCTATTCCTATTTTATTCTATTCTATTCTATTCTATTCTATTCTATTCTATTCTATTCTATTCTATTCTATTCTATTCTATTCTATTCTATTCTATTCTATTCTATTCTATTCTATTCTATTCTGTTCTATTCCTATTCCTATTCCTATTCCTATTCTATTCTATATCAAAATATTAACAATTTGAAATGTTATTTGATCAGGAATATTTTTTCTTTTTTTTTTTCATTTCATCTTATGATCCTATTTTGATAAATATTATAAGATTTAATAAGTATAAAACCTTTTACAATGTAATTTGAAAATATTTTTATGAAATAAAAATAGAAGAAAAAAAAAGAAAAAATTGAACAAAGTAAAATTACTTTTCCAGTATCATTTCAAATCATTTTTACCTTTTATAGAAGAAGGATTTTACCGCTATAATATGAATAAAATGATTTTAATTTATTTAACAAACATAAAATATGGCAATGATTGAATAAAGAAGAATAATGATAGTATCAACTAGGTGCAACTGTACGATAAATCGGGCGGAAATATGCCAATGTACCTAAATAGCACGAGAAATTTGATTAGTCACGCAGTGAATGTATGATATGATTGAGATAAAAATGCAATGATTGAATTGCTAATGGCCATATTTATAATATTTGAATACATACGTCATCAGCGCATCTCAGCTATTTTTGGACAAATGCGCCAATTATTATTGAGTTAATCATTAATATAAAATGCATTGTTATAGCATTAGGAATGTAATAAGGTTACTAATTTATTGATTTTGCCATCATAATAATAATAACAAAGTAGTGTGTTTTGAATAGGGACCAGGATTAACACGGTAAAACACGTGATGAGTCACGTGCGTGAATGTCAATTTAAATAATCGTAAAATTTTTTTTTTTGCTCCATTGATAATAATGAAATAATGGTCTTCAAATATTTCCAATAATGATGAAAGATTTAAGAATTGAATTGAAGAATTAATTTGATATAACTAAATTAGTTGTATTTCAAATTAATATATTGAATAAATATATAGAAATTCAAATAAGTAAATTAATTTCCATTAATTAATTAATTAATATGCTAAAGAATATTTTGTGAAAAAAAAAATTACAACAGTGCAGTACACTTTTTAATACTAAAATTAAATGCTAAATTATTAGATGAATGTAATTTGAAATTACAAAATTAAATGCTAAATTATTAGATGAATGTAATTTGAAACAAATCATTTCATTTCATTTCACTTTCCTAATTAAAACTAACCGTAACCCATGAATTAGGGAAAGTTGTCGGTGGCATACATTCGATTGCTTTTCCATCAAACATTTTCCAAGCTGTTATTGTACTTACTGCTACTAGTAAATTTGCAGTTAGAAAGTAATGTAAACGATCGATATTATCTTCACCATATCGTTTACTAATTACTTTCAATGAATTTAATAATGCTTGAATTGACATTCGAAACTGTACACTGAAAGATTGTCAACAACCATTTTTTAAAAATATTTTAGCTGAAAAAAAAAAAAGAAAGAAATTGAAATATATTTGAAATTTTCATAGCATTTTATACATATATATGGTAGTCTATGTTAAATTAATTATGAAAATTTCAAAGCTATAATTTATGTCTTTTATTTTGTTAATTGTTATTGCATAATAAACTCTTTTTTTTTAAAAAAAATAACAAATATTTTACAGTGTAACTTAGCAAAAGCATTTATTTCATAATAAGCAATGATTCAGAATAATTTTTCTTCTTATTTTATAAAAATTGCAATCAAATATAATTCAAAAGTTTCAAAACACGAAGTTTAAATATTTTAGAGGAAAAAAAATAGAAGAAAATAGCTGTGAAGTTATCATTTTTCTTCCTCAATTTTGAAATATTTGAACGAAAAAAATTCAATTTAATTCACAAGCAATCAATTTTATAGCATATGAAAATAAAATAAAATAAAAATTAAAAAGAAAAAATAAGCAAACAAATAATGCTAACTTAAAGCTTAAATGAAAAATATTGTGTGAAGAAAACAGAAAGAAAAAAGAAATTAAAACAAAAGGATAAATCTATTAGAAATGTGATGTAAACAATTTGTTTTCTTTCAAATTATACGATTGTTTTGATTTCATATAACAATTATTAATTATAAAGTGCTAAATAAAAACTTTAATTCAAAATTTTTGTAATTTAATTAATTCAGTTAATTAAAATACTGTCAAATTATGCTATTTTCTTCATCCAAATGATAACAGTAACAATGATAATGATAAACAATAATAAACAATGATAGGAATAAAAATAATGATAATGATAATAACAATAATAATAATATGAAATTGTTATAAGTTTAATAATTGAATAATGATTAGATGAAATTTAGAAATGCGAAAATTTTGTGCGAAAGATGAAATCAATCGATCGTAACAATAAACATTCATTTCATTTCCTGTTTCCATACCTTTGCACACCTGCAATTTGCTCCATTCGTTACAGTTTTGGAAAATTTTAACAAATCAATAATTTCAGAAACTAAAATTATTATCGAATAAATTTTTATCTTTTCATTTCAATAAAATTTTTTCATCCGTTTCTCTTTTTCATTTCAATAAAAATTTTTCATCTCTTTTTCTGTTTTTGTAACTTATTTTAAAAATAAAATTGATAAAAATTTCAACAAACATTTTTTCAAGTTAAATTATCCACGCATTTTTAATTCGCTTTTTTTTTTTTTAATTTTTATTTTGATATTTTAACGAATGCATATTGCTTCCTTCGTTTTTCTTTTTTTCTTTTATCGATGAAATAATTTATCATTGAATTATCAGAATTAAAAAAAAAAAAAATTAAAAAAGAAAAATCTAAGTTTGATGCAAATAAAACTGTATGATACATGTTTTATCAAAGTATTTTCTCTTTTGCTTTTACTAAACGATAAGAATAGAAAAATTCAACTTCAAATGTAAAAATTACTCATCATTATTTTTATTCTTTTGCAATTTTCATTTAATACATAAGCATACATAAACTTTTCTCTACAAATTTTTCTTCTGCTAAGAATATTTCGCATTTTTGTCTTTTCATTTTTCTTCTCAAGATTTTTTACAAAAAATTGATAAAAGTAGGAAAGGAAAAAAAAAAAAGTATGAGAATTATTTATAACTTAAATACTACATAAACTTTCATGTGTATCTGTTAAAGTATACGTCAGTTTCAGTTATTTTACTTACGTGAAATATTGCTACACACTTATTTTTGTTCTCATTTATTTCTAGATTAAAATAATCACTGAATTTCGATGTAATTCATTGTGTTGTTGATGTATGGAATCAAATGCAATAACGAATCAATTTGTTTATATATCACATATTTTGCTTATTACACATAAATTATTTCACTGATTGTATATGAAAATTTGATAGGAAAAAAAAAAAAAGGAAAGTTATTAATCAAAAAAGTTAAATTAAAATGCTGTTTGAACGAACAGAAGGAAACAAATATAGTGGACTAGAAAACGGTAAATTCTGCAAAGTTTCCAAAAAAAAAAAACATATGAATTATACAAATTTCTTATCATTAAGAATTCAGCTAATAAGTTAGTTAATCAAGCAATCTTTTTATCCATCTACCTAACTCGAATTCATTAATATTCAAAAGATACATTGTGCTATCAATGAAAATTCATTGTTGATAATAAATAATGTATTTGGGAAGAATTAATAAGATAGGGAATAGTTCTACTAAAGAGAAAATGATACATAACAAGGTGAACTTATACAATGCTAGCCTAAAATATTCACCTCAAACAAAAAAAAAAAAAAGATTTTATTTGGGAATCCAGTTATTACTAGTCTAGAAATTAAGTATAAAATAAATATGCTTTTCTGGGAAAGTAAATTTTGGCTCTATTATTATTAAAATTTGTTTCCTCCAAAGAAATTTCATCCTTTTCAAAAGCTTAAAATGTACACTATTTCATGCTCATATCCTGCCTGACCCGTAAAAATCAAAAACATTTTTTTTCCCTCTGGAGCTGATTCACACTCTTACTTTTGTTCCATTCAGTAAAATCAATCAGAAAATACAATAATATGCTGTTATAAAAGTAATAAAATGAATTTTCTACAAACAAACAGAAATTAAAAACTGATATTTCAAGACGAAAAAAAAAAGAAGGCAATAATACCCAAACAATATATCCCACAAATTCATAAATGATGAAGAAAAAAGAAGTCACGCTCACCTCGTCCAATTAAATTAATATCTATCCTTCATTTTGAATGTTCCTATGAATTTCATACAGTCCACCAAGAGTTCAAATAGATAATTCCTAATTTCATGTTAAAGAGAACGTACTGTAGTTTTGCAAATATGTTTTGAATGTAAACAGCTTAAAAGTCTCAATTGTATAATGGTTCCGAAATTAGACATTCAAATTATTCGAAACAGAAGACGAATCCTAAATTCAGTCATCCAGAAGAATCTATGGATTCTGGTGAGGTTAATCAAAATATATTACACATTTCTTACTTTCAGCAATTGTATACAGCACTGTTTAAAGTGAATGGTTGCACGAGACCAAAAAATTTGGTTCAAAATTTCCCAGTTCACTACTACCATAAATTCGTTCAGGAATCTAATGTAGGATAGATGGGATCTTCATCACGCTTCGATGGTGGAATCAAATGTTTCGGCAGTTCGAGTGGTAATTCATGCCCTAAAAATTAATACGTGAATTACTTGAAATAGTCTTGTTATTTCTGTTTGCTCTCTTCACATCAATTTCTCGACTGTTATTCATAAGTTATTTATCAATATTATCATTTCAAATTTTCACCAATCATAAAGACAGCATTACCAACATGTGCTCTCCTCAAAAATAAAACGTAATTTTAGCCATAATCAAATCTTAAAATGCTAACCTTCAAGTTTCAAATTGATTAAATAGTTAGCAAGAGCAAATTCATCACTATCCAACATTCCATCTTTGTCAACATCCGACAGCTTCCATATTTTACCCAAAACAGCATTTGGCAATTTCGATTTGACCATATGTTCCTTTGCTGCTCGACCTTAACATAATATATTTTTCCTATCCATTGATAAATCCTACCATTGAAATAGAATAATGAAATTGTTGCACGAAGCAATTAGTATTTCACGACATACATGTAGTAATTAACGACTGTTTAGTTTTTTGCATGTTTTGAGTATTAATTGCTTCTCAGATCAAAAAAAAAAAAAAAAAAAAAAAAAAAAAAAAACAAAACAAAACAAAAAATGGAAAAATAAAAATTCACCTGTTATTTTGCCATCTATAGGATCCAAACTATCAAACATTTCATCTGCCTTGTATCTTTCTCGAGCTACTACCCAACCCGATTCATTAGCACCCTTATCAAAACCTTCGCCTTTACCAAAACCAAAGGGAGTTTCTGATTCAACAGCTTGATCAAAAGCGCCACCATGAACCTAAATAAAGAAATGATCAACATGCACATATCAACAACTTATAACACCTTATAACTTAATATGGACTGTTATTAAAAAAAAAAAAAAATTAAAGCAAAACAAAATCAACCTCTGCCTGATGAGGTTGAAGCAAACCGTTTGTAATTGGAGTATTCTCTTCTTTTGGAATTTGAGCCATCAATCGAGCTGGAAATTTTTTACAATCATAAAACGCTTATAAAAGAATAGAATCCAAAAGAATCGTTTTACTTAATGGACTTAATGACTTAATGAAGAATGTGCGGAATAATTTTCAACTCGTTGTTTGGGTGCTTATCTGAATAGACATGATGTACTGAAGAGTTAAATAAGGTTCAGTAGTTTTGAGAAATAATTTATCAATTGGTAGCAATGAAAATTGCTCAAAAAAGTATTTTTTTTTTAATGTACCAAATTGCATACCAATATCAGAAGCAAGCATTCCATCAACAACATCCAATAATTTTGGCTTAATTGGATTGAATTTGGTGAAATCATAATCCGGTAAATGTTCACGCATTTTGTTAATATCCGGAAAGTCGCCAGCCGAAATATTATGTTCACGCTAAAACAAGGAAAGAAACCACATCATTTTATCTTTAAAAAAGACTTATAGTGTCAAAGTATAACCATAAGAAAAGAAATTTTGGCTTAACATGTATGAAATCGAAATTAAATTTAAAAACTGGAAATTGATACATAAAATGATTAAACAGAAAAAGGAGAAAAAGAAATTATTAGCAGTGCACAGATCAGAACGAGCATAATATTATTAGACATTCAGTGAACGAATATACCTGCAACTGTTCGAATATTTTATCAAGATTTTGAATAAGCTCTTTCTTTTTTTTCTCCTTACCAATCATTGAAGGCATCTGTTTGCGTAATTCTGCTATGATGAATGCATGCACCTAAAACAAATTGCTTGTCTAAAAAAAAAAAAATACAAAAAAATCTTTACGTTTGACAACAAATACCACCTCTCACGATAAGAATTAGTGCAAAACTCAAAACTCAAAAAAAAAAAAAAAAAAAAAAAAAACTAAACCTTAGCAAGCCTAGCCCGTTTGATAAGATCATTGAGTTTCCTTAATGCTGCATTCCTTGGTAATGCTTGCAAATCAGCGAACAAATCATGTTGCTCATCTTGGAAAAGCCTTCGATTTATGTCAAAATGCAAAGGATGATCCCAGAATGTACCAATATATACTCGTGATACCTCTGGAGTTTTAAATACCTGTAAATAAAATAAAGTTCGTTGAAATAACTTTCGCGAACACCAAAAGCATGTCATACAGATATAAGTCAGGAAAAAACTTCAATTGGTAAGATCCATTCTTAAAACGTATTGAAAATTGAGTGAAACTAGACCTTTCCCAAAGACCACATAAGTGCTCCATAAACACGCATTAATTGCTGATGATCAACCATGTCAGACTTGTTCAAAACAATCCTAATCTTGTCTTCATTTCCTAAAATAATCCACAATTTAGAAACACATCCTATTCCTACTCTATCATCTGATAATCAACATTCTTATTCATAGATCCCAAATATGCGTAATCAGAAAAAAATAATATAAGGTCTAAAGAGAATAAATAATGATGAAATACTGAGATGGGAATACCTGAGAGCGCTTCGATGCAACGTTTGAATTCATCTGAAATGTCTAATTTATGAGCATCGAATAACAGGATAATCCGATCTACACGCTCCGCGAACCATTCCAGAACGCCCGTGAAATCATATCCTCGATCAATTCTACAGCAAAAATTCTAATTTTATTCTGGTTTGGATTACAACTGGGTTTACGAAAAATATCAGTTTTACAGAGTTTTTAAAGGAAGTCTGTAAAGAAAAGTTTAAAATGTACGAAAATTGCATTACTATGAGCTTTCTGAGAAATTTTTAAAACTATTAGTTAAATTTTGGGATTTATTACTTCTATAATAATAAACTTTATTTTCATGAAATCTCACTTGGTTATCTCATCGAAATATGAAAAGGAAAATTTATATGTTCCTCAAAAATACCCAAAGAAAATTTCTATGTGCTGATCAGTCAAAGTTGAATCGACAAAAACATTTAAACAGCTAGTGATAAGAATTTTTTAAAAAAAACGTATGCTTAGCTACATCAGACCATAAACTAATGTAAATATATTGATTGTTTATCTCTTATTTTTTCATTATGATTCCAATAAGCAAACAGTTTTCCTTATCCTATATTTTTTGTGTATATGTCATTAAATAAATTTATCCTAAAATATTAAAAACGCAACGGCATCACACATTTGCACATACAACTAGAACAGAAGCTTCTGAATCATTCAATATGATTTTACGCAAAAATAATACAAGAGAAATTATCAATAACATACCTCTGTTTTTCTCCACTCAGTATTCCAGGTGTATCCACAATAGTGACACTTTTCAGCACTTCATTATTCAGGGTGGAACACTGAAATCGATTTAGGAATGCATTCCCGAATCTGAAAAAGTAGGATTTATAACTTCCTATAAAACTTCAGCAATTGTCAGTTGATGTTTACAATATACGAATGATTCTATATGAAAATTCCTCAAAGGAACATTTTCTAACAATGTGTAATCTGGTTCGATGTGCTAATCCGTGTTTCGCACTACAAAATAAAACGATGTGATGACCCACTAAAGGTAAATACTGAGTTAAATAGTTAGCAATAAAAAAAAAAAAAAAAAAAAAAAAAAACCACATAAATTATGCTCAGATTTGGAAAAAGAACAGTATTGATTAAAATCAAATATACCTGCTCAATGCCCTAAACTGTTTCTTAGAATCAACAACAAGCGCATTGCCAGGTATCGAACCAACATCTTCACCCCACATAACAGCAATGAATCGATCAGTTGTTGGTTCAGGCCCTATCCTGATTCCCGGGAAATCTTCCTCCAATAAGTATCGGATAAATGTTGTTTTTCCTGTTGAGTACTGCCCTACTAGAAGTATCATTGGCTTAGCATCAAAGTCAGGATCATCTGAAATAAAGAAATAATGAAATCTGAGAATAATTAGTTTTATCATACAATTATTACTAACACAACCATCCTGAATTTAAAACTAAGAAAATAAACACTAGATGATAAATGTAACGAAATGACATAATCATTCAGTCAATTCCACTCTCTAATAAGAAATGTGAAATAACTAGCTATCAGTAACAAAAGCTACACTATTGAACTAAAAGCAAAAAAGATATATAAATGATATTGATTTCTACCACTTTTTTTTTTACTTTTCCCTTTGTTTATATTTCGTAAATGTCTTTAATATTGATTGCTCAAGTAAATATACGACCACAGTAAAGTAGTATAGTCAAAATAACAGCAAAACCAAGAGATAAAAATAAATATACTTACCAAGAGCTGGTGAATGAAAATCATGGAATCTATAATATTCTTCCAGTGGTAACAATTTTTGCTTGTAAATCTTCCGCAATCCATCGCTAACAGTTTCGAGGACCTGTTTGAGATGTTTGTTAAATTTAGGTCGTGTAGTATCATCAGTATTAGTAGTAGATGTATTAAAAGCTGGCATTTGGTAGCATAAACTGTATCACTGACTCACAAATAAATACTTTCGACGATATTTGCTGAGAAGAGGAAAAAGTGGGTTGAATTCTATAATCCAAAAATGGTAGTAGTAATACAGCACTCAATTTGTTCATTTTGCTCTTTCATACGCTGTTTCCCCTCCTCCTCATCCTTCTTACCATTTAAAATAAGTACAGGTGGACGACGATCAATTCGTTTTTTTTTTTTTTTTTTTTCTCTCGTTTCAGAAAATTAGAATGTTGCAGCTGTGCATTAATTTGCGAATATTACTAATAAGAAATTCATCTGACACACATCTGCAAGGAGTTTTTTATTTTTCAATATATGCTACTTTTTGCTTTCATCTCGCCACTTTATAATGCATAAATTTTAATCAAATCATAGAAATTAGTGGGTATAGTATGTAAGCAATTTCGTTACATTGTGATGTTCCACCGGAAACTGTTCTAAGTACAATTTCCTTTAAGAAAAAAGCAATAAAACTGTGTGTATGAAAAAAGAAAAATCAACAGAAAGAAAATGAAACAGTGCACCTATCAATCAAATAAAATAGAGCAGAGCAGAAGACGTAGCTGAAAAAAAAAAAAAAAAACTAACGATGAATGCCTTAATGCATTGAGCAGAAATAGAAAAGTTTCATTTCTATGAAATGTATACCATAATGAGTCGAAGTGAGAAATAAGAAATAAGGGCAAGCCCATTTTTAATATATTATTTTCATTCACCGAAAATTGAACATACTGATAAAAAATACAATTGAATTCCTTTCCATAAGAAATTTTAAAAAATCAATTTAAGGAATGGGAAGGATTAGAAAAAAAAATTCATAACATTACTCGAACAATATTACCACCAATATGAATTACTACTGAGAGTGATTACAAGTTATTAATAAAAATAATCTTTTAATAATCAACCTATATTAACAAAACTGAAAGAAATAATATTTTCCTCCATTCTAAAATTTCTCTTATCATAAATAGGGATTACAGAAAATGGCAACGAATTTGAGGAAAAATATTTAAATATACAAAGCTAACCTCTTGTTGCTTCTTTTTAGACGAATCACCACCAATCCACGAAAACATTTTCCGTGGTCGAATATGACCTGCTAATGCACTACCTGAAAAATAATATTTCTTATTTCTAGACTTTCTTTACAACTAATGACTCATTTACTTTAACGAATAAATAACGTGAAAACAAGTATGTTTCGTTAAAATTATGGAAAAAGATAAAGAAAACAATAAATGACTGCATGAATCATACGACAAAGTATAAAAGAATGACTCAGCATTGAAAAGTTTATTGATAAGTAAATCAACCACTAACCCTATTTCTCAGAAATATTCAATAACCGAGAAAACTTTAAAAGTTAAACAAACATTTCGCCCAAAACAAAACCATACGAAAATCCATTAGGAAACTACTTTAGATAATCTTAAATCATTAATCTCACACTGTCAGTCAATTTAAATTACGATTCATCAGAGTGTTTGAGTTTTACCACAATTCTAATTCTCCATTATACATGTTATTAAATGCGTATATGTAAAGCTCATACCAATTTAAAATACAATTCACTTGTAGCAAATATGTCCAATTAATTAGCAGTATTAGAGAGATAAAGAGTAAATACTACTGGCATTCGAAGCATACAGTTTATTTCAAAGGATTAGCGAATAAACAAATGAGTAAATTGTAACTGAATGATCAACGTTTACTGGTGAGTAAATGATTGAAAACTTAATGTGAAATAGATTAGTAAGCAATTGATATGATCTCACAAGTTTGGTTAAACCAACAAAGTACGTTCAAGTTTTGCTAATATTTCAGGATAGAATGATTCGAACGAAATTTGAATAGCGAAAAAAGGTATTGTGAATTTAATCTGTATCAAAATGTTATTTTCAAACAAAAAAAAAAAAAAAAAAAAAACTTAGAACCAGTGTGCCTTTCAGGTAAAATGGAAAATGAGCCAGAAAGTTGTTTTAACAAAAGATTTTCCTTTTTAAATAACTTGCTAGAAATTTTAAAATGACATCCTAGTTTTTATTAAAGTTAAAAATTAGCAATAAACTAAGATCAAAAATTGGGTGTCTCATAATTGACTATTTGTAGATTTCCAAAACTATCACATAAAGCTCCGAGAGTTCCATATGATTTGCTATTTTTTTTAAGCTAATGAAAACATCAAATTCATTAAGCCATGTTTTTGAAACAAATTTTATTGAAAATAATTTTCTCTATGAAATATAAACATTAATATATATATGAATGAATAGTATATGAAAGATAAACAAAAGAATGAATCACCCCAACAACCATAACTATTGAAACTAAATTTTGTAATAACTCACTGAGAATCCTGAAAATTTGCATAGCAATCCAAGTTGTAAGGATGGAAAACTTCTGCATTCGAAATAGAACATAAACAGTGAGTTATGAAAACCCTACGGAATCAGAAAATATTCACTAACCAAACATTTATTATGACTGCATATCGCTAATCATTTAAAGGTGATAAATTGTGAAAATTATATGGAAAGAAAAAAAAAATTATACGGATAAAATATAACTGTAAACAAATACTGAAAACAACAGTAATCGAACAACATCACGGAAGTCTCACTTTTCGCAATAACGTTTCTTCTCTGAAATTTTACAAAGAAAAAGTGTTTGTTCAGAATTTAATTATGCTTTACAATAGATAAATCATATGTAACATTCTCAACTGGAACATTTAAAAGTGAACACGAATAAAATTTAAAAATTTTACGGAAATCATCGAAATAATATTTTTTAGAAGTAACAAAAATTTGAAGTTTATCAACATAAAGTAATAGGTTAAAATTCCCTTCGTTATATTCATTTGATTACAAAAAACATACAGATAGGTGTAAACAGCAAATATCAACAGCCGAACTGATAAATATCAACAACCGGAAGAAAAGTTGCAAAAAAACGGAATAACTCAATCCGATTTAATTCCGTAAATCGTTGCATCGTATCATATTTCTATCAAAAATTGAGATATCAAAATCTAGAAATGCTGCAAAATCAAAAAAAAAGAAAAGAAAAAAAAGAATGGAACATGCCAAAACAAAACAAAACAATGAGAGAAGGAAGTATCACCCAACAGGTCGAAACCAAAACCAAACATTGTCGCATGATAATGCCACAATGCAATTTGTTTGTCTGTGCCAGTTAAAACTATAAAGTGTGTAAGACAAATGGTGTATGTGAAATAGAATTTGCTAGAGATTGAGAAGCTGAAGAAAGAGCACTATATTTTGAGAGACATCATGAATTTACAGGATTTACGAAATATTGCTTTGTAAGTGTTTTAATTTAGAAAAATTCACAATTGGAAATTACAGTTATAATTAAATAAATAAATGAGATTTATAAGTTATACAATCCCTTATAATGGTCTTTTAGTAATTGTTTGAAAGTAAGGAAGAGAAAATATAATTGAATTGAAGACAATGAGAATGAGAGCATGAATGGGAAAGATTGAGAGAAAGTGAGAAAATGTATGGTTGTTAATGTTAGCAGAGATTGAGAGCATGTCAAAATATTCACTATCGGTTGGACAGTTTTTTTTTTTTTTTTCAATTTTTTCACTTTTCAACACTTTAATTCATTTGCTTAAAAGTGTGCAAATAACCATAAATTGTGCCAAGTAAATTTACAAGTATGAATTTTTTGAATTATTAGGAAATATTTGTGTTTTAAATCTGTTTTGGACTAATTTTAATACAATTTATTTGTTGTAATAAACTTACGTGTAAGTAAAATAATTTTTATTAGATTTTTAGGATTATAAATTAAAAAAAAAAAAAAAAAAAAAACAAATTATTTCATTTTTCGAAATCTGTAAATTGAATGAAAATAAATTAGCATTAAAAAATATTCAACTATGTGAGGTATAATTTAATTTAATAAACAATTAATTAATCTAACATGATTTTGTAATTTATTTACATGCATATACAATTTTATCGTTTGCTTAAAAACGTAAAAATTTGCGTGTAATTTTTACCACTTAACATTTCACGTTAATACGTGTAAACACGCAATATTCGTCAAATATAAATGAATGATGTAATTTTGTTATTAATAGATAATCTGTGAGCTATATGGTAGTGGTAATTATATATAACTCTAATATTTACAATTCTTTGGGAATGAGAATTACATAAACATCCGTTTGATAAACAATATAAATTATCAAATATTTGTATGCTATAAATTTTTGTAACTCTCAGTTGTTTTAAATTCAATTGAAATTTGAAACATTTTAACATGATAAATGGTAAACAAATGGAGAAAAAAGAATTAAATAATCTAAAATAGAAATTGCTATGAATAATTATAATGAATCATTTAAGAGATTTTGGAAAATATTCTCATTAAATCAATACTTATATAACTGAATTTGAATTAGTTAATTCTATTTGTTTAGTAATTTTTACTCTTTTTTCTAATGTCATATTTGATTGGAAAAAAATTTATGAAATTTAAGATATTTTGTTTCTGAAGAAAAAAAAAAAAATTCTGCTAATAACAATTGGTTAAAGATTTTGTTTAAGAAATTTTGCAGTAGCATAAAGGAAGTCAATTTGAGAAGTACGAAATGACAATAATGCAAATCTTTAGATCAAATTGATTTGTTTGCTGTTTGTGATGGTGGATAGATTGATTTTAAAGTTTTTATCAAAATTGAAAGAGTTAGAGTAAACAGAATTTCTCACGATAACTCATTGTTGACATTATTTCATTGTCAATTTTATTTTATTTTATTATTATTTTTTTTTTTTCATCATTTTTTTGAACATGTTTTTCATGAAATCTAACGTAAAACTGAATATACAAATAAACTTACTTCTTTACCTTTTCCTGTTATTAATGTTAGTGAGAAAGTTTGAGAGAATAAATTTTCAGAAGTTATTGTTATAGTTCTAAGATGCAGTTGAAAAATTTTAAATTACTTTCACAGGCTAGTATGAAATAAATTTAGTGAAACAGCGAGCTAATTTATTAGATTTTTTAATTCAAATATTTTCTGATAATAATGATAATAATGATAATAATAACACTAGCAAATATTACTAATAATGATAATAATAGTTAATTGCAATAAAATGCGATAGCAGCTACAATTATGATAACAATAGTTGGTAATAATAATTAATGGTAACAATAATAACAATGATGATAAAAATAGTAATGGTAGCAATAAATAATAGCGATATTAATAAATAATAATAACAACAATAATAATAGTAAATATTAATAATAATAATAATAATTACAATAATAGTAAATAATAACAATAATAAAAAATAATAATGATGATAATAATAAATAATAATAATAATAATAATAATAGTAATAATAATAATAAATAATAATAACAATAATAATAAATATTAATAACAATAATAATAATTGATAATGATGGTAATAATAAACAATAATAATAGTAATAATAATAAATAATAATAACAATAAATAATAATAATGATTCCGCAGATATTTAATATTAAAAGAACGGATAATAAAATGTTTAGAATTTTCAAGTAACACCAGAAAGATTTGCCATGTTTCGGAATGTTTTAGAGGTATTATTCATTTTGTAATTCATAAAGATGCACGAAAGAAGCGCTAACTGTCACAATAATGACAATTGCCGCCAATCATTCATGCTTCGAGAACGTTACCAAAATGGGCGCATCTCAAAATTGTTTTATAAAATAATTTTTCCTTGCAATATTCGATCAATAAACGAATAAATGAATGGTAACGAAAGAATGTGTGCTTTTAATTTTTGATTCTTCTTGAAAATAACATTCTTTCTAATATATATATTAAAATGTCTGCAAGAAATTCCTTTCTTAATGAAAAATTTAATCAAAAATATCATTCATATATGAATTATCAATAAAAGTTATCACTGATTAGCATATGTAAGTTATCAGTAAACTAATCACTTATTGACAAATTAATATTTATTGTATTTTGAATCTATTATTTACGTATTGTAAAAAAAAAACATATTAAACAATAAGAGAACAAAACAAAA